CACTATACATATATATATATATATATATATATATATATATATATCTATCATCTGCAAAAAAATAATAATAATATGAAATCGAACTCATCCACATTAAATCAAAAATAACGCAGTGATAGGAAAACACACACACACACACACCCACACGATGTTGCGTTGGTATAACAGGTCGCAGATGGAGAAGAGAAAGAAGGAAGAGATCAGGAACACAAACAAATACGGTTTAAGAAACCAAGCAGCAAAAAAAAAAGAAAGAAAAGGATTTTAAGAGTGACAATAAAAAGATGGGGAGAGAAGGGCAAACACGGTGCGCGTACCCGCTGCATAGACTGTGAGGCTTCACATACGGCATGAAGAAGAAGAAAAAACCCACAACAAAACTCACAGAGAACAGAGATTAAAGCGAGAGTTGTGCAAAAAAAAACCACTGCGATACGGGACAAGAGGCCCATAAAAATAAATACGCTTTTCGAAGATACTTAGAGTGCCACATTTCCGACCATCGCTTGCTTTTTTTTTCTTTATGGCAGAAAAAAATAAATGAGAGTTCGATGACTCTCGTACAAGCAAGAGTCGAAATAGGAAGCACATGACGAGGTGGTGTCTGCCGATGTACACGCATAATAGAAAAAAGCATAAAGTGGCCAAAACGATATTTTCCTTGCGTCACCATGAGCACTTGTTTCAATGAGTAAAAAAACAAACAAAGAAAAGAGAGGCGGTGAACATAATAAATGTTTATTCCTGACAGCGGACAGAGAACAGCTGGCCGAGAGAGCGATGTGAATAACGCTGCAGAAAGCCCATGCTTGCATGGAGAAAAAAAAACAAAGAAGAAGAAAGAAAGACGATCAGGCAGTACGATGTTTCTCTTAAAAGAATGAAAGCGCCACGCAAACACATGAAAAGGAAAAGGAGCTCGACAGACGGGAAAAAGGGGGAAAAGAAAGGAGTTTACATGCTCAATGGAACGCGATGAAAGAGGCTATTTCTTTATTTTTTTTTGTTGGTTAACGCTACGACGAACAACTGCGCTTTTTCATCAGCAATGAGCGAATGTGCAAACGTGATTCTTTTTTTCTTAAAAGAGTCGAGAGAGCATCGTTGAGGCGATATAGTCGAATGCGTACACATACACACCATACTCAGTCTCCTGTGGTTTGCGGTGAACAGCTCCTCATTGCTTTCTCCGATCTTCGTTTCTAAGATGTGAATGGAGTTTAGAAAAAAAAAGGATCGCCTAGCTGCATGATTCACGAAAACACTCGTAGAGAGATGAAAGAAATAAATAAAAAACCGATTAATCTAACGAAGCTTACATAAAGAAAAGTAATAATAAATAAATAAAAAAACGAGTACCATTGCATAGGGATATGGGTTAATTCACAAGGAAAAATATATATATATATATAAACGAGAAGAGAAGAGAAAGGAGGGGGGGGGGAGGGGTGACATAGGTCACACAGGCCAAAGTGTGCATTCTCCTTTCCCTCCCGCTCATTCACAGCATCGCTTTTCCTCATCGTTTGCACACAGGAGTCTCACAGCTGTATCTCAGGCTACGTGAAATATGAAACGAACAAGTCACGAAAGGAAAAAGATGATGATGACGAAAACAAAAAAACAATTCAGGAGCATTCAAATAATAATAATAATAACAATAAAGGAAAATACATGGCGAGAAGATTCGATATAGCTCTAAGAAAGAAGAAAATAATTAAAAAATGAATACCAAAAATCTTTTCGCCCGTCTTCACTGCACCATGACGGTCACCGACCTGGGAAAAAAGGGAGGAGGTCGATGACCAACTGAGAGTAAAGAGACAATAATTATAAATGAAAACGGAAAGAGAAGCACCTCTCACCAGAGAAGAAGGAAGAAAACGGCATATTCCGTTTTTCCGTCCTTTCCTCGTTAGTCGTCGTCAAACTCGAACGTCTCATTGTCGATGATCTCCATATCGGAGGACTTCACCTCGCTCTCGCTTGTCGTGCTGTGCATCTGGGCGTCGATGTCCTTCACACTCTCCGTGGCTCCCTCTGCGGGACGGGGATCCAGACACCGCTGCTGCTGTGCGTACCGCACCTTAATACGCTTCCCATCCACTTCTTTGCCGTTCAGCTCCTTTATCGCACGCTCCGTGCTCGCGCCGTCCTTGTAGTAGATAAACCCATAGCCCTTGCTGCGCGGGACGCTGCACGCCTCCACGGCCGTCGTGCTCGACGTGCTCTCCGTCACAGTGGTGGGGGTCGTGTCGTCGTGCGTGTGCGTGCCGAGCGAGGTCAAATCCATGTTGGACAGCGACATCGTCGTGATCGCCGTCACGGGCGAGGACGGTGTGTCCTTGTCGAAGCTCAGCGGCGTGGTGGTCTTCGTGGCGGGTGTGGTGGCCGCGGAGGACGGCACCGGGATCATCTTGTGGTGGCGAAAGTCGTGAATGATGTGACTTTCCTCCTCCATCAACTCCCCGTAGGGGCGGAACAGCTCCTTGAAGCGCTCGTCGGTGAGGCGCTGCGGCAGGTAGTTCACGATGAGCTGACGCTTCGTCGTGTCGATCTCCACCGGATCCTCCGCGTACGGCAGCCCCTGCGTGTTCGATGTGGACTGGGAGGTGATGGAGACCTCCTTGATGATGTGCGCACCGGCGTCGACGCCGTTAGCGTGGTGCTTTGGCTTCGACGTGCTGCCATTTTTGTTGTTGGCACCGCCTGCGATCGGGGGATGCGGGTTGACAGCCGCAGAGGCAGTCGACGGCACCTCCCCGTTGCTTGGGGCCTTCTGCCGCGCCTTTTTGTCGTCGACGGCGGCGGCGTTGGTGGTTGTGGTGGCCGTTGCGGGGAACTTCTGCAGAGGAGGCGGGTTTGTGTACTGCGGAGGCAGCGCCGACGGCCACGCCGCCATTGCCGCGTTGGGCGGCGCAAAGTCCATTGCGTCCTGCATGGCGTTTTGGCCACTGGAACGACGAGACACGTAGGCGGTGAACGGCAGAGTTGCGTAAGCGGTCATGCTGGCTTGGTCCATCTGCTGGGTTGGCAAGACGAGGTACGAAAGGCGCGTGTTCGCGTTGCCAGGACCGTGAAAAGCGGTGCTCGAGTCGAGCAGAACGGACTGCTGCTGCTGCTGCTGCTGCTGCTGTGAGTCGGTACCCGGTACGTAGTAGGCCACGGCCGTATTCCCGTTTGCGGAGGGGATGGGCATGGCCGGGTAGAACACCGGCGCGTTCGCTGACGTGAGGCTCACATTTGCGGCGGGGGGCCCCATGAGCACTGGGTGCCGACCCAAGGACGAAATCGACGCTGCACCGCCGCCGTGCAGGTACACCACCTGCCTTTGCGGAAGTGCGTAGGGCGAAGGTGGAGGATTGACACCGCTCGCCTGCATGTTGCCTGGGCTCAGCTGCCCGTCATGCGAGTGCGAGAAGTTGAACTGATGTGGGGTCTCAGTTTGCTGCATCGTTGGGAAGGCATAGGCAGACGGCGCAGCGGTGCCTGGAAACGGTGGCGGCTGGCTCGATTGAATTTCTGCACGCATCGCCATAGGAACGTGGGAGTCAGCGCTCTCGCTTCCGTTTTTCCGCACTGGCATCTTCTGCTGCTGCTGCTGCTGCTGCTGCTGCTGCGAGGCATCCTGCGTGGCGCCGCCAATATAGTAGGGCTGTGAGAAGGGATCCATTTTTCCTGTGTTCCTTTTCCTTTTCCAGAGAGGCACACTGCGTAGTATATTTTATTAGGAGTTCAGGTAATTATGAAGGGGTAATGAAGAAAGGAAAAAGTTGAATTAAAAACGCAAAGCGATGAGTAATCTCACGTTTTACGCAACGGACACAAGTCGTACCAAACGAGTAAGGCCTCCTTCTTTTGCACTTTAAAGGAGTTCTTCAGAACACAAACCCCCCAAAAAACACACACAGCTCAGAAAGAGATGCAATTGAGAAACACGAATTAAAACTTGGAGTTTGTGACAGGGTGCAAGTGACTGAACAGAACTGCAAGTAACCACAAATAAAACAAAGACGAAGTCAACTGTCGAGGTAGAGAAAAGTAAACCAAAAATTATGGAATAACCTACACCCTACAAATCATCACCTACCAACAGGTCAAACCTTTACATGAGAATTACATAAATTTATCTTTCTTGGTTTTACAACACACTGTGAATATCAATAGTTAAATAAATGCAACGAAAACAAACTATTCAACAGACTCTACGAAGTGGGTAGCCCGCCTTACGCTTCCCCGCTCCCCTTCGCAAGTCAAGCCCCTTCGCCCAGTCGTGTATCTCAAAAGGGCGGCCACGCGATAAACCATCGGCGGGGTTATCCTCGGAGCGCACGTACTCGAAGGACGGTATCCACCCACGCGCGTCCACCAGCGCGTAGATGGCGCGTAACTCCGAAGCCAGCGCCCACGACTTTGTGTGAGCTTTTCGGGCCGAAAACAGAAAAGATGTATTGTCGACATGGATGTGCACGCGGCGGTGAATCTTAGCCGCGAAAGCTGTGAGCGCCAAACGAACAGCGCGGGCCTCTGCCTCCATGATCATAACAGGGGGTGTGTGCCAGCGACCTCCTGCAACGAAAACGCGTCCTGCCGGGGATATGAAGACAGCCCCCCATCCGCTGAGGGAGGCGTCCGTGACCAGAACCGGACACTCTGACTGCACGCATGCAACCACACTCCGTGCCCGGTTTTCCTGCACGATGGCGAGGAACTCCGAAGCCTCCGTGAAAACAGACGGGGACATCTCCACCACCGACGAAGCGCCCAGGAGGCCCTTATTCAGCGCTGACAACGTGCGCCGAACAAATTTCAGGAGAAAGTAATATTGAACCAAACGAATGTTCAGTACCGCCGCTGCATAGATAAGCTTAGATGCAAGAACCTCCAACTCGGCGACGGTTATCCGCGATCGTACCGCTACGGACGCGATTTTCCCCAGAAACTTTGCCCCCAACTTGACCGTATTGGTGTCGTGTGAGAAGTTGACACCCAAAAACTCGTAATTGGTGGCGCACTTCTCGACCTCGCCAAAAGCAGCGCCACAGTTCGCAGCACACACCAGAACCTGCTGTTGAGCAACTTCAACTTCGGCCCTCTTCCCGGACAAACGAATGTTGTCGATCCAAACATCGACACTCACACCCGTGGGGACGGCCAAACTACGTTTGACGTAGCGCGGATGGGCGGCGAGCGTCGAAGTGACGATCTGCAGAAGCCCAGGACTGGCTTTGTAGCCCATGGGCAGACGGGTCAACTGAACCAAAGTGCCGTCCTGCAAATGGCACCGGAAGTTCCTGCGAGTGTGCTCGGGGAGCGAAACCTGGAAGAACGAGGCCTTGAGATCCATGACGGTGGCACACTCGCCATGAACGATGGACATGTACTCGCTGGTGTGTCGTAAGTCGTCCAGCTGCGTCTCGAGAAGATCCTGCTCGTTCTTCTCCCGCGGCCAGGCGATCCACCGTCGGCGCTTGCCTGAGGGCTTCTCCTCCACCACCGAGAAGGGGTGGATCCAACCACGCGTATCCGCATCGGGTGCCTTCTCGATGATGCGCGCTTCCAGCGGGCGCGTAGCGTCGTCCATCGGCACCGTCCATCGCGACGGTCTTGAGTCGCGCGGCTCCTCCGAGAGCAAGGCCATCAGGGCGTCAAAGCGCTTCCGAACGCGATAACGCATTCTGTCCCTCAATGGACCGACGTCCAAAGGCGAGACCCCAACTTGTTGCAAGGGCAGAGCCGCCACCTCGGCTGGCCCTGCCACGGCTGTCTTGTGAGAGCGACGTGTGATCGTCGCTAGCAAGCGAAAATCAGGTAGCACCTCCGGCAGGTGCCACGGACTCACATCAACCAGACCAAATCCGATATCCCCGTTAGCCAGGCCGTTGTCGGGCCCAGATAGCTGACGGAGGTCGACGGCATGTCGAAGATGTTTGCATGCTTCATCAGCCGGGGTACCAGAAATGGGTCCAGATTCAGCTCCGCGACCAGGCTCGCTGCGTGCTGTGCGGCCCCTCGTTTGATCGAGTGCGCAGACGCACTCAGAGGCTTGAGGCGCTTCGTCACCTCTGCCGTCGTCAGGGCCGTCAGTTGGGGGCCCGGAATGGCCTTCAGCAATGCTATGATTGCCGCTGCATCGTCGCCGCTGATCAACACATAACGCGACGCTCGATTCGGGTCCATCTGGCTGGACTTGGGCCCGGCGGCCCAGTCCAAGAGAACTGTCCCATCGTCCCTGATGGTGAAGCTCTCCTTCGTCAAGGTCCGAATGTCGGACCACCTGCTGTCCGTAATCCAGCAAAGACGGAAGACGGTGCGGTCTTCCCAGGACGGGAGCGCCTGGAACAAGCGCTCGAATTCCTCCTTCTCCAACGGTCTCGCCTGCTTGCGCTCGGTCTGCGCTGCCATGCGCGTCAACCCCAGAGTCACCACGTCGAGAGGTGTTCGCTGGTCCCTCAGCATGCCGCGCAACTGGCGGGCATACTGGACGAGCGTCGTCGGTTTGAGGTCGACGCGAGCGCCCAAAAACGCTACGGCGCTCAGCTCGTCGGTGGGCTTCCCGTACTCCAGGCAAAAGCGGATAAACTGTCCCGCGAGGCTGAGGCGGGACTGCCAGGTCGACTCGGCGTATATGCGCTGCGCGTAGGTGTTCGCCGTCGTCAGGAACGTGCTCCACGCGGGCGGGTCCGTCGCCGTCTCCTCGTACACAAGCCGGGAGTCGTTGGCGCCGAATAGAGGGGCGCGAAGGTTTCTTTCCGCAATCACGAACGTGGAGTTGATTAGCGGCGTGCGAGTGGTGACAACTCGCGGCAGGAAGCCGGAGGCTGGCGGACATGGCCGATGAGCCTCGTCGGTCGGAAGAGAGCGCCTCATGGACGGGATAGGTGGCGCCTGGTATGTCGCAGGAGCTGCGATCCGACGTGAGACTCTCCACGGACGGTTTAGCAGCTCCTCGCTGTTGGGAGACCTCGAGCCTATCGGGATCCGCTCGCCGGACCTCCAAGGCAGGATCTCTCCCATTGCCCTGCTGCAGCTTACGCGCCTCCTGTTGGGCCACGAGAAGGCGCTTGCGGAAAACACCGCAACGGGTAGGGACCTCATCTGGTTGCTGCCTCACTTGCGTGGGGTCCCTTTTCCGTTTTTTTTTGGTCGCTGAGTTTCTTGCGACACTCAGTCGACACATGCCCTGCTATGCCACAATAGTAGCATCGAATGCCGGGGCCGGCAGTGCGCGAGGGCGTGCGCGAACGAACTCGCGGACGCTGCGCCAAAGAACCAAAACGAACCGTCAAGGGATCAGCAGGATTCAAGAACCTGCCGAACTGGGAGTAGAAGTCCTGTGGACTTGTTCCCGGGTGTTTGCTGTACAGGTCCGCGACCCGCAGAGCAAACAGAAGCGCTTCGCCTTCGGCAAAGTCCAACTCATCCGGCTCGACCCTCGTGGCGAGGTTGTTCATGAAGGCCTTTAAGGCCTCCACAACCGCCCGTACGATCGGGACCGGCAGCTTGAGCTCCATCGCCGTCTGGAGCTCCAACATCAAAATCGCCTGGCCTTGTGGCAGGCTCAGCACAGGGCCCCAAGAGCGCGCATCGTGCCACTGAAAAGGCGTCGGCGCCGCTGGCACGTCGAGAGGGTACGGCTCGCGTCCCCGCAAGATGTCTTTGGCACCGCCCGCCACTGGATGTTGGAGGGTGCTGAACGGGGGCGGGGGTGGGCGAGCTGCGAGGGGAGCAGCCAGTGGTGGCGAAGGGCGCACCGGCGCCATCGAGAAAGGGGGAGGAGGGGGCAACTGTGCACCCGTGCGAGACCGCGGGGGCGGCGTAGGGGCTTCTGGCGGCGCCGCAGTGACGGGCTGAGCCGGCGCGACAGCAGCGGCAGTTTCAGCGTCCGTCGCAGGGCGTTCACCGCGAGCGGCCTGTATCTCCGCTTGCATTGCTGCGAAGCGTTCTTCCATCTGGCGCTGGTTGGTGCGCCAATCTTGCTCTCTTCGGAGCGCGTCGGTCAGCAGTTGCTGCTGTTCGCGCAACTGCCGGTGGAGCTCCTCGTCCCGCGAGAGGATCACCGCTGCGCGCCTCTCCGCTTCCTGCGCAGCCTGCTGTTGATGGAGGGCCGCGTCGATCTTGCTCCGCGAGTCGCCCTCTATGGTGCTCAGAGCCGTGCGGCTCTGATTGAGGCGCTCCTCGGCCTCCGTCTGGCTGCGGTGCACGTAATCATGATGCGCCGCTTGGGCCTCCAGAAAGCCCTGACGCCCAGCAGCGTGTAGCTCTTCGGCGTGGAAGCCCTCCATGCGCGCGCGGAGCGCCGCATCGTGAGCGTTGAGGCGCTCACTGGTTCTGTCCACGCGTTCTTGCGCGGTGGACAAGGCAATGCCTTGAGCAGTGGAGTACCCTTCTCCACGAGCCACAGCAAGGTTACGCTCGTGCAGGGCGAGCGCCTGTGCGTCAAGATAGCTCTGACGCGCGTCCAAACCATAAGTGGCGTTATTCGCCGCCTGCACTGCGTTCGCCACATATTGGGCACTGTGACCCAGTTCCTGCGCCTGACGCAGGAGCGAAAACTCAGCTTTCGCCAGAACGTCAAGCTGCACCTTTACCGTCGCCTGCGCGACGGCGGTCTCGAGTTGTGTCCCGAGTTCCCGCGCGAGAGGGGTCGCAACCGATCCGGCGCGAATGTTGGACACACAACTGGTCGTAGAATCGACGAAAGCTGCGTCGTCCCACGGCGAAGCTGGCCATTGATCCAGCTGGAGGGAAAGTGTCGTCGTTAAAAAGTCGATCGACACCATCCCGCGATAGGTTATTCCTCCGACGAGGAGGAAAACCTCCAGAGGCTCCAGCTGCTGCTGGCTTCGTCGAGCCTCCTCGAAAGGGCTCGCAGCCGCTGGCCAATCGCGCACCACTGATCGCGCGAAAAGACGAAAGAGGTATCGTCCGCGGTAGTAGGAACAAGGGTCATTTTTCCTGTGTTTAGAGTATATTGCTATATATATATATAGATATAGATATAAATGTTTTTTTTTTTTTGTGTGTGTGAGTTAAGTACTTGATTTTGATATTAAAAATAGACTTGAAAGAAGTATGGTAACAGGAAACTAAAAACTAAAAGATGGAAGAACTGCTGAATTCTAGCAGTTGAGAAAGAGAATACAAGAAAAGGGGAAAAGAGAGAGGTAGGATGAATAATTCTTCAGGCTAGGTCATTCTATTCGCAAGCTCCAAATAAAAAGGAAAAAAGATTGAAAGCGTGCAAAGATCGGAGCAAAGATAACGTGTGGATGAAAGTCCAAGAGGTCTTTCCACGATGTATGCGATTGTGAAACTCGCAAGAGAAAGAAGAAGCTCGTGTCAAGGAAAACGACAGTTAAAACACTGAAAATGAGATCAGTTGCGCAGAGGACACTGTGGGTAGGAAAAAGTTTTGTCTTACCGATAAAGGTCCGCAACGGCAACAACAAAATTAAGCCCGTCGGCACACAAAGAAAACTTGTTTAGTTCTCTTTTTTTTTAATAGCTTCTCAACAAACGGTTTACCTACACTGCTGCAATGGCCACGGCACACGGTAAGCTGAAAAAGAAGAGGAAGAAATAAGGGCCGAAAGCACAAAGCTGCAGCGTCACACGAAGACAGCCTCGGGGGAAGGGGAGCCGACCTAGAACTGGGTTATGAATACACGGACCCTAAGAGTAAAATAACTTCGTTAGTAGGTTAAAAGAAAGAAAAAAGCTGCTCTGCGACCAGAGAGGCAACGGATTGATTTCAAATTTTTATTTTCTCCAGGCACCTCACGCGTCAGAGCGGGGGGAAAGTGACAAGTTTAGGAAGAGAGCTGAAAGAAAAAGAGAAAGAAACGCTGGAACCGAAACAGGAGTGTATTTATTTTTCCTTTCTTTTACACACAAAGATGTTGTTTGTGCTGATATGCCGAGAAGAACGTGAGAGAGGACTAACACGTAGGGAGAAGGAAAAAAAAATAAGAATAATAAATAAAAGAAAGCCGCACCAAAAACAGTTGTCACACACTGCCAAGTATTTTCTCGCAATAATGCGTTCTGGTCAGTTTCTAGCAAAGTTACTGCTCGATTTTGCAAATCAAATCAACGCCGCCAGATCCGTGTACCCACAGGAGAGCGATTAGACGAGACAGTAACGGAAAGGGAGAAAGAGATATCTTGCGAGGCTGTCAAAAAAAAGAAAATAAAGATTCCGCAAGCTCGTAGAGCTTTGCTACTTCTTCCGTCGCCAGAAAAGAAAAAAAGAAAAACGGCGAGGGAAAAGCTATTTTAGCACGAGTGACCACGAAGCTATGTGCGGTTGTATGAAAAATAATATATAATGTGTATCTCTCTATCTATATATGTATATTCAAACACTGGAATAGGATGTGCGACGAGAGAGAGAGAGAGAAACGAAAACACGCGCACACAACTGTCTGCGACAAAGACCTACAATAGTAACAATAATAATAATAATAGACGCCGGAGGTTAAGAACACAAGGCGCGAGAACCGATTCAAGATACGGAAAGGCAAAACCAAAAAAGAGACAGAAAGGGGAAAGAAGAAGAATATATATATATATATATATATATAACCAACGTATTCAATTCGAGGTAGTAAGTAAAAAATAATAATAATAATAATAATAATAATAATCAGAAAACAAAGAAGAAATTAGTACCTCTGAAAAGAGAAGGAAAAACGAAGTGGCCGAATTCTAAAAAAGAACAAACCAGAAACAGGAAAAAGATTGCTGTTTAGCAATAATAATAAAGAGAGAAAAGAGATTTAAAAAACAAACAAATGTGAAACCAAAGACGAGAGAGGAAGAAAGAGATTGAAAAGAAAACAACGACAGAAAAAAAAAAACGGACCGAAAGACCGAAGAGCAACGGTTAAAGATATGTGAGGGTCTTCCGTTAGTATGTGTACAACGTCTACAGAGTCGATGCTCCGAGATATTTTTCGTTTTTTTTTTTTTAGTTATGTGTACTTGAACAAGAAGAAAAGAAGAAGAATAGTAAAAAGGATGGCAGAAAAACAAGAATAACCCACAAAAGAAAGATAAAGAAGAGATAGAAAAAGTAATCGGGGGGACAAGAAGATCGTTGAACTATAATGTAACAGAGACTTAGCCGTTTTGGAAAACAAAATGGGAAAATGAAGAAAACGTTTTCACAGTACAGAGGGGGATAGAGAAGGAGAGAGAGAGAGAGTAGAGGCTAACGCAGCTCTCCCTCAAAAGCAAAACAAAAAAACAGATTGAAGCAAAAACCAAAACGGGGAAAAAAACGTCAAGAGGCAATATATGCAATAATCATAATAGAAAAAGGGGACAATGCTATTCAGAGAAGTAAAGATAATTGATTCACTTAACAAGAAAACAACAAAAAAAGAACCGATTAAAACGACAGCTTTAAGAGCGCTATCCAACGCTATGCATAGGTGAAATTTTTTTACCCCTTTCTCCAATCTTCCTTCTCTGGAACAGATTCTCCTTAAATAACAGACGAAAACAGCGGATCAGAGAAAAATAGAAGAAATGAAAAACACCTTAGACAGAAGAAAAACAAAAAATAGTAATCAAAGCGTTGATTCCGTTTTAGAATTTCAATCACCATGTGTGTACGATTTCTTAATGAGTAAGCGTTTGCTTTCTTTTCTTTTTTTTTTGTTTCAGAGCAGCTGAAACGTGTATCCTCAAATAAAAAAAAAAAACGAAGGTAGGCAATACCTTGTCACAGAGTGTGACGCTAGCGTCTGTGCTGGTAAAGGAGGGCTTGCGAAAAGGATAACGGTAGTGAAAATGACAAAGAGATATAAAAAAAGAGCCAATAATGATAGTAGACACGGGACGAGAATTATGAAATGTTAATCAACGGAATCCTGGTTGCTCTCGTGGGAGTTTTTTTGGGCGTAGAGGATTCTTTTTTTTTCTTCTGCTGGTTGTTGCTCGTGACAAAGCGCTTCTTTTTTTCCCCCTTCTTGACTAGGCGTGTTGTTGCACGAAGAGCAGTGGGATGATCAAGTAGGACGAAGGCGAAAAAAAAGGTTACTTTTGTCGCCAAAGGAAGAGAGTGTCGCAGAAAGGAGAAACGGGGTGTACAAAGCCGTAGGGATTCTGTTTTTTCTTTCTTTGGACAAAAAAGGAAAAACCGCAACAATCAAGAATTGATTTGCTTAGATGCCACAAAAAAAAAGCAAGTATAGTTAAAGATGGGGTAAAACGTATTTATTATTATTATTTGGAGGGCCTCCACACTGTCGACCGTCACGGTGCGGAGAGAGAACGTCCACGCAGATAGGAAGAATTAAGCCTCTTTCCCTTAGAGCTATTAACTTCTTTCTTTTTTTCTTTCTGTTTCAGGGTTCAGTTGAGAACTGAAAGGAAAAATGGGATTTAAATATTAAAAAGAAATTACACTTTCGAACTTTTCCTGTTGTTTCCCTTTCTCACCAACACAAGACACGAAAACCCCCAAAAGAAAAAAAAACGTACTGGTCTTTATTAGTGTCGATTGCGATTGTTGTAAAGCACCGGTGAGAGCGAAAGAAAAGAACACGAGGACGTAGCTGTTGAAGGCGGTGTGTGTGCGTATCTGCATCAGTGTCGTTAAGGGTGCGTTGCGATACGATGGGAATAGCAGTGATAGAGAGAGGGAGAGAGAGAATGGATGTTTATGTGTTTTAAGTAGCGTTTTTGTTTGTTTTATAGTAAAAATTATTATTACCCAAATTGAAAAAGGAAAAGAAGAAGAGGAAGAAAAAGAAGCATGAGAGTTCGGCGCGTGAGTATTTTCCCCTCAAAAGCACACACACACACTTGTGATTGGTTTCGTATCAAAATCCAAACGAGTGTGTTGAGTAAGACCTTAGCAAATACGATGCACTTCATGAATTGAAGCGAGGAAAAGAAGGGTAGAGACATGAACGGGGTTTTCCGTCTTCTTTTTTGGCCGTTCAGTTCCCAACTCTCTGTCATGCACAAAGGAGAAAGGCGACCTTAAAAAAGCAAACAAACGAAGCAGTCTCTTAGGTGAAGCGATAGGCAAACAACAACGACAGTTGTGCCCTGCAGTTCTTTCAAAAGTCGGTATTCGATTTGCTTGGTTCGCAAGAAGGGAAAGCGAAAAGAGAAAAAAAAAGCTCTTTAACACCACATTTTCAAATGTGCAACGATAACCGCCCATCCAACCCCTCCCCCTACCAAAAAGTTTCGCTACATCAATGAGACCAAACACACACACACACACACACATATATATATATATGCCTATCGGTCTCAAACGAAGCCCGCCTCCACCGACCCACCCCCACCCCCACACACAACACGGAAACACTCACTTCCTTGGAAGAATACGGCCAACGGTAACATGATCCATTAGCAGAAGAGGAGCCTTTTCTCTTTCTTTCATTTCCTTTTCCACGAACACGACTCCATCGTATTCGTCCCGTTACTTTCCCCCCTTCGATCACACCACGAAGCACACGCACGTGGGTGCAAACAACAATAGGAGAGACAAAGAAGAAGGTGAGGCGTAAAGGGGCAGCACCGCCGAATGGCTGTCTTTCTTTTTCACTCCTTCTTCTATTGTTTTAGAAGTAGCGATGCGGGCGGAAGCCAGCCGTGGCCACGTCCTGCTGCCAGAGCGAGCGCGACTTGCGCTTCCAGCCGAAACCCTTCTGATCTAACCGCTCCTGCATGAGTTGCATGTGCGGACCGCGTGTGCCACTACTCCGCGTGGCGGCACTCCAGTTGTGGCCCATCGGTTTCAGCATCTGCAGCGGCAACCAGGCGCGGGTGACGGCCGCCACGGCAAACGGATGCACCGGACACACACGCGGTGAATGCCGCCGGTCTTCTCCGTCCGCACCATCTACGCGGTCCACCGGGCGAGTAAAAATGGAAAGCTGCGAAGGGGTGGGGTGGGCGGCGGCCCCACGCAGGTGGGCGGTGCGGTCCGGCGACATCGCAGGCTGCACAGACGCGTATCGACTTTGTCGGTGCAGCGGCAGCGGGTACTCGAGCGGCTGCTGGGCCTGCGCACACAGTTTCGCAACTCGCAGTCGCTGCAGGCAGTCGTCGGTGCGAATCCGCACTGCCTCCGTGCGAGCGCGGACACCGATGTTGAGAGGGAAGAGTCGCAGCCCCATCACGTTGTTCGTGTCGTGTTGACTGTAAGGGAGAGACGAGTTGTGGTGCCGCTCGGGGTGGTGCTGGTCGCTGAAGAAGGCACCCATGTCAAAGCCCTCCTTGGTGTGCCGATCGGCGGCTGCGTCGGGCACGTTTACGTCTGCCCCTGCCTGCCGCTGGATGTTCATGTTGATGTTGTTGTACGGGCCCAAATCGCGCGGCAGCTGCATCTCCAGTGCTAGATCGTGCCGCTCGGCATCCAGAGAAGGCGATGGCAGGTCCTCGCTGCGAACCGTATGCAGCTGAAACGGATGTTGAATAAGATACTGCACACGGGCACCGCCGTACAGCATCTCGTACGCGGAGGCACGGCGAAGGGCGTACGGCAGTAAAGGCTTTCGCGTATGCGTGGCGGTCGCCTTTGCTACTTCATCGTTTCTGTTTTCAGCCGCGCTGGTCTTCGTTACCACAGCGCCGGCGCCGGCTAAGTTCTTCGCCGCATGTCCGGCACTCCGTCGCAGCATCATGCTTTGCGTGTGTGAGTGTGCAACACCGATCTCTTCGAAGTGGAGGGAAAAGGTTGAGAGAGAGGAAGAGTTGAAAGATAAAAAAAAGGTCAAGAAGAGAAGCCGAAGCACGCGACAGTCGTCTCGGTTTAACGCACAACTGAAGAAAGCAGCAACCAACATCAAGGGCAATGAAACTCAGTGTGACACGCTCCGCAGTACAGACCACTTCTTTCAAGGAGACGGAGCGGTCCAGTACAGTGCACCGGTGTATGTGCTTGTTGTACTCAGAACAAAAGGGCTGACAAGAGGTTCTCTGTGAAAAAGAAGGATGTCGTTAGAGAGTAAGGGAGATCACAGCGCACACCCTCTTTTCATTTCGGCACGGTCCACCGCTTCTCGGAGGCAGAGCTCGGTGATGGCGTGTACTGCCGCTGGTAGTAGCGCTTCATCTCCACATGTTCTGGACGCTTGCGCCTGTTTTGCCACTGCTCCCCGTAGACATGCGGCGCGTACTCCTCATCCACGCTGTTGTTGCTGCTACCGTCCTGCCAGGCGTGTCGTGTGTCACTGCCTGCAGACGGCCGAGACGAGTTCCAGTGGCGCCGCCCGCCCCCCTCGCCGCTGCCGCGCATAAAGGCCATGTCCGGTCGGTGGTAAACGCGATCGGCGATGACGCGGTAACGCGCCGCATCGGCGCGCAGTTTCGCGATGGTGCGCTTTGCGCTGAAGACAACAGAGGGTGCGGGGGTGAGCGCTGCAGATGTCTTCGTCTGCTCCGCCATTTGCTCGACGTGCGCCTCGTACGCGGTGGCCAGCGCATCACCGCACCGCGCGCACGTCGTCGCGGTGAAGTACAGGAAGGACGACTTGGAGTTGTGAGCAACGGCTTTCGTGTGCGTGTACTCGGCTAGGTCGCGCGCCGCGATGAAGTCCTCGCGCTGATAGTGGCTGAGGGTGAGGTTGAGCAGGCCGTGCAGGTAGGCCGTGGTACCTTTCTTTTCTTCGCTGGCGAGGCGCTCCAGATCGTCCTCCACACGCAGGCGGGTTGCCTCGGGGTCATCGAGGTTCATGAAGAAGTGATAGCTTTTGCAGCGGCGTGCTTCGCACAGCACGGAGGTGGAGGAAGACGCGACAGCTGGGAACGAGGGGCCGACCGACGCTGGTTTCTTCCACGAGGTTCGTGAGGTGGCCTTGCAAAGGTAGGAGGCAATTCTTCGCTTCACCGCGACAGCCACCGCCGGCGATTCGAACCTGCCGGATCTCATGGATGAAAGGAATGTTCTGCGCATTCAGAGTGTTGTACAGAAGAAGCGCAGTTGCGTATGAGCGAGCAGCCACAAAGAACCTTCCTCGTGACGAATCTCTTCGAAGCGCTAGAGATCGCTTTAACGCAGTGCAGCGACTCGTGTCTCGACTCCTCCCTCTGTGTAGTAGCTTGTGTGGTCGTTGATAGCTGGTGCGGACTTCCTCATCAGCTTCCCGTGGCGCCGCAGAAACACATGCGTTAGAGAGAATAAAAAAACCCCGAAAAAGACGGAGTGAGAAGGGGGAAAGAGAGAAGGAAACAGACGTATCATGAGACACACACACACACACACAGAGGTGTTCTTGCAGAAGAAGCGCAGTGAAGGACTTGCATCGAGCAAGCAGGAAAAGTATCAGAGATAGGGATGACGTAAAACACCCCCCCCTCCGAAAAAAAAAGACATTTCCGCTACGGCGACTTCATCGCGACCTTTCCACTGTGGCTCATTTCCCATAATCTGATACACACACACACCAAGGGAAGAAAACTTCACCATCATATACGTGTCGGCAGACATGACACAACGTTTCATGCACGTTTACGTTAACGACGAGCTTTACACGCGCACACAGAAGTGGCGACTTGAAGCAAATAAAAGAAGAAAGAAGGTTAATAGTTAATCGGTTTAACAACAACAACAACAAAAAAAAGGAGCAAGCGAACAAGGACAGCTGGGGAAAAACCCCCAGAGAAAAGGAAAGGATCACTCGAGCATCGAGGACACAACGCCAACGATTCAGAAAGCGCCGCCTTCAATCGTGTTCTCTCTACCCACTCTCTCCCTTCTGAGATGCTCAGGCTGGCAAAAAAACAACAGAGACAGAATTACTACTGTGGCGCACCGTACGCCTCCGGCAGGCGCTCAATTGTGTAGCGGTGCTTCGCGATGTACATGATGGGCACACCAGGAACCTTGCGCAGACGGCGCTTGAGCTCGTGATCGCACGTCGCCACGATGTAGATGGGATGCTGGGTCACCGTCCGCACGACGCAGTCATCGGCGTACTTGCTGTCGCACGTCAGACGCTCAAAGCGCTTGTCACGTGCCAGCTTCAGCGCTATACGAAACTTCTTGCCTAACTTCTCCAGCTCCGCAAACACGCAGTCGCAGATGCACGGTATCACCTTGGCCAGCAGGCAGTCCATCAGACCCTGGACAATGTCGATCTTGTTTTGCATCGAGAAGTTGATAAAGTTTGTGTCGAGCCAGATGCGGTACGGCGGGCCCAGCGCCGTGTTGTAAGACAAAAACTGTGCGGTCTGCGTTGGTGCAGCTTGGGTCAGCTGCGCCTTGCGGTACACCACGGCTGCGTAGTCCTTCGTTGCCTGCTTTGTGGTGTTGCTCTCAGGGGTTTCGTGATAGCTCTCCGCCTCGCGCTTCTTCTTCTGAGCGAGGGACTTCTCCTTCATGAGAATCTTCTTGATGGCGTGGTCCGCCTGCTTCTTAACCTTGCCCATGGTGGTAAACTAATGTCTCTCCTATGCGAATACTGCAACCGCACCGTGACGAGTGCAGGGCTAAAGTTCTCTAGAAAAGAGTAAAAAAAAAAGCGACGAGCAACGCAAGGCTCTTTGCCCGTATTCGTTGACGGAGGTGGTGCAAGGAGGAGAGGAACAGTTTACATAAGCACAGCAACATCATGGATGTGGAGGAGGTAAGACTCAAAAGGCACGTGCAGCATGAGACGCCCCCAGGCAACGGAGCACACAGTGACTTCACGTCGGGTTTCAGAAGTGGCGGTAATTCCTAGGAACGTTGATTCTTTTCTTTTTTCAGGATCGGATTATTTTTCAAAAGGTCAGCAAGAGATCTCCCCCCTCTTAGGGCAAGCAGTAGCAACAGCTTCACAGAAAACAATGATAACAACACCACATTAACACCAACAAAGAAGAGCTTGGCACCCCAAGGGCCCACGACAGTCAGTAACCCCCCGCGCTCGTATATCGAGCGACCACGGCGGACGTGCCACCGTCTTCGTACTCCTTCCGCGACATCCACATCTCCGGCCGATCGGCCGACAGCTCCGCCACGAGTGCCCCACCCATGTACGCCATGCACTGCCGTCGCGGCGGCTCCTGCACCTGAATCGGGCAGCGAGCCATGCGACTCACGTCACCTTTCAGTTTTTCCGTCAAGTAAAACTCCTTCATGTCTCTTGTGAGCCGTGCCCCAAAGCCTGGAAAGAGCGTGGAACCGCCGGAGAGTAGGATGCTCTCATACAGTGACCGGCGCACGTCCACGTCCGCGGCCTCGATGCAGTCCCACAACACAGCAGAGATGCCTGGGGATTCCACATCCATCAAGGAAGGGTCAAAGAGCACTTCAGGCGCGGTGAAGCGCTCTGCACCGAGGCGGCACGTTACCCCATCTGGCAGCACGCACGTGCATTGCAGCGCGTTAGTTTCGCGCAGTAGGCGTTGGTCCAAAGACCGATCAAAAGAGACGTAGCAGTAGCGCTCTTTCAATCGTCGATACACATCGCGGCGCCCGCCGCGCATCGCACTGTCTCGCGGGCTACGCTGATGCGCACACAGAAGTTGCTCAAGACGGTCCGTCACGGCACGACCGCCCAAATCGACGCGGCGCTGCGCTGTGGTCAGCACACAGCCGTCATAGACGGGCGTGCAGTGGGTCAAACCCTCGCCGCACTCCACGGCTACCCCACGCTCCACGCCGTTCGCAAACAGCGTTAACACCCCTTGCGGAGTCGACTGGATCGTGTTGAAGTGGTAGTCCTCAAAGAAGACTTCCATCACGGCGCAGCGCTGCTTCAGTGAGAGATTCGGTGTCTCCGTGAGGAGCAGCGGACGGCCTTCCAGCCACTCAAGTCCGCGATCCCCCTCAGCCGACCTTTCCTCCCACTTCACACGCTGCGGGGCACTTGAACTCCCCCCAGCTGCCGTGCCTAACATCTGCGGCAATCGTTGGCAGAGCACGTAGTCCCACAGCTCCTGCATGTCGTCCATATTGCGAATGACACCGTTTGTAATTGGGTACGTCAGCTCTGCCGCCTCGTGCAGCCCGTCCAGTTCATCGCCGCACAAAATATCTCGTTGAAGGCGTTGCGCCCGGTGACCCGTCTCTGCCTCCCCCACAGCGGCCCCGTTGCTGTGGGAGGAGTGGAGAGCGGTGCGGAAGGGAAACGCATCTACTCGAGGTCTACCCGTAACGGTGGGACAGACAAGAAGCGGCAGCGGTGACACACCAGCGCAGCCACATTTTATGCTGCCAGTACCATTATCGAGCACCACGGGTGACAGCGTCATGTTGCACCTTGATGGTGCTGTTCATGGAGATCTAAAAAAAAAGAAAAAGAAAACAGAAGAAGTCGATTGCCACCGACATTTCTCTGCTCTCGGTGCCCTTCAATTGATGTATTCCCTCGAGGTAAACAACTGTCTTTATACATATATATTGGGCTAAGGCGAGATATGGCGTAAAGGCAGAGAACACGGTAGAATGGAAAAGAACACCAAGAGCATTGACCAGAGTTAAAGAAGCTAGACAAGAGGTGTTATGCAGCTAAACCGCAGGTCACAAACACACATACCCACAAAATCACATCACTCATCCACTAAGCAGACAAGCTCCACCAGGAGAAAATAAGCTTGCAGAAGCTGGAGAGGACAGCGTGTGCACCGTGACAGCGGTACCTACAACGCTGCTGTGTAGCTGGGCAGAGCAGCTTCACAGAAGAGTGTCATTTTTTTTTCCCGGCGCGCGTCTATCCGCTAAGCGTGCCTGACATCGGTGTATCAAGTCGAGCTTGCTGTGAAAAACAATCAAACAAACAGAGAAGTCATCAACACGAAGGGAGAAAGGACAGCAATAGAGTGAACGTATTTGTTTTCTTTGGCTCGATAATTACCTGTGAAAAGAAACGCCGTACTTCAGCGGTGAGTACACCAATCATAACAAACGTCAATACGAAAACCGAAGGCAATAGAGGTGCGTAGCAACGAGCCGGCGAAAACGAAGGGTCGAACAGCTGCATTTGACTCAGGTCCACAAACAGACGTCTAGTCTCTCTCCCTCACATGCACGTAAGGGAGAGATAATACTTCCACTTTAGCCTTCTTTCTCCTTTTCATAGCCGTCCGGTGTTTGCAGGTCGTCTCGCACGTAGTTCTCTACTGCCACCACACTCACCTGATTCATCTTCTGTCGCAGCCACTGCTCACGCAGATCGATTCGATGTTGCTTGGTAGGAACAAACTCCGTCTCTGGAATGCCAAAGCTGCTCACGTCGGTTTTCTTCATCAGGCCACGGTCCATGCGGCATTGCAGGTACTCGCGGACCTGATCGCGGCACATCGGCGAAACGTACTCGTTCTCCTTCAGACACGTGTAGTACTTCTCAATCTCGTTCTTGCACTCGCGGTAGTGGTCCAGCGGGAAGGAGCCGAGATCGGGCGCCTTCACCGAGATGAGCATGCTGTTCGCGGTCACACCGTTCGCCATGGCTGGGAAGAGGGTGCGGCGAGTTGGGAAGGAGAAACAAACAACGAAAGGAAGACGATGCGGTGCGCTTCTTCGGGCGGAAGCCGCGACTGATGGCTTCAACACAAAGCAAAGAGCTACTTTGTTGATTTCAGCAGCGAGAAGGGAGAAGGAAGAAAAACAACAGAAGTGAGGAGTTGAATGCTGAGGTGGGGCAAGGGAGGCGGCACTCCCCCCAAAAAACTACTTCCTTTTGGTACACCGAAACTGCACTGGCTCAAGTGGTCCAGCGTCGATGAGCTCCATGAGCGCGCAAAGCAGCAGAGGAAGGAATCCGTGCCCTGTCAGTTTAACGTCGGCTTTGTTATTAGATGGGAGGCTTTTTGAGTGTGTGTTGAACAGAACACGGTTTGCAGGAGAAACACTCCGAACAACACGGAATTGCGTTTCACCTGCTCATTCGTCGGAGTCGCTCAAGACGACATCGTTGAATGCGTAGAAGCCGGTCGTCGGAGCGGTAGTTGCCGCTGTGGCTTCTGCATCGGCCTCACGCGGCTGCCCCAACGCTCCAAATTCCCCAGAGAAAAGAGTGCTGGTAGCACCTGGAGGAGGGGAAGCCTGCACTTGTGATGCGTACGCGTAAACTTGACGGTGCACGGCTTCTCCCGCGGTCACTTCCGATTCGACAGGGTAGCGGGCTACACCGTGCATGGGTGCACCACTGCGTGAGGCGACCTGTGTACCTGCCATTTCTGTCCGCTGCTGACGCAACGACCGTGGAGTCCCACCGCCACCACCTCTGCGAGGCAAACTGCGTCCAGGCGGGGGTGCGGCCGCGCTCGAAGGCCGAAAGCGATGACGTTCCGTGAGGACTCCTGCATTTCTGGGAGAAGGTGCACGGTCCTTGCCGTGATCAGCAGGGTCGTCGCTGAGATCGGAAGGAGAGGAAATGGAGCATGAAAGCGAATCTTCAGACCGTGCGGGTGACACCGGTTCGAGCGGCTTCTCAACCTCGGATGGCAGCGGCGTAGGGAGCGAGCAGGAGACGTCCATCAGCGTGCGACCACAACCACCATCACTCATCACTTCGTGACATTCCCCTTTCGGAAGTGCAGGAGTCGGTGGGATAGAACACGCCTCGTGAGCGCGGCTAACGACTGGCAGTGCGTCCCGCTCGTCTTCCGCCAACCTCACGTCCTCGCGTGCGCGTGCGCGTTTGCGAGGCGGTGTCTCCTGCAACCCTTCTGCATCGCGGCATCGTTGTGAGCCAAATGTATGCACCGTGGCGGTTGCTGGCTGCGCTCCCTGTGAAGGTCGCGGTTCGGTCAGCGCTTTCGACGCACGCTGGCTCGCCAACCCACTCAACGCAAACAGCACTTCGACCGGCACGTCCCAGTCTAGCGGCGGACCACGTGGAAAGCCGTGCCCGACTCTGTCCTCTACGGCGGTATCGCCACCACCAAAGGTCCGCACAGGCTCGCCCGTCATTCCCGTTCCCGCTGCGTTGACGAAAGGCTGCAGACGCGCGTGCTCATCCACGTCTGCTGGGGCACCAGCGAAGGGCCGAAAAGGCGGTGGCGGCTTCAGCGCGTTTGCCGTCGCCGTCGCACCTGCAACGTACGGTGAGGACGTCTCCACGAGATCTGACGGCGCAGCGGCTCTCGAGTAACGATGCACCATGCGACTGTCCTCGCCGTATGCGTCAGCGGAGTTGCCGGTCAGCACCATCGTCACACCTCCATCTCCGTGCATCGATGCTGCAGCAACCGCCGCCGCTACAGCAGAAGCAGTGGTGGTGGTGGCGTGAAACGAAGGCATGGCCAGCGGGTCGTAGAAGCCGTCCGCTGCGAGCGAATTCACGCTTGGGCTGACGGTGGTGCTTGTGCGGACGAAGGAAGGCAGCGGTGCCGCAGATGTCGCGGGGTCCACAGAATGCCAAGGACGATAGCTCTCGTTGTGGTTCTTGTGAAGAGAGGCAGCGGTGCATTCAGGCGGGTGCGCGTACTCAGCAGCAGCATAAGGGCCCGTGCCATCAGCATTCCCTTTCTCATGTTGCACCGCTGCTGTTGTTGCCAGGCTGCCCGGACGCTGCTGGCGCTGCTGACTTTGTTCGTGGAAAGGTGGGTGTGGAGCAGGAGACGCGTCCACCACGTGCAGCGTCTTTGGCGTGCGTTCTGGCGTATGTGCCTCCGCGTCGATCGTGAAAGAATCAGAAGGAGCAGGAATCGCAAGAGAAGCATCCGGCGATGACTGGATTTGTGCCGATGCAGGCCGCTGTGGAGTGCTGGAGCGACCTGGGATTTCGTACACCAGCCGATGTGGCGAGCGATCGGCTACCGTTGTCGCTGCTGCTGTTGCCGTCCCTGCGTGGGACGGCCTGCAGAGGTGCGTTGGGCTGCGCTCGGACTGGTACAGCGCAGGGTGTGCGGAGGTTCGCACGGGACTCATACCGCGATGACGCCGTGAGTCCAGATCGGCCACCTCGCCGTGGTGGGCAGGAAGGGCGTAGCAGTTCCCTCCTTCGCTGCGCTTCGACACGACCCGCAGACGCTCTTCCAGCTCCAGTGCGAACTGCGCTTCTTGCTGCCGCACAACGGCGTCTGTGGTGAAGTTGTAGCTTGCCAGGACAATGCGCTGGCTTGAGTAAACGTGGTAGGGATGCGCGATGTAAAGGTGCTCCCCCACCAGCGCCTGAATCTGCATCAGCGCAGGCTCGGGAAAGAGGAAGGTCCACGGAAGGTCTCCGACGTCCGAAAAAGCGGAGGAAGGGAGCGGCGCCGCTTGAAGCGGTCTCAATAAAGTATGTCTGTTGTCTTCCTCGTCCACGGTGCAGATGGCACCTTCACTGGCAGCAGCCGCTCCACTGATTGGCGACATACGAAGACGTTGACGAGCGTGCTCGCTGCACCACACTAAGGTACCATGCACCACCGCCACGTTAAAGGCTGCTTCGATGTACTGCACGCGAATCTTCAATTCCACCCCGCACTCTTTCCGTTTCGCGTCCAAGGCGGTGGCGGCCGCTTTCCCCGTATAGTTGCCCTCGCCAGCGTGGACGCCTCTGTGTGTCTTGCTTGTGTATGGCAGGACTGGTGCGTCGTCAGCGCTCGAGATGGACACGTCTCCGTCGCCGCTGTTTTCATCCCCTGTCGACGCCCCAGTAGGCAACGAGTCGCGGTCATGGGTGTGCTGCTGCAGCTGAAGTCCATAAGGCTTCCAGCGGTCAAAGCAGTCGCTCAGGTACGCCACCACCGACGTCGCCGTTGGATTGTGCTTGCACAGTCGCTTGCCTTCTTTCCAGCTGGCGAGAAACAAAGACCCTGTCGCCTGCGCTGCTGAAGCAAAGAAGCTGCTCGCCGTCGTACCGGCTGACGTGTAACATTGAAATCGCGAAGGCGCATTCGAAGTGGAGTGCAACGCCGCTGCTGTTGGTGGTGGATTTGAGTTTTTTCTATTCGGTGGTCTTCGCGAGGCGGCGCAGGAGGGACAGAAAGTGGTGGGCTTGCCAATGAAGGACTGCAGCACTTCCACGCGCTCCTGCTCAAGGACAGCGCTCGACCGCTCTGCCACACCAGCACGCGGACCACGAAGATCCAGTTCGTACTGCGGCTGGCGCTGCCGCTGCTGACGCGCCTCGCGCTGCAGCACCCACTGCGGTACATCGTCGTCGATGTCTCGCATTAAATCGTCAGACAGGAAGGAGGTGCTTCGAGCCGAGCTGGATTGACTCCGGCTCTTGCTGCCGCTGCTGCGGCTCCTGGAAGTAGAACACGTAGAGGCCGCCGTCATGCTGCCGGCACCGTCGTCACCTACCTGTACAGCTCCTGTGGCGCGGTCACGTGGACGGCGGTGACCACGAGGCAACTGCTCTTCTGGACTTGCAGGTCGCCGCGCCCGGTGACCCATCAACACCTCCTCCAAAAGACTCTGATCTGCCGCAGCTCGCTGGCGGGTAGATTCTACTGTTTCCTCTAGGCGCTGCAACCACGTTGTTTCTTCCTTCGAGGTTGCTTTGCCTTTCATCGACGCCCGTGTGGAGAGCGACAAATTCAGCCCAGTTTCTCGCTTACCACCACCACCACCACCACCGTCAAGGAAGTCACGGAGACAGGCATCTTCTTCTGATGCTGGACGCACCGCAACACGCTGCGCCGCACGGCGTGGCGGCTGCTCGCCACTGGACACACTTGAAATGTCCGAAGCCGAATCGTCGTCTTCGCTGTTCTCGCGTGCTTGCTCTTCCCCACCTTTGCGCAGCGCTCGACTGCCTACTTTAGCGGACGGACCATCGCCTTTCTTCTGTGCGGAGACAGCACCGTGCAGGTGGGCGGGGAGGAGATGACGGAGGCGGCGATCAGGGCCGCTTTGAGGTGGTGTCGCTGCTGCGGACGCGCTTGAAGTTCTCTGCGCGCCGCCTTCTCCCACTGGATAAAGCGAAGTCGCAGATCCAGTCGTTGACGACGTCAGCGCAGGGTCAACGTGAGGCCTTGCGTCATGTATGCACTCCATCGGCGAGCTGCCTGCAGTTGTGGCGAGGGTGGTGTGACTCACGCTGCTGCCACCGCCGGGAGGAAGATTGGGGGTGCTATGCATTACGGGAAGCTCATGCTGCTGCTGCTGCTGACGCTGATGACCGGCAGATGCGCGATCGTGCCGCTTCAAGGCTGAGGTCTGCAGGTGCGAGGGAGAAGTGGAACTCTCGAAGGGGCGTCCATTTCCACCCACCGCCGCCGAAGCCACCGCCGCCGCCGTCGCTGCCGCTGGGAAAAGCATCCGATAGGTCGCGTCACGCGCCGACCGGACGGCGGACAGCGACGTCGCCGCGGCGGAGCCTCCTGGCGCGGATGAGACGTTCGTAGAACGGCTGCTGACTCGCGTAGTAGCATCCACCTGCGCTGCCTTACCTTCTCCCTCCTTCAATTTCTCCTTGCGGCGCTGTGCTACTTCCACGAGAACGTCAAACATCGTCCGTCGCCCAGCGCCACGCAGCGCAGCGGGTACGCTCACGGCGTGGTCCATCGTCGCGACGGCGGTGTTGACGAAGCCGACGTATTGCCGCAGCGCTGCTCGTTTGGTGCTTCTTCGTTGGTGCGGGGTGGGCGCGTCACTTTGGCGAAGGGGATCGCCGGCTTGGCAGTCGCGATCGTCACACGCCGTTTTGCTCGTCGTCTTCTGCTGCTCTTCCTGTTTGTTCCCTTCAGTGATGGACATGTTTGGTGCTGTCGTGTGGCCGTCTCTGAAGACTGATGCCGCAGGGGCGGTAGCTGGTTCATCCTGGCTTCTGTTTTTCCGATTCGTTTCCCACGCCGACATCCCCGCGTGTTGGTCGTAGAACACTTCTACAGGTCCGTAGCCGTCATGTTCATCGCTAATGCTGTCCGCATCGTAGTCGTCGTCGTCATCATCGCGTCCGCTTTCATTGCGGTCGTCGGCTGTTTGGAAGGGAGGTGCCGCTGTTCGGGTGTCTTGGCGACGTTTGTTGTGCGCGTCCTCTGTGTCCGCCTCGTCGTCGTGCACGAAGCTGGAGAGAAGAAATGCTCGACCGTGGCTCATTGACGTGTGGGCAAAAGGTGTATCGGTGCGTGTGTGCGTGCAGACCGAATTTGCTGCAAAGACAGAAAAAAGAAAAAGAAAAAGAAAAACCAAGACCACAATAGCAGGGTGAATGGAGGTTTTCAGGGAAGGCGACGCGACGCAAACACTGTTTGGAGGTAAAACAAAACAGGAGTTCTTCTTCTTGGCCTATGTCTGATGCGTCCGAAGTGGACAGCACAACGTCTGCGGACTCAACGATTCGATCTCGAGGAAGCACCGCGAGGAAAACGCACGAAAGGCGCGGCGCAGTCTCCTTCTGTATGGCTGATCAGCTGTGCAATTGATGTTGGCTATAAATAAGTGTGTATGAGTATCTGATGAACGTTCGAAACCATATTTTTCCTTTCTTGTTGGCTGTGCGAATCGTAGTAGGAATGCCGGTACACCTCAAAAAAAGAACCCCAATAGTAGAAGAACACACTGCGGTTGTTTCTACAAAACAAAGAACGTCGTTGCGGCATGCAGACAGGCGTTATGATTCTTCTTATTAATCTTTTCATGGCAACGGTATCCTCCTTTGCGCACAGGCACGCCTCTGAACTACAGAGCGGAAAGCAACAAGAAGAAGGGACAGAGAGGGAGACGATGCGATGGATGACGCTAGTGAGATTGTGATGCAGCTGTACAGTGGTGAGCCCTTTATTATTATTATTATTATTATCACCGTTGCTTTTTGAAGTCAAGAGGAGTACAGGACAGACGACGTTTCTCTTCACAGACAAGTTTGCGCTGCAACGAGCTAACGGGCTTCATCTTCTCTCTCTCTCTCTCTTGGAGTTGGCTTGTGGAATTCGAAGTAAAAAATCGACTGTCATGAGTGGTGACAGAAGTCTATAAAAGGTCAAGGACAGCAATAACTGTGTACACACACAGGGAGAGAGCGAGGCAAGAACAACAACAACAACAGAAGCAGTCTAAACACGCAAAGGTGCAACTGTTTTTATGTGATATTCAGTGAAGAGCGAACACGCGGCATCGCATCAAACGAAAGAAATCCCGCGTCGTCTGTCCGCTCCTTTTTTTTTTATTAGTGGCAATAAAAACCTCTAACACAGCGACAGTAGCAGAGGGAGGGAGAAGAGAAATGCCCTCATTTTGCGCGTTAGCCCTCCTGCCGTGTTCTATCTGTCATCCACGGTTTCTCTCGTGGTGGTGCCGCCCGTTGTTGTTGCTCCTCCAACAGCTGGTGCCCTTGGGCCGCCTGCTTTCGGAGTAGAGGAAGAAGGGGAGGGGAAGGTGGAGTGCAACTCAACCGTTGTCGCTGCCGCACGGCAAGACGCTCCTCCGCCACCTGCCGCTCCGCCTCCGCCAGCTCACGCACGGCCGCCTCACGTGCCATTTGTGTAACGTACTGCTGCTTGCAGTAGGCCTGCATCTTAGCGTGTTCCAGGTCATCGCAGTAATAGGAAGAAGTGGAAGGCGGAGCGAGGACACCATGAAGTCCTCGTCTACGGTCGCAACCCACTTCACCCTCCCACGTCCCATAGTGTGCCGGGGCGGCACCGCGACTGCTCTGCATTGCGTTTCGCGACGCACCGGGAGAAGCTGCCGGGACTGCTCTCGATGCTCTTGTTGGTTCGCGTGGAGGGGTGGAAGCGTGGGCCTGAAGTTGCGGTGGAGGAGTGTCAGCCGCGACCGCACTCGATGACGGCGCCTTTGTGAATGGCTCCAGGAACGACTCCGGATACCCGTGCGAGGCGTACCTGCTGTAAAGCGCATCATCGAGGGCGTAGGCGGACGTTAACGCTGGCGTCGCCGCAGCAGGCGCACGAGATGTATCGAAGGAAGGGAAATAACCGGCAAAGGACGGTGCCGCAGAGGGGAAGGCACATGGAGAAGCGCCCGTCAACGCCTCGCCGCAGTGCGGGCAGCAGCAAGAGCGGGAGCTGTCTTGCCCACCGCGGCGACGGTGTCCGTGCGATGCGTTCTTCTCCTCGTCCTCGGCTGAGTGGCGCTTCTTCTTTCTCCGTTTCTCTGCATTGGCGCTGCTGTCGTTGTTATTTTTGTCTGCAGACTTCGAAGGCGCAGACGTTGCTGATGCCACTGCCTCACCAGATGTGCTGCCGGCCTCAGCGGGTGTGGTGCTCGCGTACCAGTCCTCCCACGCCTTCACTTTTCGTAATGCGGCATCTAACTGCGTTTGCAGTTCGGATGTTGCCGGCGGCGGCGGTGGTGGTGGTGGTGGTGGTGGTAGAGGTAAAGAAGGTGCAGCGTCACACACTGCAGGTGCCGTAGCGAGAGGAATCTGTTGCTGCCGTTGCAGCTCCTCCTGCACAAGTCGATAGGACACTTTCGCGTGACTCAACTGCGTCTGTGCGGCGAGAAGCTCCTGCGTGAGAAGCCGCAGGGTGCGCCTTCTTTGCTCTTCTTTGTCGTCCGGAGCGCCATGGCGTGCCGGTGATAGCGTGGTGGATGTCCTTCCTGCAGTGCTGCCGCAGTCGTGCAATTCCAGGAGCACTCGATGGAGCAACGCCTCTCGCTGGTCTAAGGTGTCGCGCAGCTCCACGATTTGACGCGTCATTTCCTCGACCGACGCATCCACGCGTGTGCTTGGAGAGCTGCTGAGGTTTGCTATAGAGGGAGACGCGCGTGTCTGCGGTTCGCTTGTGTGTTGCGTGGATGCTACAGCAGCAGGCACCGTGGTTGACGTTTCTGATGTTGTTGCGACAGAAGACGCGGCAACTGCGGAAATGCTGTTCGGTTGTGTGATGCCCTCCGTCGTGTTCTTCACCCCTTCAAGCGGTCGCGTGTTACCCTCTGCCGCCGCGGCTGCGGAAGCGGGAACGGAAGAAGTCGCACTTGTCGATGCATTCGGCTGAAGGGCGTTCGACGGCAACCGGTCGCTGCTCATGGTGACCAGAATGGGGGCGGGCGCGACAGACGCCGCGTTGGCCGGCGTCAGAGGAGGTGCAGAGGAGGTGCGGAATGGGTAGCTAGAAATAATGTCGACGTGACTGTGAGCGCTATTCGCGCTATTAGCAACAGCAGCAGCAGCGCGCCTCCTTAATAGCGAAGGGTCAGCGGAGGCCCAGACCGTTGCACCCGGTGAGGACGAAGGAAGGGGAGAGACTCCCTCAACCGCGGACACAACGGTGGCGCCGGCGGCCGCTCCTTGAAGAGGGATGCCTGCTGTGTTGCTTCCACGCAGAGATGCCGGTGCGGGGGAGAGAGGGACGTACGTTGTGTTCGCTGCAGTGGGCAATGCTTGGGCTGTAGCTGCTGCTGCCGAAGAAGACAGATACTCTACCTCCGCATTCTGCGCCTTTTCCTGGCTGCTGTCCTCGCTCCACGTCGCGCGAGTCACAGGTTGCCGGTTGCTTGTGTGCGTCGAACCAGCGGCTGCAGTGTGCGCCGTGCGGGACATGGACGGGTCGACGCGCTGCCCAAACGCTAAACTGGGTCGGCCGCCGTTTGACCTTACCGCGGTAGAGGGCGAAGACTGTCGCCGTGGCTGCTTGGAGGACGTCATCGACGGTCTACGTGTTGAACCGAGGTCGGCGGGCGATGCAGCAGATGAGGGGGTGACGCGTGGGATCGGTACAACGGAGGAAGGCCCAAAGTGAACGCGTCGCGGCGGGGAGCCGGGGGTCGACGCCTGCCGCAGTCTTTCGTTCTGCGCCAGACCGGTGCGGAGGAGATGCACCTCCTGCTCTAACACCCGGACCTGGGCTTCGAGGTTAGCCGCGTGGACCTGCTTGCTGGAGGCCGCGCTGCCGTCATCCCCAAGCGGACGTACCGCCCGTCGATCGTCTTGATTCATTGGTATCGCAGCGGTGGACGAAGGTATGAAGTTGTGTGGGTGGGACCCGGTGTAGCTCATGGGCTGCGCTCTCTGCGATTGGTTTTGGTCTTATCTGCGTTGGTGCTTTGAGGGTCAGAAGCAAGGACTGCAGTCCGTCGTGGAGGAGAGGTGATAGGACGTGCCTCTATGAATGGTAGTTGTACAAACACAGCTGTATGGTGGGAGGGATGTAGAGCAGGAAGCGAGCCAAATGGTGCGGCAAAAGGTCCAGAGGTGCGCAGGCGCTCTTCACAACGCGACAAAAACAAATCTATCTACCTGTTGTTTGTTTTTCTTCACTATTGCCGCTGCTCCTTTTCGTGACCGGCAGGGTTGCGCAAGAGAACGGTGTGCAAAGAGGAAGAAGAAACATATATCTATGAAGCTGTTGTGTTCTATAATCGCTATATATATGAAGTGGCGTGAGAGTCGTGCTATTCCTATTTGATTTGACCTAAAAACAAGGAAAAACAACAACAGCAACAGAAAGAAGAGGTCTTGTCTCAAGTGAAGCTCGCAACGCTGTGCTGGTCGTACTTCACGGCGAAACGCGAAGGGAGATTTTACTTTATTCAAAGAAAAAATGCGCCGATTCGGCGAGACTCCATGGCGATAGACCACGCGAGAAGGTGTGGTGGGGGGGAGGCGTGAAAGAGAGAGACAGAGAACAGGAGCTTGCACAACCTTGAGAGCTGGAAAAGAAATAAGACACGTTCAACCTTGTCCATACATTTTTTAGTTCACAAAGAAACAACAGCAGTACCCCGAACGTACGTGGCGTACGTTAGGTTGCTTATCTTGTTCCTTGCCTCTTTGAACACCAAGCTCGAATACACAATACATTTGGTGGAAGCAAGCGCTGTGCCAAAGCCAAGTGCGACGGTACTCGATGAACGACAACATTTCAAGCCGAAAGCGGCTTCACGAACCGCAAAGGATAAAAAATATATACGTTTTCAAGTTTTTCTTTCTTTTTCGAGACAACGTTCCGAGTCCTATTTGAGAACGACAAACACAAAAAGCCCACAACACATTTTTACTCTTGAGACCGTGACCTCAGACCTCTCTGCGACTCACCATGTAAAGAGAAGGAGAAAGCGACAGAGAGGTAAGGACGGGGGGAGGGTATAAGAAAGTAAAGATATATGTAAAACAGAAGCTAAAGCGAGTAGAGGAAGAGATAGTAAAATGGGAAAAAGAAAAGAAGAGAAAAGCTTGTCCTCTCTTTCTTTGGCTTTACCATTTTGCTGCCCCTTCCTCGCTCACCAACAGTACAGCGATTTTGGCGTGGAAAAAACAACAGCGAAGAAGGACGAAACTCGGGCTAGGGGTGAAGTATGCGTTATCTGTCTTTCTAAAAACTTCGTCTCCCAGCTAGTGTGTCAACGTGAGAGCCGCTATTTCGTGTATTCACGCAGATTAAAACAAACAAACAGGGAAAAAAAAACCGTACACACGCCACAATTCATAAGAGAAGTGCGATGTATAGAAGTCTTTTGCTGCCCCCACACGCGTGTGTGTGTGTGTGTGTGTGGAAGAGTCCGTCATCAAATCAAAGGCTGATGTGCACGCACTCCTTCATCAAGAAGGAAGTTACAAGACGAACTAGAGAAAGGAGAAAGGAAAAAAAAAACGGTACAGAAATGCAAATACTCAAAAGCGACGAAGAGGTACACGAACAACAACAATTAAAAAAACCCTTTTGCGCGCACCTACCACAGCATGGCAGACAGACCAGGCAGGTGAAGAAAGAAACAATGTGGACTCTCTCGGATAGCTGAGTTCGTGTTCCACGCTCCTCCCTTTCCCACACCGTTCGAGGAAGCAAGTCAATGACCGTGTATGTGAGGGCGCCGTATACGTTCTCGCACCTTCAGCGACCAGCTTACAACTCATCACCCTCGTCCTTGGGTGTCGCCTTCTTGGAGCTGTGCCGCGACGCTGCCGCCGCAGGAGTGGACAGCTCCTCGGCCTTCATCAGGTCTTCCGCGGCCGCAGGTGGAGCTGCAGCTTTATCCTCTGCCTGCTGCTCAGCCTCTGCAGCCGGTGCGGTCTCCTCCGCCTTCGGGGCCTCAGGAGCCGCCGCCGCCGCACCACCGGCGCGCGGGCACGTGGCGGTCGCAATCGCGTTTGCGCTCGCAGTAGCCCTGTCGTTGTAGGCCTTGCGCACCTCCTCCGAGTGTTGCTTCGCCTCCTGCAGCTTCGCCGCAATGGTCGCCTCGTCACCGTCCTCGGGCGTGATGGCGGTGGTGGGATGTCCCCTCGCGTCCTTCTCGCTCGAGCGGATGCGGGCGGCGTAGGTCGGGTCCTGCAGCACGCGATAAGCGTCCAGTTTCTTGCGCAGCAGTTGGCGGTGCGCGGCGGCGGCACGCACGTCGTCCAGCGAGTACTCCGCCGCCGGCGGGATGCTGACACTGCTGCCGGCCGTGGCCGTCTCCGCCGGTCCGCGGGCCTTCTCGTTGTGCGCCTCCAGCTTCTCGATGGAGGAGTGCACGCTGCCGTCGATATAGCTCACGTAGCCCTGTCCGTTAGCGGCGAGCAGCATGCGGGTGCCCTTCGAGAAGCCCGCCACAGCGCTGTTGATTTCCTCCTGTGTCCGCGGCATCGCCGAGAGGGCCTCGTTTTGCTCCTCTTCGACGTCGCTGTCGGCATCGCTGTCGCCGTGCAGTTGGCGCCAGCGGTCGGCGTTGCGCTGCGCCTCGGCCTCCTGCTCGCGGCGGCGCACCTCGTCCGCCTCCTGCTGCCGGCGCTGCTCCTCGGCGCGCTCCTCCTGCTCGATGCGCTGCCGCTCCTCTTCCTCCGCGCGGGTCGCCTCCTCTTCGGCGCGCTGGCGACGGCCCTCCTCCTCGCGGCGCTTCCGCTCATCCCGGCGGCGCTGGCGGGCCTCTTCCTCGGCGCGCAGCTCCTCCTCCGGCAGGAGGTCCAAGTCCCGCTTGATCTGGTACAGGCGCTCCTTCAGCTCGGCGATCACCTGCTGGCGGTGGTCGTAGTTGTAGTTGTCCACCGTGGATTTGTCGCCGCGCAGCAAGGCGGTGTCGACCTCCTCCGTCTCGGTGCCGTTGTACCCCATCCAGTTGTACCGCTGCTTCGTGATGATGACGCTCATGGTTGGAGGGTGAGGGAGTTGGGTGGGGATGAAAGAAAGAATGATAATGTGGCGGTGCTGCGGCTTAGAAAAAGTGTCGATGTTAGAAGGAAATAAAAAAAAAAACAAATGAAAGACGATGTGAAACTGAGCGGTATTCCAAGTTTTTTTTTTTTGGGGAGGGGGGCGGATATTGTGCTCAAAACAAGGAGAGATCAGTGAACAACATAAAGAGGAAATTGAAAGATAGCAGGGAGTGTTGTGAATGACGCGACCGTTGGCAGCAGCTTGGGGCAACACGCGTGCCGGCAAAATGCAGAAAAAAAAAGCGATTACACAGGAGTGCCGTACAGGCAAACATCGTTTGACTTTCCTCGCTTGCGGTTCTTGCACAAGACAAATACTGTAAGACACACCGTACTTTGGTGCTGGCCGGTCGTCCACCGCTAGTGTTCTGCTCGCTTCACATCGGATAGACATGGGAAATATATATACGCCCCTAACCAGCGCTTCTCAGCTGTTGTTGTGTTTTGGGGATTTCAAGAAGCTGCAAGACAAAAAAATTTCTAACGAGGCTTTCATGCGTAGACACCGAGAAGAGAGAAAGAGCGAAGCAGGCTATGTGCTCGTTAAGCCGCCCCCGCTTTCGCAAACCGGAGGGGTAAAAACACACACACACGCCGCCTGAACAACAACAATATTAATGAGGCATCCAACAAGCCAGAAAAAAAGGGTGTTACAAAGTCTATCCGAACGAACCCACAAAACACATAATACGAAAAGGTCCGATAAGAAAACAAAAGAGAAGGTAGAAAAATCGCTCTCCCGACGGAGAAGGATACCAGGCAGAAACAAGAAACATGTATTCTAAGAAAAAAAAAACAAGAAGTGCTCGGTTCTCTCTCAACGCAGTCAACACAAACTCGATGCGCAAAAGACATCGCGCTGGCAGACGACGCACCTTTGGCGCGAACAATTGCGCTGCCCACCCAACTCTTCTCTACGCAGGCAGCAGACAGTTGGACAGCCACTTTATGACGAAGGAAATCACCACCGCCACAACAAAAAAACGTCGCCAAAGAACAAAACAGAAGACAGGAGGAAAGCCCGGGTCCTACGGTGAAAAGCGATCTAGTGCTCCACTGTGGTGACGGGGGGATGGTACACTGGGGAATGAGGCCGACTAATATCCCAGCGAGGACGCAACGGGCTGGAATTCAGGTCTGTCCGCCACGGCGGAGAAGCGGTGCGCTGTTGTGGACTGCGCGGGCGGTGAAGTGGAGGGGGCGCACCTCCAGGCGTCTCTAGCAGTACGTGAACCTGCGGCTGCACCGATGGGTAGCTGGGCCGCCGCTGCTGAGGAGAGGTGTTTCTCCCCAGGCGGGACTGCCGCTGTTGGTACTGCGCAGCTTCGTACTCGTCCTGCGCACGCAGCTTCTGCAGCCGGCTGTCCAACTCCGCTAAGGTCGGCACACGACGCTCTGGCGCGTTAAACGAAACCGTCGACGGGTCTGACCAGCGTGGGGCGTAGCGGTGCTGCAGCGGACGTTGTGGCAGGGAGCCCGCTGCGTCTGCTCTTGCCTGTCTGTTTGGATCGCCGTGCTCACGGTGCGGATGCGGCTGTGAGGTCGGTTGGAAGCGATGCCCGCGGCTCGCCTCGTCCTCGCGCCGCTGCTGAGAAACAAGCGGCTCATTTCGCGCCCGCTTGTCCACTTGCGGCTGCGAGGTGGACGAGGTCGAGGTCGTGTACGGAGAATATGAGTCCGACGACGCGGACGGGGGCTGTGGCTGCGTGCTCCTCGAGGCCGCCGCCGGGCGGTCCTTGCGCACCTCCGCAAAGCGTGGGTGCATCGGCGCAACTGCCTTCATGTAGGACACGAGCACCGGCTGCGGCTCTGGGGCATCTGCGCGGACGGTGGGCCGCGGCTGCGTGCGTGGGGAGGCCGTCGGCTGCCGTCGCGTGGGTTGCCAGTCAGCGCTCGTACGACGCGGGTGGCCGTAGGGGCCTGGCGACGCACGGCGCTGCGGGGCCGCCGCAGGGCTGCTCGCACGCGGTGGGCGAGCGTTGTGCACCCGCGCGGCGTACGGGTCGTGCAGCGCTGCGCGGACACCTGGGGTGCGCAGGGGAGGAGAGGCGCGCCGACCAACACCGCTCTGCATCCGTGAGTTTGCTGCCGGTGGGGACGGCGATGGCCGCTTGACCTTCTTTGGGTTTGCCTTCGCAAAGGTCGCCGCGGCAGCACGCACCGCGTCCGGCGGGAACAACTTGCTGGGAACGTAGTTGCACGGCGTTGGCGGCTTCGGTCGACGCGGTTCCTCGGCACCGCCGCCGCCCAGGGGCACGAAGAAGGCAGCTGCCGTCCTCTTGCGCTCCGTCTTCGGGTCCTGCAGGGGCGGCTGCGATTCGTCGGGCGTGGACGACAGCGGCACCGCTTGCGCCTTCTGCTGTTCTGCTCCTTCGCTTCTCACCGGTGTCGTGGGTCCCGGTGCTGGCCTGGCGGACGCGCTTCCGGCCGCTTCCGGATTGCTTTCAGGGCGAGGAGTAATACGAACCGCCGCGGAAGGTGCCGAGGCCGCCGCACTGCTCCTGCTCGATGCGCTGCCGGTCCGTCTGCAGCCGTCTTGCGAGGACGCCGGGACCCGATGGGCGGCGGAGTCAGCACGGGGAGGCTGCGACCCACGAGAGCTTTTGTCTTCCTCCACGGCGACATCAGCGACGCGTTGCGGCGCCGGCTGCGACGGGGCGGCCGGTAGAGGGACCTGCGGAGGGGGTGTCTGCGTCAGGCCCGCCGGCTGCTGCTGTTGCTGTTGCTGCTGCTGCTGCAATGGCTGAGGTTGTGATTGTATGTACATCGGCTGCCACGACCACTGGGGCTGCATCGCCGGAGTCGGGTAAGGACATGGGTACGCGTGCGGCATGCGTGGGTTGCCGGACGGATAGGCGATGGGCTCCCCTGCCGTCATGGCCGCCACTGAGACCGGGTTGGCGTACAAGCCGGGGTGATCGAAGTAGTATTGTTGAGGGTTTTCTTGGTGCTGCGGCTGCGGAGGCTGCGGAGGGAACGGAGGAGCAGGACGGTAGTAGGCGGCGGGTGGAATCATTGACGGCGGCTCCTGCGGCCGCCACGTCGAGGTTCCCGCGTCGTACCGATCCGGTGCGTCTAGTGACAACGCACCAGGACTGTTGTTGACGCTGTCGCTGGCATCCGTCGAGGTTCGGAAAGAAGTCTGCACCTGCTGATTTCCTCGCAGAGACTGCGACACCTTCGGATACTGCTGTTGTCGTGCGTAGTCGCGTAGCTGCGCGCGAAGGTGTGCGCTGCAGCACAGCTTGCGTGCCGAGTTCTGTCGCAGCCCGCAGTGGCGGCAGATCATCTCCCCACAACGCCAGCACGGCGAGGTCGCGTCGGCGCGGTAGCAGCGCGGACACACCTGGCTCGCCTGCGGGAGAGCACCGGTGGAGGTGACTGCGGTGTTGGTTGTCGCTGCCGGTGCGCCAGCAGCAGCGTACGGCCGCTCGCCTTCGGCGGCTGCGCGTGTGGTGCTGCGGCGCGGCGGTGGAGGGGAGTACTCGATGATGACGGAGGCGGGCTTCGACGGCTCCGGTTCGTTGTATGCGTGGCCACCGCCTCCTCCTCCTGCGTGCGATGACGGAAGTGGATAGCCGCCATCTCCACGGCGGAGGTCTTGTCCTGCGTGTGCACCCACCGCGGCGCCTTGCGAATGGGCACGGTGGGTTGGGAAGAGCACGCGCGACGCGGCTTGGCGGGGCTGAGCAGCAGGGGCAGCCGTCTGTGACTGCGGATGCGGCTTCCATGGTACAAAGGGTTCATATCGGTACTGGTTTGGTGGAGGCGGACCACGCGTGAATGGCGCCGCTGCTGACGCTGTGCTGCCGCGACCGTCACCAGCCGTCCAGTACGGCTGATCGTCGAAGTAGACGGAGGAGGTGCTCGACATGGCGTTGCCGATGACAAAGCCCGGCGCGGCAGCAGTGGCGGAGGGCACCGGGACTGCAGCACCAGCAGGACTGGACACCGAGGAGTACGCCAGCGGAGTCTCCTCGTTGCGACCGCCGTGCACCCGTTCGGAGCCCAACGAAGGCGTGCGGTCCGACGTGCGCTGCCGCGACGGTGGATAATGCGGACTCACACTCATCTCGCTCCGCACGTGGGAGGACTCCAGCTCGGCCACCTCGTGTGCCGCCCGCATTCGGTCACTCTCCCGCCGCTGGAAACGGCGCTCGCTGAGCTCCGCGTGCTGCTCCGCTTGATCGTGCAGCAGCTGCGCCTGCTGTTGCGCAGCCACAATTTCCATTACGGCTTCGCGAATCGCCGCCCGCACCACATCCGCCGGGTCGAAGTTGTAGAGACCAGCGCCGCTCGCAGACGCAGCTGCGGCGGGGGAAGAAGAGGCGGGCAGCGGGATTCGCTGATGCGACAGTGAGGTGGGCTGTGCGGAGTGAGCGGAGAGGGGGGTGCTGGCACCCGCTCCAAGCATCACACGCGGCGGCGTCGAGGCGTTCTCGGCCTGTGGCTCTGCAGCAGAGGAAGCCGAAGCCTGCTGCTGCTGGTGCTGCTGCACAGACGTAACACGTGGCACGAGCGACGAGGTCTGCGTTGGCGAAGGGGCCAGCGGCGGTGTCTGGATGGAGTGCCGAGACCCAGGAGACACCACCGATGCTGGGACCACGGCGGACGCCGACGCCGAGGCGGCCAAAAGACGATCAGAGCGTGACGGCGTGGTGGCAATGGATACGCTGGCGTGCCGACTGGGTCGCAGGCTACTCGTCTGCGGGAGGATGGCCACGCGCCCCTCCGCCCGCAACGGAGTCGTATGCAGCGAGGATTGGCTGCGCGAGTCGAAGTCCCGCATGCTATCCTGTGCGCTCCGCACCCGCTGCGACGCCTGCTGCACCTCGACCTCTCGTGCTTGCTGCCGTCGCTCCATCTCCGCAATGCGCTCCTCCATCGCGGCGGCGCTGCGGGCGGCCTCCTCGCGTGCCAGCCGCACCGCCTCCGCTGCCCGCGCCTCGAGCTCGCCGAGACGACGGATGGCGTCTGCCTTCTCGTTTTCTTGCTCCGACAGTCGCAGTAACTTTTCGGCGCGTGCGCGTTCCTGCCATTCCGCCTCACGGCGCTGCGCCTCATGGGCGGTCCGTGCGGCCTCCGCTGCCGCCATCGCAGCTGCCTCGTCGCGCTCGCGCTGAAGCTCTTCGGCGGCTCGCTGCTGCGCCAACTCCAGCTGTCGCTCCGCGGCCTGCAGTTTGGCCTCCAACACGGCTCGCTGCTCTTCCTCGGCGAGGCTCTGCATCACGGCGGCGTGCTCGGCACGGCGGGCGGCCTCGTCCCGCACGTCGGACAGCTGGGCCTGCATCAGCCGCTCTGCCGCGTCACGGGCATCGCGGATGCGCTGCTCAGCCCGCTGCTCCGCTTCTCGTACGAGGCGCTCCGATTCGGCCTGCGAGGCACGGCGCTCCTCTTCGGCGCGGGCGCGTATGGCAGCCTCCTCGGCGACGCGGCGCTCCGCCTCGCGCAGTCGCTGCATGGCTGCGCGCATTTCTTCCTCGTGCTGTGCCTGACGAAGGTGCAATTCCTCCAGCTGCTCTGCGGAGATACGCGGGCTGTCCGCCTGCTGCGATGGGCGATCAGCAACGGTGGCGGTGGCAGTCGGGGCTTCCGCATTTACCGACCATTCACCAGGGGCCGTCTGGCGTGCGAGGGCGACGGAAGGCACACGTCCCGTCTTTTCGGTGGTTGGTGCCTCTTCCTCCTTTTCCCCCGTTTCTTCATACGGTGTGTTGTTTGTTAAGCCGGCGATAAGCTCCCGCCGACGCACCGCCGCCACGCCCTGCACAAACACCATGTTTGCCGTGCGCCGCTCCTCTCGCTCCTCTTCGCGCACGATGGCACGTCCCTCTACCTCGTCCGCGGCCAAGTCTTCTCTCTCGCGCTGACAGCGCTGCTGAGCGGCGGCCTCACGGCGCGCGGCAGACTTATGCGCGGCCTCTCTACGCAGTCGCTCCTCTTCCGCCACGGCGACGTCGCGTTGCATGTGGCAGCTGCTCTGCAGCAAATCGCGCGAGGTTGCTTCAAACTCTTCAAGTGCACGACGACCCAACTGCTCTTCCTCCACAAGTTGTGCGGCATCGTGCTGAAATTGTCGTTGCAGGCGCTCGTAGCGCAGTTCCTTGTACTCACGTTGCACGCGCTCGCTCTCTTCCGTGGCCGCCACCACGCGGTCGACGCACGCACCTGATACGATCCACGCCCACTCGTCCGCCTCTTCGTTTGCCACGTTGGCGCGATCTGCGTTCTCGTCTGCTTGTAGTTGTGCGAGCTGTTGCTGTTGCTGACGTGCGGCATCTGCTGCATCGCGGGCACGACGTTGGGCCTCTAGCGCGTGCGGAATCAACGCGGTGCGCCACTCCTCTGCGTTCCGCACGTAATGCGCACGCACCGCGGCCTCCGTCTTGCACTGCGCGTCTCGCTCGAGGGTCTCGCGTTCTTCCAAGGAGTGGCGGGCAAAAGCGTAGCGCTCCTCTTGCTGCTGCTGCATCTCGCGCTTCTGCGCCTCCGCAGCATCCAGTTTGGCCTTCGCCTGCGCCTCTTCTTCGGCTTCCGTTGGACGTGCGGCACGCGCAGCGGTCATAGGCGACGGCGTGCCCACCGAAGACGCCGTGCCGGCCACGGGTCTGGTGGCACTAGGCGCGTTCGCCGGGGTGTCCGCTTTCGGCTGCGGCTCGCCCGGTCCTTTTTGTGCTTCGTTGCCTGTTGCTGCTGTTGTTGGTGCCGCTGCACCGCCCGCCACTTCACCGTCCGCAACGCTGCTGCGAGGGGTGCGGTGCTTGCGACGGCTGAGACTGCCGCCACCAGACTTGTGAGCCGACGAGCGCTGCGAGAGCTCGTCGTCTGAGGTGGCGCTCACTTGGTCGGACAGGTCCGTCAGCGGCTGCTCCGGCTGGGAGGGCAGCGGCGTTGACGCGAACTCCACCTCCAAGCCGCGCCTGGCGTGTATAGCGGTCTCGGCCTCCTCCATCGACTGTCGCAGCTTCCTGCGTTCATGTTCTTCAACCGCGTCCAGCACACCGCGCGCCTCACTCTCAGCCGCTTCGCAGTCCTCCAGCTGCGCGCGGTCAAGCGGCGAGGACGCCACTGGCGCCGCCTCACTCGTCTGCGCAGCAGGCTCCGTCTCGTGGTCGTTGTCGCGCGGCGACACGGAGGGCTTTGAGACGGAGACGCTCGTGGAGGAGTTGTCCTCTGGCGCATCCTTGGCGGCCTCATTCGTCGCCGCGTCGCCGCCCGCCGTCACAGTTGCGGCAGGTTCGTCTTCATCGATGGTGTGCAGCACCAAGGGCGGTGGAACCGGGAATACCTGCTTGGGCTCCAGAATCGTGTTTGGCAGCTTCGGGGTTGGTTGCGAGCGCGAGCGGTCCTTTGACCGCCGTGACGGCGCCACCTGGGCTGCATCGCCCGACAAGGTCGTCGACAACGGCTTGGGTGGTTCTGCTGTAATCGCGTACAAACTCACGGACTTCTCGGCCTGCGCGGCGGCTGCTGCGGCGCGTCGTTGCTGCTGCTCGCGTACCCGCTTACGGCGGGCCTCGGAGGGGTCGATGGGAAGGGCATCTACGGCGTCCTGCGTCAAAGGAGAGGTGGCGCGTTGACCCTCGCCTTCTTCAGCAGCAGCAGCATTTTCGTGGGCGTTGCTCGTCGTGCTCGCCTTGTCCGCGGCGACGATGGAGGTGGTGGGGTTGGCGGGGAACTGCACGGAGCTGGCTCGCTTCTTCGACGACCCACTCTGGCCTTTGAGGGCGCTGCGGTGCGGCGAGGGTCGCACAGTGGCGGAGCGGTGAGAGCGGACAGACGAGACGCCGTCGTCGATGAACACGCGATCGGCTTCGGGGGCGCTGCCGTAATCGCGGCGACGACCAGACTGAGCCAGCCGCGAGACGCAGTTGCACTGCGGGCAGGAGATGCAGCGACCCGCGTTGTCGCAGTGCACCAGGGCGCAGGGTTGACAGGCGTAGTGGCGGCAGTCCACGAGGGAGAAGAAGGGGAAGAGGGGGGCGTGCGGGTCAGAGGCGACGGGTGTGGCACGGCGGTGACAGAAGACGCACACGTCGCGGTCCGACGTGCTCGGACCAGGAAGTTTGGTCGAGGCCACGGAGATGTTTTGAGACTGTAAGCCCGCCATTTTGATTTCTCTTCGTAATAGTAGGAAGGGGAAAAAAGAACTAATTCAAAAGGAAAATAAACAAACGAATTCTAACGGTACTGCAGCGGAAATCAAGAAAAAATGAAGATCAACAACACATACAAAAGGTGAAAGGGTCTCTATGAGGATGGCTGAGGGGCGGTGCGTCAATTACGACACGTATGCGGTGCGCACTGTTCTTGATGTGCGCTTGTATTCTTTCGGGATGGTGGTGCGTGCAGTGTGATTCGACACGCAACCAACGCAGTGGTAACTCACCTGCACCTTCTGTATATTGATAGTAACAGTAATGATACTAGAAGTGCGGTGTAGCTTCAGTGTACAGGACACAGAATCGGAAGGGGTAAGAAAGGCAAAGGCGAGGTGCGAAGGGAAGAGAAAGTCGAAGAATCAGTTTTTCAACGACTTTGGTAATGTGCCTGCATTGAAAAAAAGCCAAAGCGAACACCACGTTGAAGAACATATGTGGTCGAGAGCGTTGGAAAAAAGCGTCCCTTCAATAACAACAACATTAGGGCGTTGCTGCTACCGCCTGCAGCGTGTGTGTACACAACTTAGACTCTTACGAGAGCATTAGAAAGAAGAAAACAGAACAAAACTCGGTGGAAATAAATTTCAGGAATCTTTTCTTTTGTTTTGTTTCCCCGCCGCTCCACATAAGTCAGCATTCCGTCAGTTTAGGTCGCATTCGCTGCCACAGAGTCGGGGTGTCAAAAGAATACATGAATAACTGAAAAGAAAGAAGCGATACTCGCTGAGAAACAACGGCCGTTGCTTTTCGGGGCCACGAGCGTTGTTTTCCGCTTGGGGAATAATTTATCTGAAGTGCAATTGAGACTTGAGTGGCACGCGCGAGTAACGGATGCGCGACAACCCTCAAGTCAGCTGTTTGAAGAGGAAAAAAGAGAAAAACAAAAGGAATCGATTAGCTTTAGAATTAGACTTAAGCAGAAGAGAGGGGGGGGGACGCGGAAAACGCGAAGGAAGTTGAACAAAATACAGAGGAGAAAACAAGCAAACAACTATAACAAAACAACGCGAAATGCTGCACTACAGAATGTAAGCTGAGAGTAAGTTAAATATAGAAATAATAATAACCTAACGACACAACGCGTTGACGGCGAGAGGTCTCCCTCCTTCCCGCTCACATCTTTCTGTCCTCCCTCTCTCGGCGCGCCTGTTCCGCCGCCACCTCCGACAGTATTTGTTCCAGACGCAACTTCGCCACCTCCAACTGCATCGAGTCCAACCGCCACACCGCCTCCTCCACTTCCCCGCGAAAGCCTCGATATGGCCTGCACAGCCCGTCTGCGCCACCTCCGCTGCTCCCCCCGCGTTGCGGCGTGGAGTGGCATGACCCGCCTCGCGAAGAGCGGAGGTTGACTTCCTCGTTACTTCCCAAGAAGGGAGAACTAAAGGACGGCAGCACAAGTCTCCACAAGGCTTCCGGCACGCTCATCGAATTCCACTTTTCTTTGCGAAGTCGCAGAACGGCGCCGCTAGGCGTCATCGTAGTCGTGTGTGGCGCGCTGGAGAGCGCTGCAGCGTTGTCCACGCCGTTCGCTTCAGCAGCAACGGACTTCAGGAACAGCGGATGTGTGTCTGGGGAAGCACCCTCCGTAGACACAATAGAAGACAAGTCCCGGTCACCGGGCGCGTACTCTTCAGCCGGTGGATTCGAATTCCGACTTGAACAGCTGGAGTGTTGCTTCTGCTGCTGTTGCGGCTTTCGAGACGGTTGGGAAAGGGTGGTGGTGCTGAACGAGTTGCCCGAAAGCCCGTTGGAATCGACGCCGCCCACTAAACCCGCTTCATCAAGCGAGCTACTCAGAAAAGGGAAGAGTCGCGGTTGGTACGACGTCGCTGGAGAGCCGCAAGAGGGAAATGCGGTGATGCCGGCGGCGGTGGAGGCTGGGGCACGTGGATGCCGTTGCGGCGGTGGGGAGGCGGATTTGTTGCTGTGAGCCCATCGATGCCCATTGACGTAGCGACAAGGTCGGTCCGCCGCATCACCGTTGACGCCATCGGACTCCTCCTCCTCTTCGGCCGATGTGTCACACCGTCGGGCGCGGGGAGCTGGCAGCGACGGGGAGAGGGGGTGAAAGTTACGTATGATCGTCACCGCTGCGTTCTTGAGCTTCAACATCAAGCGGGCGACGGAGAGGGCGACGACGAGGTGAACAGAGGGAATTTCTCGCTTGCTCTGGAACTCACCGCCGGTGGCGGAGACAAACGAAGACGGTGACGGAGAGGTGGCGTACTGCGGAACACTTTGCTGCGACGTGCACGGCGAAGGTGATCTCTCTTCCACTGCACCGTCAGCGTCGTTGATCACGTGGCTGGGCCTGTGGCTCAAGTACAAGAAAGCAGAGGTTGCTGGGCTGTTGCCCACGACTCTGCGAGTGTCACCGGCGTGCGAAAAGCCGGAGGAAGGAACGTTACTGTCGTACGTGTTGTCGCTGCTGGGGAAGGGGGAATGGGAGTGCCGCGTAACCGCTTCGGCGCCGTGACGCACCGGTCCGACGTTCCCAAGCGCGTCCGCCACCTCCGTCCTGCCTGTCACCACCACAGCAACCCCGTCTGCCCCAACGTCGTTGTGCGACATCATGTCGGAGGCTTTGCGGAGTTCGGTGCAGCGGACCTCGCGGCAGTTTTCACAGAAGCGCATCTCGCGCGAGCCGACAAGGTGCCCCTCCACGAGCAGAGCTGCCAACGATTGGACCGCTGGGCAGGCGTACTGGGTCCTTGGCGCAGCCCCCCGCACGCCGGCAACTCCTTCCGTGTGGTTGAATCCATTGTTTTCAAAGCTGCGTTGCGGCTGCCGCTGCCCTGGCTGCCTGCGTTGATGATGGGACACGGCAGGCGCGGAACGCCGCGCACCCAACTCGGCGCTACCGCACAACTGTTCGCGTTCTCGCGAAAGCCCGCACCGGCGTCGTGATTGGTGACGTGAGGAGCGTCGCCGCGCCGCATCTGTGCAAGAGTCACTCTCGCCGCTAATGGTCGCACCGCTGCTGTTGCTGCTATCCAGGCTACCGTGCTGCTCAACATCTGGGTCACGTGCCATTCCACCTACGCGATGCGGCAGCGACGGCGACGGCAAGTGAGACGTAGGAGGCGAGGCTAAGACTGGGGTGAGGGGGAGGTCCATTGCATTCGCGCTGTCCATCAAGTCATTTGGGCTTGCGTGGTACGGGGCCAGCTGACCACACGCGAGGCACACCCAAACGAGCGGTGTTGCGTACGGTACGTCCATGAGAGCGTGACTAATGAAGGCGCACGAAGGAAAAAAAAAGGAAGAATCAACAAACAAGCACACGTGTATATGTGCGGATCGGAGGGATGTCAGCCGTACAGCTGCTGCTGCTGGTGGGTGCAACAGCCAGGTGCAACAGCCAGGAAGGGAAAGCGAATGTAGAGTTGTATATATATATATGGTGGTGGCAGCGCAGTGGCCGTACTTTTCTAACGTACAAAGTATTTACTCGTAGAAACAGTCAGCAACGGAAAAGGCCGCAGGTTGACGGAAGACCTTCTGAGGAAGAAATTTGTGGCAGTTTCCGATTCCCACACGTAATCCAAACAACAACAAAAACAGAAAGGAGTATAGGAACTACAACACAAGTCAAGTTTTCAAAGAAATTAGCAGTAGCAACGAAACAAACAAAAATGATTAGAACACCGCCAGTTAGATGCAACGGCTGCTTGCCGTTTTAAAGGAGGAGAGAGAAAAAAAAAAACTGAACAGGCGCAATTCAATTCGACCAGAAATGCCGTGAAGAAACGGGTAGGAGATAAGAACAGGATTCACGACGCGTACTTCTCACTCCTAGACAGAATAACGACACATAAGACGCTGGTCTTTGGGATATGGGAGGAGCTGCATCACAACACAGTTTGAGAAGGACAGATAGGTATCTTTCGAAGGCATTGAGAATCGCTTTTCATCGTCTTGGAGGCGTTCGCCATAGTTTCAAACTCGCACCTCCGTCAAGGCTTTCATCGGACTGCCGCCCTTCGTTTCGTTTCTTCTTTTCTTCGACTTTTTTTTGCTGTCTACTACGTACGCCGATAAATGGCGCGTTATGAACATCGTTGATTAGAACACATATACATAAAAGATAACACGCAAATGCAGGGCGAAGCAGCAGCCGCAGATCCCTCTTCCCCTTCTCTCCTCCTCGCCCCCTCCACAGTGACATACAACCCTAACGACGTTTCTTTGGTGCCAGAGCGCTGTCCTTCGCGGTCATACTTCGCTGCGCCGCCGCGACATCGCCGACATCGTCGACGTCGTAGTTTGGTGCAATCAACAAGCCCATCTGCTCCGACAGCTGCGCACCCGTCGCGGCAGAGAAGCGCTTCAGCAGGATTCGCATGAGCGTCTGCTGCGCCGTTGTCGCTACGCCGCCGACGGGGGTCACGCGATCCAACACTGTTGGCGGCGGCAGCAGTGGACTCTCCGCGTCCGTCGTTCCCGCCTCCCCACCCCCCGCCGAGGTCGATGGCGGCAACGGCAGCGTGAGAGACGGCGCACGCACGTCCGATGTGCCCGCGTTAGCAGCGGCGGCAGCCGACTTATTTGCTGGCGTCAGCTTGGCTGTAAACTTGCGCTGCGTGGGCCAGCGACGCGCGACCCACTCCTCCAAGCGGGCCGCCATGGCCGTTGGAAAGTTCGCGGGCGCGGTCGAGGTCACCGAAGCTCCTGTTCCTGCGGCGGCAGCCGTGGCGGCGTCCCACACGCTGGTGGACTCCTCATGCCCCGTGCGGTACGACAACGCCAACGGCGCTGCAGTGTCATTCATCACAAATGGTGGGACGTGCAGCAGGGCAACGGTCTCCACGGTCGGTGGGACCGAAGACGATGACCCGGTCCCTGACGTGGGCACGAGCCGGCTACCGAACTGCTTAAACTGCGTGTTCATGAGCCGCTCCGTCAGGGCGCGCATCGTCGCGGCAGCCTCGCCACGTCCACCGTGCCCGGCGGCCCCGGCCAGCTGCATGGGCGTGAGGGAGACGAGCAGGGCGGTGTCGTAGCGGTGCGGGGCGACGTCGACAAGGTCGTACATCGTGGCTGTCTGACGCGCAAGGAGAGTGCGCAACAGGGGGACATCCGTGGCGGAGTTTCTCTGTGTCTCTGCCCGATTCCGTGCAGGGGATGACGGACGATAGGCGTCAACGCTGATGAACGACGAAGAAGCAGCGCGGCTGCGGCGACGAGTAGCGCCACGGTTGCCGACGCCACCGGTGCAACGATCAATCACGGCGTTCGTATCGATCCGTGCGTGCGGGCCCATTCCAATAACACCGGCACGTTGCTCCTCCAGTTCCCGCGCGGTGCTACGGCGAGTCCCACGCCCCACGGTGCTGCCCTCCCTCTCCTGCCCACTCGTACTACTGCGGGTGCTGCTGTTGTCGTCGAAAGGAAAGTCGTCGTCGTACGCGCTTGGCAAGGCGAGTGGAAACACAACGAATTGCTGACACTCCAGCAAAAAGATGATATCCGCATGCGACAGCCGCGGTGGTAGCGGTGGCTGCAACGCAGATGCAGCAGATGACGTGCGGTCGACACGACTAGCTGTCCGTAACCCATTCGTCCCCGTGGTCGGCAACGCAAACACGCTCGTCGACAGATTCGGCGCGTGCCCGCCAGGCTTCCCCTTCTTTTGATCGTGGCCCTTAAAGGGTACACCACCGCTGCTCTGCTGCGGCTGTTCTTGCTGATCGTGCTGCACCACGCTCCCTGTCAGGACGGGCGGTAGAAGCATCCGACTATACGCACTGAGCGGGGCGTGTGCTGCGGCCGCCGGGCGCTCCGTGGAGTCATCGTTTTTTCCCGCGGTTGCCTCGCGTCCATCAAGGTCGTCCGCAGTGGCGCCTCCTTGCGCGTCGAGGTGGTGCTGCGGGAGTTGTGTCGAAGAGGACGCGTGCAGCTCCCCGTACAGGCTCACCAGCTCGTCATCGAACTGGCACAGCCCCAAGTGCAGGAGACTCACCTCCTCATTCAACAAGATGGGCAACATACCACTGGGGCCGCCTTTGCGGCCGTCGCCGCGGCTCACTCGGTGGCCACCGCCGCTGAGACGCGTAGCAGACGAAGAAAGAGAGGACTGTCGCTGCGCCTCGAGTGCGTTGTGCCACAGCATGTTCTCACTCACGTAGGGGTGGCGCTGCGCGTCCCACCGTTCACGGAGGGTTGCCGTGGCGGCGCGTGAGAGGTACGGTGGGTTCGCCGGGCCACGACCACGCGTCGGTGAGGATGACGGTGCTGCCGCTGCTGTGGTTGACGTCACAAATGAGCTGAACCTTCCGCCTTTGTTGTTCGCGTTGTTGCCGGTGGCGCTTTGCTTCGCGATGATAAGTGGTTGCACGGCGACCTGGTCAAACAACAACGCCTTTGCCAAATCCTGCTGTTCACGACGGCGCTGTGTGAGCTGCAACTGCTTCTTTTCTGCGGTGACGAGCGCAGTGAGTTGACGGTTTGCCTTCAGCTGCTGCCGGCTTGCTCGCCGGGCCTGCGCTGCGCCCTTGGAGCCTTCTCCGCCGTCCTCCCCCTCGTCAACCTTCTCGCGTGCCACGACGGCAGCGGCGTTCGCTGCTAAGGCTTGTGGTGCGACGCTTGCGAGCTCTGCACCGGTCGGGTCCAGTAGCGTCATGAAGCTCTCCGACGCGAGCACCAAACGTGGGACGGGGAAGAACTGCAGAAGCCGGCGCTTCTTTTTCTTTTTGAACCGGGGCACGTGGTCCGCCTCTCCGGTTGACAGCAGCGCCTTCCCATTGCGTGTGTTTCCGCCGTCGTCCTGTCCGTCACTGTCGTCGCTGAAGCTGTTGTTCTCTTCACCATTCTCGTCGTCGTCCGCGATGAATGCCCATCCTGCGACTTCCCCCGGCACCTCGGCCTCGTGGCCATCACCACGGGGGCGGCGGTTGACGTCGCTGCTGCTCAACACCTGCCGGAAGAGACGCGGGTTGGGTCGATAGGTCGGCGGCACACAGCCGTACCACTCCAGCAGCTGCAGCATCGCCGGACTGCGCGCGTAGTCAAAGGCGGTGAGACCGTGTGCGTTGACGCGCAGCATCAGGCGGAGGAAGGCGACCGGAATACTGGGAAAGGGGGCTTTCGCTGATCGGCTCTTGCCGTTGTTCGTGTCTTTTACATCGTCCTTGCACCCTGCGCTACCGCGCTGCGGCAACCTCTCGTGAATCGGGAACCGCCCTGGCTGCCCGTTCTTCGGCTCTGGGTCGATCTGGTGCGAGACAACGAAGAGATGACAGTACTCGAGGTAGTACTCCGCGAGCTGACACTGATCATGCAGGACCAGGAGGTGGAGAAGCGTGTCACGATGCTGTCGGGTCCGGTAGCGTAGCGAGAGTTCCACGGAGATCGTCTGCGTGCTGTCGCCAGCCTTGCTGGAGCTGCGCTGCCGCGTTGAGTCCGCACCTTCAAAGGAAGGAGCAGGCGAAGAGGCATCGAAGACGAAGCGCGAGGCGGTCACGGTCAGGCCGGAGAGGAAGAGATCCAGCACCGGCACCGAGAGCGCACACCGGTGCTCCATCAGATACAAAATCGTGTCGACGGTGGCGGTGGACGGCTGGGGAGACTGCAGGAGAAGGGTAGAGAACATCGCCCAATCCAGCTGCAGGTACATGAAGTAGGCGGGGTTGGCAACGGGCGGAGGTGGAGTGGTGACGGTGGACTGCATCACCGGCAGGTGCAGCGTCAGCACCTGCGCTCGTGAAGCTTCCTTGTCACTTTGAGTCATGGTGACAGTCCTTCGAGTGCGCTGCCGCTGCTGTTGCTGACCCCCGGCGGAGACAGCCACGCTGCCGGGTGCGTACTGTGGCGCGTTGGGCGGGATCAGTTTGGAGGCCTGCCGCGTGCCACCTCCCCTGTCGGCCGACTCGTCCTTTGGGATAAAGAGTGCAGGGGGCAACCGCGGCGGAGTCAGACTGTTCAGCGAGGTCCGCGGAGGCAGCAGGGGCGAGAGGATCGGCGACGGCGACGGGAATGCGGCGGGCTTTACCGAACCAGCAGGTTTCTGCTGCCGCTGCTTTTCCGCGTCAGCTTCTTTCTCCTCCTCCGCCACCGCAGCTGCCGACTCCGCATCCGAGACGGCGACCACAGAGGCAGAGGTGGATCTTAACCGACTGGAAGACAGCTCCACCGGGCACGATGCCCCGCCAATGCCCCACGTCACCGCCGTCACGCGCTGCCGCCGCTCCTCACGTGGGGCGAGCCGACCGCCCTGTAAGCAAATCTCTGTAAATCGCTCCACTTCCTCTGCCTCCAGCTGATCCGGCAAGCCCGGCGTGGCCTTCCGCGTCAGCGGCGGCGTTGAGCTCGGCGTCAGCTCGTGACTCCCTCCCTCTCCCCCTCCACCTCCATGCACTGCCGCCGTACTCTGGAAGCGCTTCCCGTTCTTGACGCCGGCGGCAGTCGCGTTGGGCTGTTCGATGGCGGAAGTGAAGGCGCTGACCGACACGCCGGCGGGGTCTACTTTGGGCGATGTCAGCGGAGAGAACGCAGGCGCACGCAGCGACGGCGACAAGGCGGTGACTACGCCCTCTGGGTTGCCGGTCTTCGCATCAACTCGGTCGTACCGCATGGGCGACAGCAGTCCCGCTACCTCCGCCTGACGAAACGTGTAGAGGCTGCGCAGCGTCCGCGCCGAGCCGGCAATAACAGCGATGAGGTCGAGATGTCGTTCTTGAATTACTTCCCGCCACAGCAGTCGCTGCAGTCGCTCAACGATCGTGCCCGCCTGCGCGACAGAGCGCACACCGGAGAAGGATGGGTAACTGCTGTTTATTGTCGCACTCGCTGCCTCAATCGCGCGCACGCTGACCGTCGTTGGTGCATGGGACCCAGGGAAGGTCGATCCGGTGGCGGCCTGCTGTTGTTGCTGCTGCTGTTGCTGTTGCTGCTGCTGCTGTACGAGTTGAATGTATTTGATCACCACCTCCGGCAGGCGTAGTTGCATGAGGAGAGACAAAACATCCTTGTCATCGTAACGAACCGCCAGCTCCAGCGTGTCGAGGAGCAGCGTGCCAGCGAGACCACGCGAGGTAGGCTCAGTCGTCGTGGCAGGAGCGAGGGAGGTTCTTCGAATGGCGCCTTTTGCCGTGGCTGTATTACCGCCACCAGCGCTTCCTTTGGCCTCGTCCTTCACGTCGTGCGGAGCCGCTTTCGTTGCACGCTTCGCCCCTCCTTCACCATTCCCTGCACTTCCTCCCTTGATTGGCGGATGCGATGTGGTGGTGGTCGCCGCCGAGAATCCAGACGCGGTGGGGCCGCTCGTCCTGCTTATCAGCGACTCCGCGACCGACACGGACATGAGCTGCAAAAAGATCGTGGTGCGCCGTGCCAGGTAGGACCAGTTGGCCAGCTCCGCTTGTTTGGAAGTGCTACGCGGGTTCCGCCGCTGCGCTGCGCCCGTGATCGACCGCGCAGACGCGGCGGGTGCCACGCGTGTGTCCACCTCGCACAACGTCCGTCTATCCGCCGCCCCGTGCCTTGCTCGAAGAGCACCGCGCATCACGAGATAGATCGGCACGGCTGGCGCGCCAGGCAGCACCACCTTCAGCAGCGCGTTCCACGCCTTTGAGGAGGCGTGCACGGCGGTGTCCAGCTGCCGGGTAAATTGCGCGTACAGCAGGTTCGTCCACAGTGCGTTCATGCCATCAGAGGTGGTCAGAAAGTGAGCGGCAACGTCGACGTGGTCCATGGCCAGCTGCAGCGCCGGCAAGGGGTGCATGTTCGGGTAGACCCACCGCAGGAAGGCGAGACGCGCTTCCTCGTCGGGCATGCAGTGCAGCAGAATGCGCACGGTGGTGATCTCATGCGCCGGGTAATACACGCGAGTGGCGAGCATCACGCGCACGACGGTGCTTCTCAGATTGGCGGAGAGGGTAGACGTCAGCGACGACGGTACGGCGACGCTGGTGGTAGTGAAGGACACAGTGTTGGGCCCCATCGTCTGTGGTGACCCCTCCCGCTGCTCGCGTGAGATGTGGCGCGGCGCGGACCGACTGCTTGGTTTGCTACTCCAATCGATCTTCGCACTGGCGATCTCCTCCAACATGGAGGGCGACGCCGCGCTTTGCACGATCGACGAGATGAGCGGGACGTGGCCGAGGAGGGCCGCGAGGGAGAGCGCCGTCTCATCGTCGAAAGACGGCTGGAAAAGAATGGACTGCAACATGGAACAGTCGGACGACCGAGCGGCGGCGTTGTCCAGTCGCGGCAGCAACCGAATAAGCGCGAGGGACGTGTGAATGAGAATCGACGCGCCGGGGTCATCCGTCGGGTCACAGTAGGTGCGTTGGCGCGACTCGGTCACCGTGCTCGGCGGCGTCGCCCCTGCGGCCGACGCGGCGCTGCTTTTGTGGGTGTGATCGGTGCGCCAGCTCAGGTTCAGCCTGTTCGCGTCGTCCACCACGCGACTCATCATTCCATCCACCTCGTCCTCTGTCGGCGTAGAACCACAAGTGAGCAGGCGCTCCCGTGCCTTTCGCAGGAGCCGAGTGATGACAGTGTCACCGCTGTAGGGGTGGTGTGCCCGCACCGGGATCACACCCAGCGTGTAGGCCTGCAGAAGGCGCGTCAACTGCTGCGGGGCGTGGTCGACGCACAGGTAGAGCAGCACGATCCGGTAGCACAGGCGCAGCGCGGCGATGAGCTTCTCCTTGCAGCTGGCACTCCCTGAAGATGGTGCGTCCGGGCTGCCGACGTTCGATGGATGGTCCTCGTCGCGCAACACCAGCGAGGAGTGGATCGTCTGGTCGGGCGAGAGGAGCGCCGCTGCGGCCCCGCCACTGCCGTTGCTGCTGTTGACGTCCGCGTCAGTCTGCTCAAACGTAACGAAGGCGGCGAGTGTCGTCTGGTTGAGGTTGCTGAGGGAGAGGCTGCCTTGCAGTTGGTGCGGCGCGTGGAGGGACGGCGGTCCATTTGCGCTGTCCTGCACCACGGCTCGATAATGCTCGCAGAGTCTTTCGGCGGCATCAAATACAAAACCGCCCTCGTCGACCTCCGTGCCACTTCCAGCCTCCACCGGCAAGGGTACGGCTGCCGCGCCTTCTGCCGTTGCGCATTGACGCTTCATCGCAGCAAACTTCTCGCGAGTCGCGCTATTGGTGCTAGCACGCATGCACGCCAGCTGCTTCCACCTCCACAACAGCGAGGTACTGTGCCGAAGGAGTTGCTCGTCGAACGCCGCGCCTGCGCTGCCTGCCCCGCTCAGTGCGTCTTCCCTCCGCTTCGATTCGCCGGCCACAGCCGGAGCTCGACCAAGAAGTGGGGTGCGGAAGCGGAGGAGCAAATTCAAACAGCTTTCCACACCAGATCCGCCGAAGGGGGCCAAAGGCACTTCACCGGTTCCGTCTCCTTTCCCACCTTCCCCGCTCACCGCAGGAGCAGCCGCAGCAGTGCGCAAGAATCCGTCCGCTTCGCCGCCTGTCAAGGCTAGCATCCACGCATCGCGGCCGGTGCTGTCGAAGAGACCGTTCGGCTGTGCGCCATGGCGAAGCAGAAGGACAACCATGTCTGCCGCCGCCGTCTGCGTCGACGTCATTCGGTTATGAGAGGATGCCTCGAAAGCCAAAGCACCCGTGGGACCAAGCGCTGACCCGGCGTTGCCGCTGCTACCGCCACCGGTGTCGCTGCTGCCGCTGTTGCTGCTCGTGGCGGGGGCAGCACTTGTTATCACTGCGATCCGTTCCTGCAGCGCCGTCCGCTGGAAAGGATCGACCCACCTCGGTTCTTTGAAATCCACAAGTCGACTCTGACGAGGACATCGGAAAGGTGTCCTTGCCCGTTTTGTGTCCCCATCTTCCTCCTCTTCCTCCGCTTCCTTGCTATCCTGTTTGTCTAACAAACGTGTGGTGCTCTTGTTGCTGGGCGGGCGATCGAGTTGCTCCGCGCTTGCGGTGGTGCAGAGCAGCGTGCGTACGAGGTGGACGTTCCCTGTGCGAACCGCCAGACGGTACGGAGTCCGATAAAACCACGTTCTGCTGCCAGCTGCGCCGCTGCCCCTTTTCTCCCAGTCTTCCCCGTCGCCCCTTTCCTCTCCGCCCGGCAAGTGCGACGCTCGACGAGCGGAACGCGCGGCGGACGTTGGCGTGCCCGCCGCTGCTGTTGTGGCGAATATGGATACCATGTCGAGTCTCGCCATGGCGCGCACCGTGTAGCCATTTATCACGCGCAGGCGCTCTTCTTCCTCCTCACGGCGGGAGGTGGTGATCGCAGCGGCCACGCCGGCGTGCGTGTCAACACTTCCTCTTGTCACCCCCGTCGCGTTGCTCACGCCGTTGCTAGGGCTCAGGCGTCGTCCACCGTCCGCTGACGAGTCTGCCTCCACCTCCGCGTAGAGGTCTTGCGCAGGAGCGTAAAGGGAGTCCAGCTTGTACTTCTCCACAAGATATGCCGTCACCTCCGACAGGCCGAGGGCGGTAGCAAGCTGCAGGACCGTAAAGCCGATCGGGGTGGTGAAGAGCATCTCGTTGCCCACGAGTTCCTTGTACACATCCGCCTCGTTCGTGGCGATCATGCCGGCCGCACTGGCCATGCTCCCTTCCATCGTGCTCATCGTAACGGTGGTGTCGAAGGCGTCGTTTTCTACGTTTTCGTCGCCCGCGCCGTGCTTCTTCGGCGACGACACCGTGTGGGGCGCGAGTACGGAAGGCGCTCTGCTGCTTTTGGTCGTCGTCATCGTTGCCCGCGGCCGCCGCATCTGCCGTGCCCGTGCGTTTGCCCTCGACGTGACGTACGCGCGCACGAGCCCCTCCATCTCTTCGATGGCGCGCGCTCCGCCTGCCGTGCTGCCATAGAGGCGGATGACACGCGCCATATCGAGACTCAGTGATTTGAGATTCAGCGCGGTGCGCAGGGCCTCGCCGTACTTCTTGACTTCTGCCTCTGCTGACGTTTTCGCTTCGTCGTTGTTGCCTCTCTCCGGGGTATCGCCAACATTGCTGGCAGGTGTCTTTGCTCCTCGGGCGGTAGAGGTGGAGGGCAGCAGCGCACGACAGAGCCACACCATCGGCAGCTCCGACTTGTCTTCTTTCACTCCGCCTTGCTTGTGCGCCACCGCAGCCGAAGAGGCTGTTCCCCATTCCACCTTTGCCGGATCTTCTGAGAAGCTCACAAAGCTCTTTTTCGGCCTCGCTTTGCCCTCATTCGCCTGCCGTTGCCGCTGCCTTTGTTGACACTGCGCTGCTGTTTCTCGCATCCACGCTTGCAGGCAGCCCCAGACGTCCCGGCAAAAGCCCACGACGCGGGTGGGAGCCACGATGAGGCCGACGTGCTCCTGCAGGTATCCCAAAAGGAGCTCCGCGTACGCCATAGCCGTGCCGTTCTGCACGCCCAGCACCGCACTTTCCGCGGCCACATCGCTCAGGTAGACGCACAACTCAGGCAGGATGAAGCCGCCGAACAAGAGGTGCAGGGCACCGCTGGGCGAGATGGTGGGGGCGGCGGCACGCGTTAGAAGAAGGCGTACAAAGGAGCTGCGGTTCTGTCCAGAAGCACGTCTCGTTGCGACAGCTTTGGCGTCCGGGTGATGATCGTGATCGTGATCCTTCTCGTGAACGTCGTCCTCGTCGCTATTCTTCGCACCGCCAATCCGTGCCCTTCGGAAGCCGTGGCCGCGACGCTCCACGGCGTGCTGCTGCACCGCCTCGCGAAACGCATGCGACGCAGGAAAGTAGAAGGCCGCCGACTGCGCGGAGAGCATGAGGTCGACGACGGTGTACAACCGCTTCTTCAGTGCTTGGTGCAGCGCCATACACGTCTCATCAATTAACGGACCACCAAACAACGAGGCCACGCCAACAGACGGCGCGGTACTTTCTGAGGGAGCTTGGGTGCCCTCCGTCTCCGCCTCCTCCTCGTCTTCTTTTCCTGCAGTATCGCTCTCTCGAACACCGTTGCTGACCTCGTCACCTTGGCGATCCATCAGCGTGCTGACCAGCACCTCCGCGGCGCCCTCCTGATCGTACTGGATGGCCACCAGCAGCGCCGACTTGCCTTGCTTGTTCACCGCGTACAGCGGAACCATACACGTTGCAGTCAGGAAGGCAGGTGAGGTGCGCAGCTGCGGGTGCAGCTGCGACAGCCTCGTTACTTCCTCCTCACTGAATTGCACGAGCATGTATTCTATCGCCATCACCAAACCACGACGGGCGGCGAGGTGAAGCGCGGTGTCGCCGTTCTGGTCGATCGCGGTTAAGTCGAGTACCGCGTGTCCGCGGCGCAGCTCATCCTTGCTGTACTCCAGCACACGCAGCGCAGCGTCCTCTCGTCCGTTGGCCAGCGCAGACAGCAGCGGTGTGTAGCTTGTGTTGGCAGCAGGGGTGTTAAGCTGCGCGTGCCACTGCTGCAGAAGAGCGCGAATGACGCGCAGCTCACCGCGTTCGCAGGCGAGGTGCAATGCAGTGCAACGGGTACGCTCATGCGGTATATTCACATCCATAAAGGGCTTTTCATGTATGGTAGTGATGCAGTCGTCGTCGTCATCGTCGTCGTCACAAGCGCGGCCACTAAGGTGCGCAAAAGGTGCGACTGCGTTGGTTTGTGAACGCGGTGACACCCTTCTGTGCTGCTCCCCACCTGCGCCTTCACGAGTACAATTTCGTGTGCGGTCTCCACTTCGGTTGTCATAGGTAAGGCGGCGCGACGTGCGTCGGTCTGCTCCGTCTGCGCCGTCAGCGGCTGCGCCAACCACCGTCTTCGGCTGCGTCCCGCGCAGCAACGCCAACGCCGCCTCCTCGCTGCCAAAGGTGATGGCCAGATGCAGCGGCGTGCTGCCCTCAAAGCCGATGTTCACATCAACGCCGCTACACCGCAGCAGCAGCTGCAGCACCGCGTGCATGTTGTTGATAGCGCACCAGCACAACGCCGTCGCGATGCCAGCGTGGTTGAGCAGAACGGGGGAGGTCAGGTAAGGGTTCGACCGACCGCTGAGCAGCGCCTCGGCCATCGGACTGCAGCGGTTTGCACAGGCCAGCTCCAGAGGAAAGAGATGCGTTACGCGGTCCATGGAGGCGGCGTGGGCACCCAGCTTGAGCAGACGGATGGCAATACGGCAGTTGTTGTGGCGGACGGCGAGGAGGAGCGCTGTCTCTCCAGCACGGCTCTGTAGGTTTAGCGCGCTGACAAGAAGCTCTGCGCCAGCCGCGGTAAAGCGCTTCTGCGCTGCCGGCCCGGCACTCTCATGCATGCTGTGGGCTTCTGTTGGAACGCCCTTGCCGCCGGGTGAAGCGGATCTGGCAGAGTCTGCAGCAGCAGGTTTTCCTGCTGAGTTGATAGAGTGACCACCACCACCACCACCACCACTGGCGCCTGTCGCGGCAGTACTCGGCGTCATTAGCAGAAGGTCATAGAGGAAGTTGAGCAGCAGCGTTGCGCACGCCGTTTGGCGCCGCAGCCCGCGCTCGGCCTGCGCACAGGCAGAAGGCACTGCGGTTGCGCTCAAAAATTCATTCAGACGGCATTGTTCCTCATCGTCAGGGTCGTCCTCCGAGTCGCTGCTGTCTTCCTCTCCGTCATCGCTCTCGCGTACGACGCCGAGCAACGCCACGTGAAGCGGAGTGTAGAGGGAGCGCGTGGTGGAGTAGATGGAGGAGACGTCGAGCAGCGTGCGCTGACACTCGTTGGTGCCATACATCCGTGCCGCAGAGGATGAGTTACGATGACGTACGCCAAGACGGCCGCCATCTCTCCGCGTCTCGCGCGACTGCAAATTCGACGGCAAGTTTGACGGTTCGCTCAGCGTATTGAGGCGATAGTTGCGTAAGAAGAGTGCCTCTGCCTTGGAGTAGCTTTGCTGCAGTGCGGCGCGCGTCTCGCCTTCGATGATGAGGCCGAAATACGAAAGAAGTTCCTCCACGGGAGTGCGCTCTAGAAGGACCGCCAGCACGTCGACGTAGCCCAGCGCGCAGGCGGCGTACAACGCCGTGCGACGCTGCTGCCGCTGCAGACAATTTTGGCCGTCGCTGCCCGCGTCACAGAAGGACATGAGGGGATGTGTGCAAATTGCATACGCCATCGCCGGCTGGCGCGACGCCAGCGCTGCGCAGAGCGGCGTCAGACGGGCGCTTTCAGGAATCACCTCAAACCAGTAAAGGTGGGCCGTGGCGGCGGCGGCGGTGAGAGAAGCCTGCGTGTTCGGCCTTGCGCCAAGCTGACGCCGCATCGGTGGCGGCGCGCCGGGTGTCGCTGCACCTGCCTTCCGCGCTCGGTCCTCCTTCGATCCTGCGTCCACCGCTTCCTCCTCTCCCTCGCCCAGCTTTCGTGCCGGGGGTAAGGGATACAGCTCCTGTGGCGGGCAGTGGCTGCTGTGTCGGTAGACGCGCAGCGGCGGGTAGAATACGGCGCCCTCCGCGGCCGGCGCGCTCAGCAGCTCCTGCACACGCGAGAGCGCGTCGCGCACACGGCGGTCGCGTGAGCCGAAGAACGGCATGGTGGACGTGGTCGCGGTTGACTTCGCAAAACCGGATTCGCCGGCCTCCGGAAGTCCTCCGTCGCGATGGTTAGCCGATACAGTGACGTCTGGCGGCTGGTGTTGCTGCTGCTGCAGACGCTGACTGGACTTGAGGCCCGCGAGGGCGGCAACGTTGGTCAGCACCTGCAGCATCTGCGTAAATTTGCAGGAGGTGTCTAACAGGCTGACGTGCCCACCGTGAAGGCGACGGTACGACCCCGATGCTGGCTTCTGCGCTGCAGCACGTGAGGGGACCTTGCGCATCGTTGGCACAGGGAGCGGCGGACCGTAGAGCAGGTGGACCGGCTCGAAGGCAAATCGAACCACCGCGTTGGACACCGCGTGCGTGGCGAGCGGACCGCCGTACTCCGCAACTACTCCTGTCGGGGAGCTGCCGGCGCTGCCGTTTGTGACGGCCCCAGAGCGCTGCTGACGCGCACGAGTCCACGTCATGGTTTGGTGGGTGTACCACCGCTCCCAACCACGTTCATCCAGCGACAGGGTCGCCGCGGGGTACATGCGTGCCGGAATGCGGCGGGTCTTGCGAGCGTGCGGGTCCGCTGCCGAGGGAGGGGCGGCCATGCCGAACTTCAGTTCACCGGGGTAGACGTAGTTGTTGAGGCGCAGCCGTAGCGAGTCGTTAGAGGGGGTATAGAGCAGTCCCATCACCACCGTGGCAGGGACAGCAGTCAGCAGTGGAGTTTCCAAGTTGAGCATTGCACCGCTTTGTGGCGCCTTAACTGTACCGATTGCTTCTGCCGCCTTTCGGACATCTTGCGGTGAGGCGAGCGTAAGGGTAGGCAGAAATGTGGTGGCGGGAGTGCACTGCTGAGCGGCTTCATTGCTGCCCACGTCGCTGGGGGCGCCAGTGGGGTCCTCCTCTGCGTCGACGTCGTCATCTGGACTCGTTGGACCTGCTTCCCTCGCCACTGCAGCACCACCGAGCAGCGGCACTTCCATACGCAGGTAGACTGGAATGCCCTCCTCCGATGAGACGGGTGCTACGGAATTGTCCTGGTGCTGCCAGACAGCGAGATACACCACCTCTGCTGCAGAAACCCTACCATCCGACTCACGAGAGGATGCCGACGCGGGGTGCCGAGCCACGACGGACACCGACACTCCAGCGGAGCCTTGTGGCGCCGCCGTCATGCCTGCCGACGCGGTCTTTGCATACATCGGGTCGCATGTGTGGCCGAGGTGTGCTACCGGAAACGGCTGGTGCGGTCCACGCGTGCACCCGTTCGCGGTGGCGGCCACTGCGTCATCACACAAACCTACCACAACGCTGTTCACCGGGATGGCTTGCTTTGTCGAGTCCGATGCAAACAACGAAACGGCGGAGGCTGCGTCGTGGATAGCGAGAAGATAATTCAAAGAGAGATGCACTTCGAAGTAAATGGACCGCACCGTCGGACGACCGGTGTCTTGCAAGGCCGTAAGCAGGTCGTCATCAACGCTGCTGTCGATACCGTTTGATAACAGGAACTTAGAAAGGGCATCGCCGCCGCCGATGCTTCGCCCGTCTTTTCCTTCGTCATCTGATGCGGAATCGTCCTTGGCATCCATCTTCACAGTTGATGGTGCTGCTGCGCCGTACAAGGTGCGTCGAGCGCGACGCTGCTTTGCCGACTGCGCCGCCTGTAAGCACTCCTCGATGGCGTATATGGCCGAGTAGCGCGAGAGACTGTGCGTCTTCAGCCGCGCCGAAGAACTTCGCCAAGGATGACGTGAGGCGCCACACGAATCCTTTTGCATCGGCAGCGAAACGTTCGTTTTCTCGTCCGCCCTCGCGGGCCGGGATGCACTGACGACCGTTGCGCCACACCAGTACGCGTGCCACGCGTCGGGGGCGCCTTCAATTGCCGTATCCGCGCGTAACAGAAGCGCGCACATCGGTCGGTCGCGCGTTCCACTGCTCTCCATGTCCGTATTCGGAGAACCTGTCGCGGTGGTGTCGTCCTCGTCGTCCTCTTCGCCGTCTTCGCCTTCTTCCTCACTCGACCTGTTCCCCTCCCGCTCCATCATCCATCCGTCCGCTGCGGAAGACGCAGCACCGGCGGCGGTGGTGTTCGTGGTCGAGGTTGGCTGCAGCGGGCCGTAGCTCAGCGCATCGACGCGCTGCAGCAGCGGGGTAGAAAATGCCGGACACATCTGGCACCGCAGCGGACACGCCGCGACGGGGCTCAGCGCATCCAGCTGCCGGTGTTGAAGTACGGCGGCGAAGGAAGACGCCTTGTTGTCCTCCAGGACCAGTCCATCGTCTTTTAATGGAGCGGCGGTGGATTCCCGAGGAATGCTGTGCGACGTCCTCTTGCGCAGGTTCGCCGTGCTCGGCGATGTCGACCGCAACAGCGCCGCCCACTGTGCGTCTTGCTGGTAAAGCTCGTACTGCAGTGTTCCGTTTCGTGCGGCGAGCAAAAGACGAAGCTTTTGAAGACCGCCATCGAGAAAGGCTGGCGGAGGCGAAGCAGCACCGAGGGGGACGACGGCGCCGCCGTTATCTTCCGCAAAGAGGCAATCAATGCCGTGTGCAGACGCCGGTGAGACGGAGGCGCTGTCTGTATCCAGCGCACCACACTGATTACGTGGATGGTGGCGGGACTCTTGAGAGGCGGCTGAGGGAGTCACGGTGGGGAAAGGGGCTGCCGAAACAAGGGCACCGAGGGCCTGCAAGAGACTCATTCCATCCGCATTGGTGGCTGAGTCGAGGAGGTGTGCATCACGCAACGCCGCGACGGCAACGGCGGCTGCATCTCTATCCGCCTCTGAGGCGTCTTCTGCGTCCTGGCTGCTGTCCGACTCACCGGAAGTGCTCGCATGAAATACAAGCTCTGCCGCAGCAGATGTACCACCACCACCGCCGCCTTCTTCCTGCGCCGGACTGTCCAGCGAGCTCTGTGCCAGCTGCAGCACACGCCACACTCGACCGAGCATCGCCTTCTGATACGCGTAGCACCCATGCGTCGACGAGGGGCGGCCCCACGGCGCACCAAGAAACAGCAACACGTGCAGCGCCTCGACATCCCAGCACTGCTGCTCCACCAGGTGGGCCGCCACCTCCATCTGACCTCCGACGAGACCGGCAAAAAAGCACGTAAGGCTGTGCACGGGGTGCGCCAGCACACTGCCGTAGGAGACGCTGGAGGAGAGAATCAGCTGCGTCATGGCATCTGCCCGTCCCTCGGTCACTGCACGCAGCAGCACCTTGCCCAAATCGGGTAACGCGCGCGAGGCACGCAAGGAGGCGTGCGCCTCACACGCATAGACGAGGCGACAGGAGGTGATGACCACGTCCTCGAGCGGCACGATGCTGATGAGTCGCGATATGGCAGGCGGGTCCATGATGTGCTGCACGTACCACTCCACGAAGGCGCTGATGGAGTGCTTGTGACGATCCTGCGCCGCATTTTCGCGGGGCTCGTCCGAGCCGCCGCTGATGCCGTTGCGTGTCTCTGGTGTGAAGGGTGCCGGCTCCCGCAGCGCCAGGACGCGCGCAGAGAAGGAGAGGATCAGCTCGTTGCGCAGGCGCGACGTGATCTCGGCAGGACGTAGCGGGAGGTTCAACTGGCGGCGCATGCGAGACACGCGCCGCTCAATGGCCACCAGTCGTCGCGAAGGTGATGCCGGATCACGGGCTGCTGCCTGCTTCGGTGAGTCCGCCTCCTCGTCTTCGCTTTGCGAGCTGCCCAGGTCTGACCGCGAGCCCTCGTCGATGTTCATGTGGGAGTCTCTGCGTTGCAGCGAGGCATCCGCGGCGGATGCGCCGTGTGCCGCCTCTCGTCCTTCAATAAGAACCGAACTGCTGAAACCTTCAATCTCCTCCAGCTTACGCAAAACGTAATACACTTTATCCAGGCGCGCCCCCAACTCACCTTGCTTAGCGGAATAGTGCTGCAGTGGTACCTCGCGTTTGCGTGTGCGAAGTTCGCGATGGAAAGCGGTCGGCTTCAGCTCAATTTCAGTTGTCGTTGCTATCGGTGCGTAGGTGGCTACTTGAATGTCCTCCTCCAAGGCACTGTAGTAGGCGTGTAACAGACGGCTCTGACTGTGGCTCAGCGCAAGACGGCGCTGCAGGAGCCGCGCAGCGGCCTCGAGCAGCTCCATTGCAGCGTAGAGGGGGTGCTCGCGGGAAATCGCCGCCGTTGCGTCCATTCCTCGTACGGAGCCTCTTGACTGGGAGTTGTCCGACATCGACAATCGCAGCGGCGGTGCGTTGGCGCCACGGCTGGGGGCGTAGCTGGTGCGTGGATTCTGCATCGAGTCGGCGGGGCCAGGAATTGACGCGACCACCGCACGCAGCCAACCGTCAAAGGTGGCCGTCGAGCACGTGCAGGGATTTATTTTGGGGTGCCGCGTCGCGGAAGGTGCGTAGGACAGAGGATACTCCACCCCTTCCCCGCCGCTTTCCAGGTCAGCGAGGGTGTTTTTCGCTATGTCGCCGCGGCTACCAGCGATGTCGTGCGAACCTGCGTTGGCGGCCGCGGCGGCTTCTGCGGCCCGTTCCTGTGCGAGGAAGGCGGTCGCCTCGTGCTGCAGGGCGGTGTTACACGGCAGTGACATGCGGGAGTGCACGTCCGCAGCTTCATCCGCGGCGCGCGGTGACCGGGAAGAGGCGCGGACGGCCGTCGTTGCGTCTGCAGCGGCAACAGCCGCTGCCGCACGAGCTTTAGCGCTTTCCATTGTAATGTCACGGCAAATAATCAGGTATGTGAATCGTTTCCGAATGTGAGGTAGAAATAATACTCCAGAGGGAAAAAGAAAACAAACGGTTTTATGTACATGAACGAAGAACTAAAAAAAAAAGTGATGAAGAATAAACAAATGTAACTGAGAAAGAAAGGAAGGGTGTTTGTGGTTTACATGACTTAGTGACAGGTGTGCATGTGTGTGCGTGCCTGCCTTTTTCTTCTTCTCCTATATAATATTGCTTTCTGGAATGGAAGACGGACGCCCATCAAAGACAACAACACCGCCAACGAAGTAATCTCTGCGGATGGCTTCACCTCTTGCGGTTGTCGTCTCGCACGCCTAAAAAGCAAAACAACAACAACAACAACGACTTGTAACTCGACTGAACCAACACTCGTGCAGACGCCGAAACAATTGAGAGGAAAACGAGGAAGCAGTACAGATCCGTTGCATTTACGCTCATTGCGGCCATGTAGGAGGGACGATTCAAGTCTTCGCTTCGGTTCCTCTTTATCCTCTCATTGTGGCGGCGTGCGGGTTGCCCCGTGAAACGACCTCCCTTTCCCTCCCTCCTGGGAAAAAAAACAGGGGCTTATTTTTGCACCCACCGCACAGAGGAAATGCCCGAAGCAACATCAACAACAGAGAGCCTTGCTCCACACACAAATCCGCGGTGACGTCTCCTTAAGAATAGATGGGGACGATGCGCAGAGAAACGGCGCAAGAACACACACAAGAGTTGTCGACTTACTGTGTTCATCCTTTTCATTTTTTTTACTTGCTTTGCCTCAAATAGGGAACAACCGCACTCACACCCAACACCTACCCAGCCACTCCTATACACATCCACCAGCACAAGCATCAACGACAACAACGACAACGAGAGAAGAAGAAGATAGAATCAGATTGTGTATAGAAACAAAGGGGGGGGGGGTCACATGAGGTCTGCAAACTGCTCAACGAGAAGATGCGAACAAAGCGAAGACTACAAAGAAAAAAGGAAAGGATAGGTCTAGTGCGCGTCCTTTTCATCATCTGAAGAGAAATGGAAAACAAAAAACCAAAGCGAGAAATGCGACGCTTCATTCATCGCGCACGCCCCCTCCTCCTCTTCTCTTTCGCGTCTGTGCGGCATCGCCTACTACTACTGTGGAATCTGCTTTGTCATCTTGCTCACCGAGCTGGTCAGTCCCACAACCTGTTCCCGCCACTTGGAGACGTGATTTGCCAGCGCCTTCACCTCCTCCAGGCTCAACACACGCGACTCCACCCACGTAATGTGCACCTGGTTCGTCAGGCCGTCCATACGTCCTTTAATGATGCCGTGCGCCAGGGCGTCCAGCAGCAACGGCTCCGCTCCGCTATCCGGCACCCCGCAGCGCTGCGCCACCGCATGAAAGGTGAAGGTGCGCTCACTAAGCGGGGTGTAGAAGATAAGATGAAGCAGTGCCATGAGACGCACCTTGCGGTGCAGCGCGGCAGAGGCGGCCATAAGCTGCGGCTCCTGCGCAATCTGAGCCTGGTGAGCCTTGTAGAAGGACTCGAAGCTGTCCACGTCGCCCTCGTTGCACAGCCGCATCATTTCCAACGCCCAGCGTTGTGGGCAGCCCTCACGCTGCAGGGCGCTCACAAACTGCTCGAAGTTTAAGAACTTGCCGTAGTTGAAAATTTTGTCCGACAGCAGGCCGGCGATGACGGTTTTGTAGGCCAGCGCGGCGACGTCGTCTTCGCGCATGGGGAGGTCGGCCTTCTCGGAGAAGAGGATAATGTCGAAGGCGTTCTTGTAGAAGCTCATGTACTGACGGCGAATCTCGTAGTCGCGACCGCGGGCCATGCCGTAGAGCGCCACCAGCACCGGCTCCACCTCGTGCATCTTCAAACCATGCAGGTACGTCTCCGTCTGCTCGAGCAGCTTACGCGCCGTGTGCGGCGGCGATCCAGGAACGGCAGCCATCGCCGCGCTGTCCTCCGCACTCGTGCTCTCTAGCAGCAACTGCGCACGGATGCAGAGAGCGGTGTAGTGTCCTTGCTCCGAGCTAGAGTGGATGAGCGACGCACACGCACCCTCCACGAGCTCGAGCGCCTTCTCGGTAGTCATCCCTGGCGCACAGCACACGGAGCGGACCATCATGACGTACGCGATCGGCGATATGTCTGCGCGGACGGCCATGATGACGGCCTCGTACAGCTCCTGCAAGCAGCCCAGCATCATGGGGTCGCGGATCAGCTGAAGAAGATCGCTGGAGAGTTCGTACCAGAAGCGCTTCTCGATGTGGGCCAGCGCACGGGCGACCGTCTCGGCAGCCTCGGCGTTGCCTTTTGCCTGTAGATTGCTCTGCAGGGAGACGAGGTACGCCTGCGCTCGCGCTTCTGGAGTGGCCATATTTTGATGGTGGCTTGCTTATTTCCTTTTCCAGTGTTTCTTCTCTGCGAGTTGCAGTCGTGACGGGGCGCAGACACCGGGTTGGTACGCGAATACGATGAAGTCACGATAAAGCTCTAACGACAGAAACGCGACAACAACAAGAATAATAATAATAATAATAATAAAAAACGGCACTGCTTGGCTGTGGAAATGGGTTTTTTTTTTTGGCCAACGACCCGTTCAATCCGCTTCCTCCTGTCCGAAACTGACGGGTGCGTCCAATGAACGTCCCAATAACACAAAAGCAAAAGGTGTAGAAGAGAAGAGAGCGAAACAAGTGCAGGGGCGTGGGCAAGGGATGCGGAGAGGTTCGAGAAGGAAAACAGTTCGATCGATTAAAGCAAGCAAACAAACAAGAATACGCTGCTGTGTGACGTTGCTGCGTGTCAGACTACTGAATCGATGCCGGAAGGGCGCAACTTGTCACCATTTGCTTTCTTTCATGTAAATGCAGCCAATACAACGCACCGGGACTCGCTTGTTACGTCGATGCACATCCAACTGCAATGGGGGAACAAAAGGAACGCTTCTTATTTCCATTGATGCATTAAACTCCATACGTTAGAAATCGCCTTTACACGCTGGAAGGGGTGAAAGGGGAGGGATGAAACAGCGGGGTGCTCAACTCAACTTTACGCATTATAAGAAGGAAAAAAAGAAGATAGGGAAAGAAGAAGGCGAGCGCCTTCTCTGCAGCAAGCCGCTCCGGACGTCCAGTCCTTGCGCATGGTTGTGCGCACTGCATCTATTTCTTTTCTTCCGCCTTCGAGTCTTCCGCTCCAACTGCTGCATAGGGCGACAGGTGCTTCTGAATGCTCTCGATAAATATCCACATCAGAATGACCTGCGGCACACAGCGTACCGCCTCCACGAAAGAGCCAGAGTACCAGCCGCGGATACCTTCCTTTGCATAAATCTTTCCCAGGCAGTCCGCCACGCCCTTGTAGACGACCTTGTCGGTGCTCTTGCCCGACATACCAATACGGCGCTTCGCTACATCCAACGGGAAGGCTACGAGAATGGATGCAATGGCGGCGGCAGACCCACCCAGAATCGTAGCGAGAAGGTTTCGCGCGGTAAAGTTGTCTTTGAAGAAGGGCGGGTTCGGGCTGTCCAGCACCGCATACTTGATTGTCTCGTACGTCGCGAAACTGACAAGGATGTCGGGCACTCTCTGCATAAGCGATGCACCCAAGCCGCGATAAAAGTTGCGCAACGAGTTCGTCTCGCGGTAGACAAGGCGGCAGGTATGCGCGATGCCCGTAAATTCCTTTTCACCCGACATGAGACGCAGACGCACGACCTCGCCTGGGTAGACTGCAGCACCGGCGACGGTGGCGGAGATGCCGCCGGCCCCACACTTCAGAATAAACTTCTCTATCAACTCCACGTTTCGGGACTCCATGACGCTCTTCTCGCTGCCGTCGGTATCGGCGGCATGTTCCGCTGCCCTCTGCTTTCGGCGACTGTCGAGCCAATCTTGAAGAACGAACTTGCACTGGCTGTACAGGAGGAACTGGATGCCGCTGTACGGAACGCGAATGACCATGGAGGTTAGATTGCCACGCCAGAAGCCTTTGAGTCCGTCTTGGTGGTAGATGTGCTGAGCAAGTTTCCGAATGCTGTACGACTTGTGCTGACCTAGTTGCTGCAGCACGACGATCCGTTGGAAGGGGCTTAGGAGGGACTTGGCGAGGGCGCCACCGCACCCCCCCGCCACCACGTCCACCCACGCCGCGTGCTTCTTTTCACTGCTAGACATTACGGGAACAAAGGGTAAAGTGAGCAGAGCGTTCGATTGTATAAGAGTGGCCTACTGTGGCTGTTGTATGCTTCAATGCCTTTTCAATAAGCACGCTAGCACACGAAGCGATCGATTCGCAGTTACCTGCAACGTAAGCCTACTGCGCAGAGAAACACACAAACACACACGCGAAGTAGCGGTGACAGTGTGAATGTACTTGACGGTTTTTGGGGTCTATCGAAGGAGAAAGAAGAGCAGCAATGCCCGGCTTACTATTCGTGACGTGGCCGCAGGCTACCTCGATGACAAACACCGCTTCCCTTCCTTTCTTCACTCTCTCTTTGTATATGTGTTGGCTTCGAATGTGAAGGTAAACAAGGGGATCCACAAAGCTAACAAAAAAAGAAGACACTTCGTGGTTGGAAATGCTTCGCTGGAATGGCGGGCTGGTGTTACTGCCACTTCGTCTTCTATGTGTGCGGATGAATGTATACAGCTCTCTCTCTATAATATATATATTATGCTTGCTCTATTATAACGATACACGCACTAGCAGGGGTGATTATATATCTTTTACTGCTAGAAAACCCGGCTTTGTATACGATAACAGCGAAGAGAGAATGTTGCACTGTTTTGACGTTCGTTGGTCTTCACTTTCCTCACGTCGTTTCCGGGTGGATTTGATGACGCACCGCACGAGCACGGAGCGGAAGCGAACGAGCTAGAACTGATCGTGACTCGATAATACGAAGGAATCGTTTGGTGTGTGTGCGTGCGTGCGCGTGAGAAGAGGCGTTGAGGAAGAAGAAGGATAAAGGGAGAGATAAAAAAGAAAGAGTTGTTTAACTTGTTCGCACACAGTAACAGCCAAATGCGCGCACACACACAACAGATGCATCTGTAAGTCACAGCGCAAACCTCGTTGATGCAGTGGTAAATTTCAGCAAAAAGATGCAGCGATAGCCGCCAATGATTAATTAATAGCAATCGCAAACACCAACTGTGTCATCTTCCTGCTGCAGATCCGGTACTTTATGGTGATGGAGTCAGAAAGGTCTAAGCCAGCTTGCCGCTGCAAGTAGCGATAAAAGGCACGTCCACAAACGCACACAGCTGACACGCAAGTGATGTAAAAACAAAAAAAAAGTCTGCCCTGTCAGTCTCCGGTGCTACGCGCCACATGTGCGTCCTCTTTCCTAAACTCCATCGCGCCTTTTCTTTGCGTCGCCTCTTCACCGAAAACGCGATGAGTCCGCCGCGATAAAACACAACGAAAACTAAAAATCCATGAAAGTCACGAACATCAAGAAGAGCAGCCATTAGTGAAGTAATAATAAAAGGAAAACAAACAAACAAAAGGAGGCTCGTGAAAGTCAAAGCTGAACTTCAAGCGGTTATCGCTAGCATGAGGAGTGCTGCGGCACTCAAGGTACGCGCAGGTGCATTTTGCACCGAAGCCTTTCCATCAACGAAAGCGTGTCTAAATAGTACAACAGAGCTCTATCAGGAAAAAAAAACTTACATATGTTGAAGAAGCAAGGAAGGGCAGAATAAAAAGCAAGAGAGACTCGTTCTTCATTTCGTTTCTTAAAAATACTTCTTTTATATTACAAAGAGCATGAAGGCGTCGTCTTTGTACATGTTGTTTCATACATTTCTAATTGTATGCGCAGGTGCAGAGGCCGGTGTGGCGCATGCGTGGCGGTCGTCGAAGCCCGAGCTGGGCTTTAAGGTGGGCTGCTTCATCATCACGAAAGATTCGTCAGTTGAAACCCTGAAAGGCACCCAAGGGTGCTGAGGAAAAACAAAAGAAATCCACACACACAAACACACACACACACACACACAATGCTTAAGCCTCGCGCAACCACTCCGGCGTCGATCGACCGGATCCCTCGCCAGCGTCGACGTCCTCATCTTCCGGTATGTCACCAATCTCATCATGAGAGGTTGCTTGCTGAGCACGATGCGCAGAGGATGGGGAGGGGTACACTTCGTGTTCGCCAGCGCTTTTATAGATGCCCCTTCCCTTCCCCGCTGTCCCCACCCTGTTGTGCTCCTCTCGCTGCGGTGATTGCGACGCGCGCCCCAAAGCCGCCTCGCCTATGCGCCGGTTATCCTCGTCTATCTTACGCAGCATCGCTTCAACATCGCCATCATCGTCGAGATCGATCTCCTCCGCTGCCGTCGCGGCAGCAATCCTAAGGTGTCGAACGTCGCCTGCCTCGTCTACGAGTTTTTCTAGCGATGTGTTGCCAGCGCCTCCAGCGTTCCCTCCGTTCGCGGAGAGTGCATGACCCCCTAAAGTCGTGTGCTTCACTGGGGAGTCCGCCAGCGCGGTGAACGCCGAAGAGGAGGGCTGATGGGCCTCCCGCACCGTCCGCTGGCCTGTCCCAGTAGAAGGCGGCAGCGGATTAGGGTTTTTCTTTGTAGGAGGCTCCGTCGACGGTACACCGTGCTGCGGTTTCTGGGGTGTGGCGGAGGCAGAAGCGTAGTCTTGGCTGGGGGACCGCTGCCTGTTCTTGCGCGCCGCCGCGACGGCCCCACGCAGACGCTCTGCCGCCGCGCTGTTCCTGGCCCCGCGGCCCACCCCCGCCTCCAGCGGAGGCGCCGGAGGCGAAGCACCGGGGCGCTCTCGTGAGAGCGACGCCCTCCCTCGTTCTCTCGTGCCGTTGCCCAAGGGCGCTTGAATGACGTTGCGCAGTGAGCTTTTCTGTGCGACCGCGGTGGCGCCGCTGCTGCCGGCTCTGGTGCCTGAAGCTTTGGTCTCGCCTTCGACTCCGTGCGCCGCAGCGTCACCGGCTGTGCCTTCCGAGACGTTGTCGTGGTTCGCTTTGATTTGCTCCGTGCGCTGCTGGATGCGGCGCCGCAGGTCGTCGATGCTGCTTTGCAGTTCCTGCCTGCGGTTGTCCACCGTCGCCCTCTCCTCATCGAGCAGAGTCGTCTTGCCGGTTTCGTAGTCTGCGAGGAGTTGCTGTTCTGCTGTAGTAAGTTCGGACAGGATACTTTTCTTTTTGCCGTGCATCGACGACTTTCGTGGAGAGGTGGAGCGAGAAGACCGCCCTGATGCACCCCCACCCCCACCATTCAGAGCCGCCGCGGTACCACCTCGCGGGTCCAGCCCTGCCGCTGCGCTGTACACCGCAATCGCCGCCCTGTGCTTCTCCGCTGTCTTCCTCTTAGCATCACGATCGCTGCGAAGGGCGTTATACTCCTTTGGTGTGATGGACGAGAGCTGACGTTCCTGCACCTGGGCACTCAACTCCGCACACTTCGCCTCCATCAACTGCGTGGCGCCACGGGTGCGCTCGATGCTGCTCTTCAGCTCTTGCAAGGAGCGCTGCAACCCAGCGCGGGAGTAGATGCCCTCGTTCATCTGCCGGTCCTGCAACTCGATGGCGGTGGGCATGCGTCTGTTTACCTCCTCGATCGTGTGCGCGGCGCGCTTGTCGCGATTCTCCAACGCGCGACGCACCACCGTCACCTCCTTCAGCCGCGCGCGCGCCTTCTGCAGCTGCGCGTCGGCGCGTGAGACGAGGGCCGGGACGTCGATGTTGACGGCCCCCGTCCCGTCGGCGCCGCGGCGTGTGTACGCGGCTTCGAGCTTCGCGTTCTTCTCACGAAGTGCCTCCAGGCGTGCCTTGGTGATAGGACGCGCCTTTGCATCGTTAGTATAGTTGCCGTTCCCGTTAATGCCTCTGCCTCGCCCCAGCGGTGCTTTGCGATGCGCGGCGGCAGGCGGTGCCCTCGAGTTGCCGCGCTGCGGAGATCGGCCGGTCGGCGAGCGCGACGGCGACGGCGACAGCGACGGCGACAGCGCCGTTTTGGGGGTGGCGTTTGCCGCCATCAACGCCCGCTTTCGTTCAATTCGGTTGTCCCACGTGCCGATCTCCATCTGCAGGTCCGCAATGCGCAGGAGCAGCGTTGCACGCTCCTCTCCCGCGCCGCCTTTATCATCGGCGGAGTCCGCCGATGAGGAAGTTGGGGAGGGCTCGCGGAGAATCTTCTGCGGCCCCGGACCGGAGTAGGGCGTGGTGCTGTTCTTCGAGTCGGACGAGGGAGATGCCTTAAACGTAGAGGTGCGCTTGCTGCGTGGCCCGCCGGGGAGTGGGGCCTCGACGGGCGTTGCTTTCGTTCCTTTTCTCTCCTCATCGGTGCTGTTTTTGAGGGCCGTGGCGGCGTGGCCTTGCTCGGAACGGCTGCGGTTGCTCGCCGGCTGCGGTGACGGTTTCTTGTCGCTCGACGCAGCGACGGAGGGGGTGGGGCTGCGGATGGGCGGTGGTGGTGGGGCGACGGCCGTCGATTCACGCTTCATGCTTTCTTCTGGAGTGTAACGGGCACGTCGCGCGTTGTTGACTTCTTCGTCTTCGACGTCCGACAGTTCCTCGTCGTGCATGTTGGGCGGCCTCCCTTTGTGGTGCGGGAGCGGTTCATCATCCAACTCCTCCACCGACGTGTAGTTGGATTGGTGAATCGACCGCTTCTTACCTACAGTGTAGCGGGTATTCGCTCCCCCGTCCAGCGGGGTCCTCCGTGGCCCAGACACGTCGCGGGTGTTGGGCATGACCATCATCGCCGCGCTCAACGTGCCCTGAATAGGCCCCGGCGAGTTACTTCCGCTTTGCTTCCCCGCTGCTGTCACGCTTGTCGAGCTGCGTGGAACGCCGTAGTATTGCTGTAGCTGTTGCTGCTGTGGGCTTTTGTGGGCCGCATACTCCCTGCTGCTGTCGCTGGGGGTGACCCCCGAAGAGGAGGTGGAGGCGGAGCGCAGGTACGACGGCTGCGGTGCGGCGCGGCCTGGGGTGTCCGCGGGCGATGTTTTGGAGGATTCATACGACGGTGCTGCCGCTTGCGCGTACGGCGGGCTTTGCCGCGGTGGGGTCGCTTTACGAGAAGACGACGAGGTCTTCGACGAGGCTGCTTTAGAAGACGAAAAACGGGAAGAAGAGGTGATTTGCTGTGCCGCATCACGACTACTTGATCGAGCTGCACGAGCTTCCGTTGGGTACGCGCCTTCCTGCTGCTGCAGCACCGGCCTCTTGGCCGCCTCGGTTGGGTACATGGGATCGGAGTGGCGAGAGGATGCCTGCGAGGATGACGCGTCCAATTCATGTGCCGAGGAGGCAAAGACCTGACCTTCGCCCGATGACTCGTAGCTGTCGAAGCTGTTTGCTACCGAAAACTGCCGGGTTGGCGCAGGCGCCAGACGGGCTGCGTTGTCACGTGCGAGTGCCGCAGCCGTCGACGATGAAGCTTTGGAATGGGTGGACACCTCCTCCTCGAAGTCGTCCTCGTAATCTTCATTCCAGTTGCTCATGGCTGCTGCTACGACGTCGTTCAATCGTACCTCTAACCGAGAAAACGTAAAGATATATATAAAGAAAAGAAATGAAGAGAGAAGAGAGTAATATGGATGTCTTTTTAACAGTAACTAAGCGCCTTACTAAGCAGCTGGTGGTGTAGGGAAAAGAGAAAGAAAAAGAGTGCAGGACCGAAGGAAACAAAACACCTCCAAGAAGCAGAAAGAAGTTAAAGATCAGCGTGCCCCTATTCGCTTGATCGAAAACTTATACCGTTCTTTTTCTCTGGCGTAAGGATCTGCACGTTGCTCCGAGGTGCGGTTTGCTCGCCAGAACACACAAACACACAGACACACTTCAGACGTGTTGCTCGTGAGAGGAGAAGGAGAAGGATGTGCGACGCTTTACTCAAGTGCGCTTTCCAAATACATATGTATGCGGAGAGTGAAAGAAACAGCAGCTATTGACCCAACGAAAGAGAAGAAGGTGAGAACCAACGAGCAGGGTTTTTTCCCTTGTTGTTCCTATCATCACATTCGACGTGGCTCTCGCTGTTCACAGAAAGTAGGAACGTATCGAGAATTCATTCGTTGAAGGAGATGCTATTCGCAGCATCACGAGGGCCACTTACTGCCCATCACACGCCCTCTCCCTCCCCCCTTACCGTTCGTTGCAGTCAAATCTTTCTTTTTCCTTTTTGAGACGGCCTTTCACTGCAGTTTCATTTAACGGACCCAGTCCGTAAACCAAAGTACGTAGAATAAGACGAGTGCACACACAACCAGCGTAATCCACGCGATATTAATCCACTTCCCACCAAACTCAGCATTCTCAAAGTCCAAGTAATCCCCCGTCAAGGCGGGGTTGCGCTTCTTTGTCGCTGACGCACGGGCAGAGGCGCGGTTTAAAAGTGTCTTCAGCTTCTCTGCGTTGGCTTCGCGCATGTTGACTGAGGTGCCGAACGCCTCACCGGCGTCGTTTTTGTCCATGCCTTCAGCTCTCTGACGCATGACAGGCTGCTATTTCTGAATTCTGCGTCTTTTCCCCTTTTTACTGTGTTCTACTGGAGTGATGATTCAGCGGTGAGTGTGTGTGTGTGTGTGTGTGCGTGTGTGAAGAGTGATATTCAAGCAAAATAATAAAAAACGTTGAGCGAGTCGAAGAGACTTGAAGATGGCAGCAGCGATACCTTTAAACTTTGGCAAAAACTTTCCTTCACCGAAGCGCGTTACCTGTGACTGCAGCGCAACACAACTATTGATGTTCAGCAGTGTTTTTTTCTTTCTCTTCTGCGTCGTGCGAAATCATCAACGTTCGACTCGGGTCTTAAAATATGTCGTTACTCCGTTGTGTGAGCATTACGAGGCGAAAGCCTTCGGTTTGCTCTCTTGTTGTTGTGCGACGTTCTTCTGACTCAAACAGAGCCGTCCCACGAAGAGGCAGCGAGCAAAGGAAAAAAGAACCGTCATACCGTGAGGAGAGGACGGCGCACCAATGCATCGTCGTGCGTCAGCACTCCCCAAACGCGACGCCAAATCCAACGAAAAGGCGAGCGGGGAATGCAGAAGGTGACGAAGTAGGCAAAAACAAAAAACCAAAGCAAACTTGGTTCAGCGCTCGCCGCAAACGAGGCGGGGCGATGGTGCCGTGTGGTGTCGTAGGAGGCGGACTGGTTTATGGTCAACGGCTCTGTCGCCCCCGCGCTGCCCATATTTTCTACCGTGCTCCCTTTGGCACGACGGTCAGCCGTGACGGAGGTATCTTGCACGTTGTCGGCTACGGCGATTTCGTCTGTGCTCCCAGCGCGGAGAGCTTGCACCACCCAATCGCTCAGAGTGTGAACAATTTGCGCCGACAACGATGCAGGAGACGCAGCGGTGGCGGTGCTCGGCACCAAGACGGACGAAGGCGCTCCCGACAGCGCCGTCGCTGGCGGCTCCGCATCGTAGGCGTAATACCGACCATTCTGATAAAAGTATGACGGGCGACCCCGCCCACTGCCGCCATGATCGTCTGAATTCATGGTGCCGCTTCCACTGGCCTCATCGTCTCCAGGTTGAGACGACTCCGCACCCGCCTGCATTCGCTGTAGGAGCATAAAACGGACGGGTTCCAACACCTCTCGCCACGCGACCTCTGACATGTGCCGAAGGGGGATCGAGGACCTTTGTCCGGCCGGCCCATCCGCCGCGAACGAAAAATCTGCCGTCCAGAGATGACGAAACAAAGCGACGGTGGAGTGCGCGACAGAGCCCAGAACACCGCTCTGGTGGGTGGAGAGCGATCCGCTGCTATGCGTCGCTCCGCCGTAGACTTTCACCCCGCCCAATCCTAGTGCCTGCAGGGTGCGCACGTACACAACGAAAAGAAGAAGGTAGGAGAGGCAGAGCAGCGCCACCCAAAGGGACAGCGTGGTGGAGTAGCCGTAGAAGGCAAGTTGCATCCGACTCAGCAACGCAGCAACGCATGTCTGGCACCGCAGCACGCGGGTGACCACCGCCTGTGTGCTGAAACGCTCGCGCCGACGTTCGACCAGGTTTTGTGTCGTTAACTCTGAAAGGTTGTAAACAAGACTGACGCGATCGTGTAACGGAGGGACTTCATCCTCAAGCACGGATTGAAAGGGAGGGGCTGAGAAGCGAGGCGAGCTGCAATGATGGTGACGGCGATGGTGTCGTTTCTGTGGTCGGGATGCATTACAGCTCCACAATCGCGGAAGACGGATGTGCGGACCGAACAGAAGAAATAACCGGGGACGCCACTCGTGCTGACTCGCCGCGTCTTGTGTATACACGTCGTTGCGCCTGTCGCTGCGGCTTCGATGAGAGGGCAGACGTTTGAGAAGGCCTACCGTAAGACCGTTGTAGGCGAAGTACACAACAGCGATGCTCAGCGCGAGACGGAAGCAGTGTGCGGGATGCTGAATAGCGAGGACAGAAACCAGCAAGAGGCAAAGGACCCGCCAGCGACGCAGCCTCCAGGAAGGCCGACGCGCGCCGCGCTGCCGTGCTGCGCGTGAGAAGAAAGCATAAAGATCTGCCCACGGCGAGTGATGACTGCCGTGCTTGTTGCTGCGGACGCTGTGCCCATTGCGGTCGTAGGAAATGGGCAGCAGCCAGGACCAACGGGCAAGGTGCACAAGAAGCTCACGCGCCAGCGGGGATACGGCGTAAGACAGCGGCGGAGAAGAAGACAATCGTGGACGCGCGTTGACGTCGCTTCCCTGTCGGCCCGACGACGACGACGACGACGCGAACAGCGCGAAGTCCACGGACGGCACGACAGAGCCGCGGAAGAGGGGGAGAGGCATCAGCGTGTAGACGTGCTGGTGGTGCTCCCACTGCCACTGCAGGAGCTGCTGCACCTGGGCGATGGAGAGGTTGAAGGGCTGCGCCAGCCGCTGCTGCAGCTCCACCGGAGACGGCACAAAACCTGCGTAGAGAGGCGTGGAGGTGCTGCCGCCATCACCAGTCGGGGACGCGGCGTCGGTTTGCTCGTCGATGACACCGGCGCCGGCGCCACGTACCGGCTGCGCGGTACGGGGCACGACGGAGAGCACGGTGGTCAGCGGCGGCACGATGCACTCTGCACAGAACTCTGTTAGATGCTGAATGGCCTTGGCGAGTGTGTCGTCCCGGTCAACGTGTAGCACAAGGTCCATCTCCGCAGACACCGCCGCTGCGCTTAACGCGAGACGAGCGGCGGATGTTGACCCTGCTGCTGCTGCTGCTGCTGATGTTGCTAAGCTACGGCTTTCCTGCTGCCGCTGCTGTTGCGTCGCGGTGGCGAATCGAGAAGGAGCGATCGAGGTGCTGCTGGCGTACGGTGCCACCGAGGACGTTGAAGGTGAAAAGAGCTGTGAAGCTACCGGTGGGGTTTCCGTCATTGCACTGTCAGCTGCATTGCTTTGCACGGCAGCGCCGTCGAAGCCTCTCTTTCCATTCCAGTGCATCGTCGACGCAGCTGGGCCGGGCGAGGGCGAAGAAAGCGGGCAGCCAGCTTCACACGGGTCGTTGCCGCCGCTTGTAGAAGGGAAGAGACACTGCGCATGCCGCAACGACACCACCGGAGCTTCGCCCTGTGCGACGCGGCGGTTTGCATCGTACCGCAGCTGCATTGCACGGGTCATACCAGGCGCAATGCTCGGTGTCCGCAGCGCTGCAGAAGGCTTAGTAGTAGAAGTAGTAGAAGTGTGGCGAGGCATTGGTGAGAGAGAGTGGCGGGACGTGCCCCAGGGCGCCTGTGCCTGCCGTTCCACCGCTGCTGAGTGCGTGGGGTGAAGTGGTTGGTTTGGTGACAAGTGAAAGCGTGAGGAAAGCGGGGCCGGCGTCCCGGCGCGACCGCGGCGCACCTCTTCGTCTCCGTTGCGCCGCTGTTCTTCTGAAGCCTCATATCGGTCTCCGTTAGCGGTAGAGGAGGCAGCGACGGCCGTCGCTGGTAATTTGGTTCTGCTACCGTGCAGTTCAGTCCAGGTAGACGACGGTGGTGGTGTTACATCTACCGTGAAGGCCACACCGCCTGGCTTCGCTGAAGAGGCGGAGGCGTAGGGCTGCTGCGCTACATCTGCATGGCGCACACCACCAACGCCGTACCCACCTGAGCCTTCGCCCAGCCGTACGTTGTGCCTCCGGTACGGCGCGTCACCCAACTTCAGCACGCGCTGCCGCGATAGCTCCTCGGCACGACGCTCCACATACGCCCGACGAATGGCTTTCAGCGTTTCCAGCCGATAGCGCACCGCGGCGTAGGCCGCCACGCGATCGCACAACAGCGCACACCGCGCTTTACAAGCTTCCGGGTCCGTCAAGTAGGGCGATGTGCAGGCTGGAAGTGCCAAGCACGCTCGACCAGCTTGGAAGAGGGCGTACCAAATGCGCGCCCTGTGCCGCCACGTCACACACAAGCCATCAAGTTGATACTGCCGCCGCAGCGCCCGACACCTGGCACGTCGCGTAGCGTCGTCCCCCTCCTCTCCGTCGGGGGAGGGAGGCTGTTGCCGCTGCACTTCGGCGGACAAAGCAGCGCTGCTCTTCGTGTTTGCTGGATTTCCCTTTGGTTGGAGGATTCGACGTGTGGTAAAGAGGCCAAAAAACCAGCGCCGCTCCTCGACCACCACCGTGGGTGGCGAATTCTTTTCCAAGCGCTTTCCCTGTGCATCCTCATCCTCCGCATCGTCGCCCCACCCGTAGCGCCGCTGCTGCATCCACAACTCCTCCGTCGTCGGTACCACACGCGACAGCGGCGTCTGGCACAGCAGCGCCAGTACGTCATTGATGTTGTGGATGGCGACGCACACCTTCAGCTCCGGCACGTGCGGCACGGGGAGCAGCAAGATGAACGCCTGCTCCCGCAGGTAGAACGGCTCTTGGTAAAGGTTAATGCGCTCCAGGTAGCTCTCCCAGCCCCCGCGCAGTTGCGTCGGTTTGCGGGAAAGGAAGCACGACACCCCCTCCGTGCGCCAGACCGCCTTAGTAATATCTAACACCTCTAATCCTCCTCCATTATCGGTATCTTCGACGCGCTGGTGCGCGGCGCGGCCTGGCTGGCGAGCTCCACGTACGGCTGTGTTAGGCAGGCGCAGAAACACGGTCGCGATGTCACGCAGCGTAAAGCTCACGTTGACCCCGCTCGCAAGTCGGACGGCGGCTTCTCCGTCGGCGAGCTTCTCCATCTGTTCGCGTGCGTGCAGACATGCCTGCTGCTCGGCCGGCTCGCGCAGACGCACCTCCGCCCGCCGTGCCGCGTCGCCAGCGCCACAGCTTTCGCGCAGAAGAGAGGGAGCTCCGTTTGATAGCGGTGGTGGCCTCGGTGACCGACCGCTTCCGTTGCTCACCAACGAAGAAGGGTGCACACCGAGACTGAAGGCACGCGCGGCCTCGCTGAGTGGGTTGTCGATGACGGCGGACATAGCTGTCCTTTCATCGCTGCGAGGAGCAGCCCGCGGCAAAAGGCAAGGCGGAAGGGCCGTCGTGCGAGGTCTCCATACGGCTGTTGACAATGGCAACGGAGCACCGCCCTCACGTTGAGAGACTTCAGTGGTGACATCGGCCGTTGCGTGGGGGGTAAACCTTAGCCGTGTGCCACCGCCCCTCCCTATCACGTCTCGACTTGCAGCCGCATCGTCGAGGTCGTGCCGCAGGACCTGTATCCCACCTCCCACCGTCGCTCCGCGCGGACCACGTGTTGCACCGGCTGGGTGCAGCGGCGGCTTCTCAAAACAGAAACGCTTCGGCACCGGCCCGCACATGTAAGTCGCTTGCAAGTTCTGTTGGTAGTCGTTGAGACGCTGTTGACGCTGCAGCTCGCGTCGTCGCCGCTCCGACTCATCCCTGCCGGCGGCGGCGCCGTATGCGCGAAACCAAGGTGTACGCGCCGCGCCCGCTGCGGCGCCGTATCGATGTCCCGACGTGTACCCGGCGCGGTGTGTCAGCGAGCTTGGCGCGAGCGGGGGACGGCGGCCGAGCACGGCGGTGGCCCGTGCCGTGCCGGGGCTGCGGGCTCGGCGCAGCGTAGACGCTGCTTGGTCCTGAAGGCGACTCTGCAGTGGAGAAAGCGAGAGCCTCGTTACGTAGGGCTCGTCAGTGCGACATAGGTAGTCCCGCGACTCATTGTCGTACTCGTGCTCCGTGCGCAAGGAGAGCCGCTCTGTCACGCATGACCCCGAAAAAGGACGCAGGCTGCAGGTAGGTCGCACAAGCGTCTCTCGAGGAATGTTGTAGACATCCGTGGTCGGCTGTGCTGCCTCGTCTTGATGCTCTGCTCTACTTAGGTGGTAGGGCTGATCGGTGGAGGTGGAGAGTCGCACGTTCATGCTGCTACGCGAAGTTGCCCCTGTGTGGTTTGTTTTGTAAGGCGTTGCTGCTGCCGCTGCCGTGGAGGTTTGGCGACCAGGCACCCACGTGGAGGAGAAGCGTAGGTTCGGCGCAGAGGACAGCTCGCGCACCGGCTGCCACCACGTCGCGTCCATCGCGGACACCCCGCGCGGTCGTACACGACTCCGCACGCCAGCCGCACGTGTTACAGTGTTTGCCTTCGCCGCAGCGTCGTCGTACTCGTCTATGAAAAGGGTTTGGCTGGGGCTGCGAGCTAGTGCAGCTGCTGCGGTGGGATTTTGCGCCGGGGCCCCGGGGCGCACAGCGGGGAGTGGGGACGAGTAGGAGAAGGAGAGACGCCCAATACCAAGTGTGTTCCGCACTGGGGTTCCCTGTGGTGCCGACGGGGGAGCGACTGGGTCTTGTGTGGGCCTGGCATCATTTCCGGTGGCAGCCGCGGTGCGGAGAGTTGTCGCCGACCGACCGAAAGGAGTGGCGTGAAAGGAAGACCGCTGATGCGGTTCCAGTTGCTGCTGCTGCTGTGAGCGTGTCGAGGCACACCATGGATTGGCTGCCTTGTTCGTATATGCAGTCGGTCGTGACGAGCCCCGCATGTTTTCAACGTACTCGGACGGCTCTCTGGGCACGTCGCTGCTGCCGAACCCGTGTGTGGGACGCTGTCCGACGGCACCCCGACCCGGCCGCCCCTCGGGTGAGTCAAAACACTCGTGCTCGTCAAGGGCTGCCGTGGTGGCCGGAAACGGTGGCGGCGCGCTGCGCTGCTGCGCGGAGACTTCGCCCCACGCGTTCTGTGACCTGTCCTTCGCGCTGCTGCTGGGCGAGATGGCAGACACGGAGAAGTTCAAGACAGACGGCGAGTCGGCAACGCCGCTGAACGGCGCACTTCGCTGATCGGCAGGGAAGGCGGTGCTCCTCGACAGGTTCACCGAATTCGCCGTTGCCGCTGCGTTCTGCTGTGCAGACTGCCGCCATCGCGAAGAAAGGCCCGCATCTATTGATCTTGTCGTCGCTGTTGCTGCGGCGGGCTGATCAAAGGGTGTGAGGTGTACCGCAAGGCGCGGCGCTGGCGTCAGCGTGTGCGGAGACGGCGCCACGTTCGTCGGAGGTTCATCAAAGAACGTCTCTTTCGGCGGGAGTTGTTGCCGTGACGAAGACGCGGGGGCTGGAGTTTTCAGGGTGGAGAAACACGCAGGCAGCCGCGGCGAACGTGGTGGGGTGTGCGCCGCGGCGGGAGGGCCTTGCGTCCACACCAGAAAAGGGTTTTGCGCAGACGCAGTGGCGGGCTTGGCCAACGTTGACCACATGAAGGGTCGCGGCACACCAGAGACCTGCCGATCCACGACCTCGTGTTGATGCTTCCCTTCTTCGTCCTCTTCGTTGCTGTTCATACTCCGAGGATTATGGGTGCCAAGCACGTCTTCACCAGAGCAACTCGAGATGAACTCTTCCGCACCATTGTCGTCGTAGCCCTCCTCTTCCTCCTCCATTTCGATCGCTTCGACACGATCTCTTCGCATGTCCGTACTCCACGCCCGCGGACGTGGACTTTGCTCCTGGCATCCGCGCCGTGCGGAGGGAGAGGTCGGCGAGACGGGGTGGTGTGGTCTTGGGCCAGCACGGGTGGACGCAGCAGCGGCCGCGGTGAAGGAGGCGATCTTGGGCAGCGGCGTGTCTGGCCAGCGGATCGCTTTGCGGCCCTGCTGCGTCGTCTCCCTTTCAGGGGTGGCAGCAGCACCGATCCCGTCAGCGCTAGGGCGATCGCCGGCGGTACAAAATACACGCCGAACTCCCCGGCTGCTTGTGCAGCCCGCGTAGAGGTTACTATCCGTCAGTTCTGCAGTCGCGCACAGCTTTGTAAACGGATTTTCTACTGCTGTGTCGCGACGGAGAAGCGGACCGGTAGACACCCGCGCGGTCACCGTGGCGGGAGTGGCAGGCGACGCCTTCGATCCACCTGTCGAGGCGCTGTCCACGTCGAACGTCATCGCGACCCCACCGCGTGCGGAGCGCACCGACCGCACAGCCGCATGCGGTGCTTCTTCATTCTCTTCCACGTCCACCGCTACATCTCTCACCACCTCCTCCTGCATTTCCGAGTTACCGATTCGCGTTTCCACAGACGAAAAAGCTGCAGGCCGATGAGCAGCGGAAGCTGCAAACCCAAATGCGCCGTTTGAGAAGTACGGCGACGACGGGCGAGTGTCCGGCTGCGACGCCGCGTCGGCGGAGACTGCGGTGCGGTACCGCTGCGGCGCCGCTGCGGCGCCGAGTTCACTCTCGGTAGACTGCTGAGGCGTTGAGACTGCTTTTGCCGGGAGTCCCGTGCCAGATTGTGGTGTTTGGACGAGGCCAAACTCAAGGCTGAGGCCGCCTCGGCGCGCTGCGTTGGAGGTTGGAACAGCATAGCCGTCGGGATCTTTTAACTTGGTCCCTGCAGTACTTCTCCACTCGTCTACAGCCGCGGAGACGCATTGGTTTTCTTTCGCCGCTAATTGCTGCTGCTGCTGCGGTAAGAGAGGTGGTACCATTGCTGTTCCGCTTGTCGTTACTGCTGCGCTGTTCACCGCACGAGATTGAAGCGGTTGTGCATAGGGCTGCGTGTGCAAAGCGGACGTTACTGGAACAGCAGCAGCAACTTCAGCTTTCCCCTTTTCTGCCGCTTCAGCTTGTGTATGAGTGACCGTAGCCGACGGTGTCAACGAGGAAAAGGCGCCTTCGCGTGTGGGCCACACACCTCCTTTCCAGTCCTCGCCCTTGTGCATAGGAACATCACTTCCCTCACCGTAATTCTTCAAAGAGGCATCAGATGTGCTTTGCGGGAAGACACCCAAATGCACCGCGGTGCGCAGTCCTACGTCACTCACGCACTCCGTAGACCCGAGCATGACGGGCATCCACTGAATTGCCTCTTGCTCTGCCGGTGTACGCTGGACGGGCACGGACAGCCACGTGTGATCGACCAGGCCGCGGCAGCAGTACCGCTCGCTCTCCCGCATCTGTGTCGCCTCACGCGTGCCGTAGCGTTGTGCCCCGGCTCCCTCCACGCCACTCACCGTGAAGCCGTCTGAGAAGGCTCCGGAAAGGTAATGGGAACTGTCCAGTACCGCAACGGATAGCACCGACCGGATAGCACCGTAGCGCAGTTTGTGCTGCGCCAGGGAGGATTCGGAGAGGGCGCGGAAGAGGTTCACGACGGCGGCGGACGTCGACGCGGCGCCGTCAGAAGATGACTCGGCAGACGCACGACTTGCCACCGTAGGCGCCGACTCTGCCAGCGCCCCGCCCCGCCCGCCTCTTTTCTGGGCCGCGTCGGGCAGGAGGAAGTCTGGGACGCGGGCGCCCTTCGCGGCGAGACCGTCTTCACTCCGCCGCGGATTGCCAGATATGCTATTGCTCAGCAGCGACGCTGTCACACGCAGAAATCCGCTTGTGCAAGGCGAAGAGGAGGCAGGTGCGGTCGCGGAATTGCGTTGCTGAGTTCCGAATGCCGTCGGACTCGCCTGCGCAGCCAGTGCAGAGGTGCGTCGAGAGCCGTCAGGTCTCTCCGGTGATGGTGCACGGGAAGGCTGGCGAGACCGTACGAGTCCGTCCTCCATCCGAGCATTGGCTTGTGGCAAGCGCAGGGCTTCTCGGCCTGCGCTCCCTCGTGGAGATTGCGTTGTTTGAGGTGGTCGAGGAGGTGCGTTGGCGTGCTCCGGCGCAGTGCTTTCAGCGCCGCCGTGCCGTTCAGTCGGCAACGGAGGAGCTGCGGGCTCGTTCAGCCACAAAACATTACCAGAGATGTCAGGAGCGGGTGATGCCCGCCCCGCGTCCGGGGCTTCAGCCGCCGCCATCGTTTTCCTTGTGCCGTCCTTGCTGTCTTGCGAGGAGGCAGAAGTCGCTGCACCAGCGCTACATCGTAGCTCTGTCGCGCGATGCGGCGCGTTGCTGGCCGTAATGCGCGCGATTGCGGTTGCCCGCGGTGAACGGCTGCTGCTGCTTCTACCGTTCCCGGCGGTGGTGGTGGTGGAGTCGTGTGCTAGGTCGGACACCAGACACAGCGGTACCGTCTGGGGTTGATAGGAGGCGCGACTGGAGTGCGCGTAGTAGAGGGGGTTGTTGTCCTTCATGACGAGGTGGTAGCAGTCGCAAGGAGCCAAGGAGTAGAGCAGACGCGTGACGCCGAGAAACGACACACCAGGAAACGGTCTAATGGGAGAAGGAGCACCTCTCGCGCTTCGCTTTGCAGCTGGTGGTGTGACTGTCTCTAAAGTCGGCGTAGAAGACGTGGCTGCCGTTTCCTCCTCGGACACAAAAGACGAGTGCGCCAGTGCGTAATTCGTGAGCACTTTGTGGCATGCGTCAAAAAACTGCGTGGCCCTCCGTTGCTCCTCCGGGGTGCTGTACTCCGCCCCCGCTGAGGTGTTCGAGGCTGCGTGGACCTCATTTTGAAACAGCTGATGCATGACGTCATCGAAGTCGTGACCCCGCTGCCGTGAATTTGTGGTACCGCCGACTTGACCCTTCCCCATCTCGTCTTCGCCGTCTGAGGACGAGCCGCAGCTGCTATCACAACCAGAGCTGCTGCTGCTGGTGCTAGTGCTGGTGCTTCTCTTTTCACCGCTGGTTTCGTTTATTGGGTTAGCGGTGCAGGTCGAGATTCCTTGCTCTTCCCGAACTGTTGCAGAGGCTTCCGCCCCCTTCTTCGAGAACGGCCACCAAGATCGTCGTGCCGTGTCGGTGCACGTCGTTGAAGCTACCTCATTCCTCGCATCGCATCGCTTTTGTTCTCTCCGCTGCGAGCGGTAACTCGCGCGGCACTGCCGTCGCTGCCGCCAGCGCATCTCCTCCCGCTGCTCCGTGTAGTACTGCTGATCCTCGGCCTTCAAACGAGTGAGAGGGATGCGGTAGACGGAGAAGTGCAACGCGCGAAGGTCTGTGGCATTCATCGTAGTAGTGGAGCTCGTAGCATTGGGGGTCGTAGCAGCAGCTGTCTTCGCGTTGCTGGAGCGGCCCTTGTCGGGGGCGATGTAATAGGTCTCACTTTCCCCTGCGACGCGACGGTAGCCGCCACTCCCGCGGCTCATTCGACGTGCAGCTGTGGCGAGCGCGGAGTCGGTGGCAGCGGATGTCTCCACATTGGCTGGAACAAAATGAGTAAAATTTCCCTGAATGACACGAAAGTTCTCGACCGCTGCCGCTTTCTTGTCCGTCGCCGCTGAGGGCGAGGTGCTGGGGTTCTCTGGAGCGGAAGGTGGCGCCGGTGGTGGCCGTGGCCTGCTTCCTTCCACGGCCTGCCCTCCGCACCGCGTCGCGTAGTACAGGGCTTGTTGTGAGGGCCGCAGCTCTCGTGCCAGCAGGAAGAAAGAGTCGAAAAAGCGAGGTGCCATTGGCACATTACGCAGCACCTCCGCCGCCGCCGTGTCGGCGCTGCGCTTTGCTTCGTCCTGCCGCATCTTCGCGGTATCGTCGGTGACGCGAATGGAGGGCCGTTGTTGCTCTGCCGGTGAAGTTGCCGATGCCGTTGTTGCTGCTGCTGCTGCTCCTGATGCGGGTATGAACCCAGTCTCTGAGACCGCGGCCACCGCCGCAGTCCACGCGGGGTCCAGGACAGCGTTTAAATGAGATGGGAAAGTGCGACAGCGCAGCTCCGCCGGCAGGAGGTCGTGGTGCGTCGTCAAACCCGCTAGCTCCTCGGCGGTGAGAGGCTGGGTTGAGATGGACGGGGCAGCGGGGTGGGTCACGACGAGCACGTAGACGTACTCGAGTGTGTCGGGCAGCTCGTATGGGAAGCGGGAGAACAGGGAGGACAAGAGCGCGCGATGAAGGGCGTCCGCGCGCTCGTCGAGGGCGACTTGGGCCAGGGAGGACCGCGGGTTCGTTGTGGAAGTGGCGCTTGCACGCGTGGAGGCTGAGACGGTAGCGGACGGCCTATTTGACGGTGACGGAGACGCAGACACGGGAGAGACGGCGTCGAGCGAGCCGCTTCCTGGCTCTCCAGAACCACGCTCCGCGCTGTATACAGGGAGACGCGTTTTCTGCTGGCCAGGCTCTACAGTGACGCAGGCAGACTGCGAAGCAGAGGGTGCTTCTGTGGCCGCAGCCGTGGCTGCGCAACTAGCGCCTGCGGCGATTGCATCGGGCTTCTGTTCCAAGACGGCGACGGGGATGCGCAAGTCGCGCAGATGCAACCGGAAGCAATCCACCTCCGGCTCCACAAAGAGCATCGCCGCCTTAGTCTCAGCGTGAGGTGCAAAAGAAATGTAATATAGATTTGGTGAAGGGAGACACAATAAGTGGAACGGTCTTCGCTGATCTATCGGATGGAATCTAATCGTGCGGTGGTGGTAGTGGGAAATGTACTGTAAAAACAAAATCTAAGTAGTCATAGCAACAGCAGTATCAATAATATCTATATGCTCTGCTGAGAGAAAGAGAAAGAGAAAACAAGCGTTGCAAAAATTTGCGTTGAAGAAGCGCTGCAGTTGTGCGATCAGAGAGAGAGAGAGTCTTCGTGACACAGTGTGCACTGGCGGCGATCACCTCAGCACCTCACAGAAAGAAAAACAAAAATAAAATGGTCGAGAACAGAAACCGCCAAAGGAGAAGAGGGAAGACCTCGAAATGAGAGTAAGAAGCAGAGATTTGTTTTTGTCTTGTTCCCACTGAGGTAGTCATGCACGAGTGTGATCGACCGGCTGCGAACTCCAACAGTTAATACGACAAGCAAATCCTTCGCAGTGCTTTGTGATACTACACCATTAAGCGCTCATACCGTAAGTACGACTCCCTGCTTCATCGAAGTGATGTCGAAAAGACATTCGATTCCCTAACGCAGTCTCGCCTTCAATAGTTATGGCGATGCGCACTTTATGTACAGCGAAACCACATTTATTACGTCCCCTAAAACACACACACCCACAAAAAGGAAAGGTGCACTGTTATACGAAACTGCAGCCCTTTTCACAGTCCCACCGTCGTCGCGGTGAAGAGAAGCGAGCTGCACGGCGGTGTTGGCGCTCACACAATATCGTTAGTGCAGCCATCGCGTGAGCGGCAAGTTGCGCCGGCGCTTCCGATACGCGTTGCGACCGATACACCGTCACGGTCATACTTCGCGTTGCCGCTGCAAGAGCGCCCATCTCGCTCCAGCCGTCGCTGCGCGTAACTCCAGAGACGTCTCCACAGCGCGCTGATCCCTCCGAAAGAGCGCCGCAGCCGCTCCGACATCACGGAAGCCCGCGTGGTCTTGTCAGCGAAGAAAAACTGCGTCGTTGATGGCTGACTGTCGGCCGCTGCGGTGAGACCCGCTCGGGTGGTGCCCGGTGCGGGGTCACCCAGGCAGAGGTGGGAGGAGCAGGGGACAAGAAACGTAATCTTTCCGGTCAGCTCCACAATGGCTGGTAGCGGCTCCAGCACCTCCCCATCGGCTTCCATAAACACCGGCGCCACGGCGACGTCGGCATCCTTTGACGGGCCGCTGCTCACCAAGAAGCGCTCCCCTTCAAAGGCGCTCGTGCTGCTCCAGTGCAGATGCCGCCCCGTGTAGAGGGACAAGGCGCCGGAGATAAAAGGTAGCACCGTCGCGACCCAGCTGGTGCAGCTCAGCATGCCGTCGGTTGGGTCGGCGTGGGGGGCCACGTGCATACCTCCGCCGTACCAGCGCCCGTTTGCGAAGGCCACCATCGAAGACGGCAGCTCCACCCACGTCAGCGCGGCAAGGTCATCATCGTTTCCGTTCACGGTGCTAATCCATTCTTTTCGCGGTTCTGCCAGTGCTGCTGCGGTGAGCGGCTGCAGCGTACCGTTTCCATAGTGCCCTCCGTTCGTACCGTTGTTCATTGCGTGAATAGCGTAGTGATTCCCAGGATGTGCGCGCTCACGTGCTGACACCGCTTGATGCGGTTTCTCCTCTCTTTCCTCCGTTGCTGTGTCGAAGGAGGTCGTCATCATTCGCTCAAGTTGTAGTGCTTGCTGATGGCGCAGTGCCAGCAGCTCCTGCTCATTGATATCCAGCAACTGGTGAACATAACGGGAAGATGTGTGGCTCATGCACTGCACAATTTTTGCATGGGGGGCCGGTATGGGTGCTCCAACGTGGCAGCCATACGCGTTCTCCTCTTTGGTTGGGGCGTAAATGCTATCGCCGTGGAGGGACGAAAACAGAGGTGCGTTCACCAAGCTATGAAGTTGCGCCACACTTTCGTGGCCGGCGTGCAGGGGAAGCTCTGCTTGTAGCCGCCTTAGCTGCTCACCGAGCGGGGAAAAAGACGGCAGTGACAGGAGAGATCCTTTTGGCGGAGGTGCCTCCTCCGCTGAGTGCCATTGCTGAAACTGCTGCTCTTCTCCTGCTTGACGATTGGTGTGGGACCCGCTACACACGTGACCATTTCTGGCCTCTGCCGCCTTGCTTGTGATGATATCTTCACTAGACACTTCTGCTCCCACAATGGCAACTGCAGCGGCTGCCCGCGTCGTGCGCGGTGGCAGCTTGCAGAGGAGCAGCGGCTTCGGGGTCATGAGAAAAAGTGAAATGAGCGACGACAGGGCGAACATGAGCGTGCCGCCGAGCTTGGAGATGAATCTGCTGTGTTTGAAGCGCTCTCCGCGTTGGATGACGTCGCACGACATGCCGATCGAGGCGATGTTGAGGAAGAAGTGACGGGTGCCGGTGTTGAGAAACTCAATACGACCAATATCCACCGGACACGCGTAGCACGCCGCTTTGCTTTCCGGCAACGTAGCAGCGGAGGAGTTGGTCGCGGTGGTAGTCGTGCGCATCCTACGCGAGCTCTCGAAAAGCATCTTCGCCACGCCGTCCCGCACAACGTGGAGCGCCGCTTCCGGTGTGGAGCAGCACAGCCGCAGCTTAGCGAAGTCAGCGCCTGTTCCGCCGGGCACATAAAGCACTGCGGGGAGCAGACGTGTGAACACGGCCGCCTCCTGCTCGACGTGCGCATGCGAGGAATGCGCTGCGGCTGTACAGCCCACACACTTTTTTGCCCCCACGGACGTGCAGCCGTGCAAGGCGGAAGTAAAGTGTTTGTAGCCCGCCAGCGTTCCTTCGCACAGGCCGTTGACCACCTCGCTCAAGGTGCCATCGCCCCCCGCAACAAGGACGAGGTGCTGCCAAAGCGGCGGAGAGTAGGGTGCCGAACTTGACCCTGTCGTTGTGGCGCCGTTCAACGGTGTTTCTTGCTGCTGCTGCTGATCCGTGAGACGCGAGCGCAGAATGAGACGACTTAGCGCGTTGCTTACCGGCTTGGCGTGTCCGCCCTGATCGGTGTGAATCAGCATCGTTCGCACCCGTGCAGACGAGGACGGAGACGAGGAAGATGGTGGTGGTGGGATGGTGGCATTCGGCGGGGAGGAGGGCGGCGTAATCGGCGGTGTAGGCCCTGCTACGGCCGTCGACGCTGCCGCACCGCTGGCCCAGATGGCGTCTAACGAGGGTAGCTGCGAGAACACATCCGTGCTCGGCATTGCATCGCCGTTGCGCGCCGCGGAAGACGGCGTGGGGTGCGGAGGAAAGGCAAGCGACAAAAAGCGGGAGCTGTGCAGCTCTTGCACGGCCTCTGCGCCGTAGGTCCTCTGGAAGAGTTTCGCCAAACGGCCCAGCACGATCGCGCCTCGCTTGCCTCCACTGGTTGGATTGCCAATCACCCACACGGAGAGACAAGCGGGAGGCGGGGGAGAACAGGAGGGAGGAGGAGTGCCCGACATGGCACCGGACGCTGCCATTGATGTCGGTGGGATCTATTCGATGGGGTCAGCAAGTAAATTTGATTGCAGAAGAGTTTTCTCCCCCCGATCGTGTGCTTAAAAAAAAACTGATAGCTATCGGAAGAGGAGGTGAGCAAAAACCAGAGTTGTCAGAATGAGACAACGTTTGAAAAATGCGGAAAGGAGAGAAAGAGGAGCGGACAGGCAAACAACAGTTCAGAGTGCCAAAGAAAGGGCCCGTGTATAAAACAATAACACACACTACAGAAAGTTGAAGAAACAGGAAAACACCGAATGCTGTGCAAATACAATAACATAAAAAACAAAGAGAAGGTGAAAATACAGTTTGGCTAGAATTTCACTACGAGTTGCGAGGAAGAGAGGAGACAACGATGTAATCAGAGATACGACGGAGACGCAAAGGGCTGCACGGTCCAAGGCTGCACATCAACACTTGTCTCAATTATATATATAGGTAAGGAGGAGGACCCAAACAATAGAACCGCGGCAGGAGAAAAATATATAGAATTGTTTCTTTTACATACAAACTACCGTTTTATAGCACGTCATTACAACGCAAAGAAAAGCCAGCACTACACTGATGCTATTACGACCGAGGAAGGCCGCCGTGTGGGTAACGTGAATAAGCCAAATAAATATGTATGCGGAGAATACCGTACCACTTCTGGCTTACATCACCTAATGGGCGACTTGTAACCTTTCCGTAATACGCAATAAGAGAAACGGTTCACGCGGGGGAAAGAAAAAGGATGAGAGAGGGAGAAGAAGGTGAGCGTCCCAAGAGAGAAGTGCAGTGCTGATATCAGCAAAAAACATAGTTCTCAAGAAAGCTGAAGGAGGCATTGGGTTCGAAAGATTCCCTTTAGCCGTGATTGACCAACGGGGCATGGCACGCTATTGTTTTGCAGGTTCCTTTTCCTCGGGTAATGAAAGCCAAAGCGAAGCTCTACTGCCGTCGGATGACGTTCAGCATGACGTGTTGGCTCACGTTGTGCTCGAGTTGATTCACTAACGCGTTGAGCCGCTTTCCTCGACAAATTTCATAATAAGGCTTTTGATGCATTTTTCTTGTTTTCGTTACTTTCTATTGAAGTTATATCGAAGGACAGATAACAAAATGTGTCTGAAATCCCGAGACACACACGCAAAACCCATACTTGACAAGAAAGAAAAAAAACCACAAATAAGATGTACTACGTATAAAATCTCACATTGAAGTTCGAAATAAAACTAAGAGAGGAATACAAGAGTCACTTTCCCACCTTGGCTCCTTCTCGCTCTCTCTCTCTCTTCTTCGAAAAGACAATCAAACAACACACAATCACTCATGTCATTCATGTGTGTATATATATTTATAGGGACTAGAGAAAACTACACTCGCAAACATACATTCCTCAGGAAAAAAAAACTCCAAAACCAAATCAACAAAACCAGAATAAAGCCCACGCACCCGCCAGCGAAGGGGAGAGGAAGAAGAAGAAGAAGGATTGCCACCGTTGTTGGGGTTCTATTTCTATTACAGAAAGAAAAATAATATGTGCATCAGTCATATACGTTCATTCGTAACTCTATAAATCACCGTTTCAGATGAAATAAACAAGAAAAAAAAAACAGAAGAAGAAATTCCCACTAGAAAACAACAAAGAATGCAGGCCACAACTCGCACGAGCGAGTCCCGCGCAAGCTTTGCGCCGCGATCGTATGTCGCAACGCGTGAAACGCAACACGTTAACAGGGGAGAAAAAAGAAATAGAAGAAGGTTTGCTGTGCAAAGCAGGCATCTGGGGCCCGCACTGCACTTGCCTGTTCTTTCGCTTGAAGTATCGGTACATGATACATTCTATGTAAATTCACAACGGTCTTTCAATTGGGAGACAATAGTTGTAAAAGCGTGAAAGCAAATTAAAGCATCAAACTTTGGAGAGCTGCGAGGGGATCACGGAACACTTACAGGGGAAAACCCCGCGTTGCTGTTCAGCTGTTGCGCCTTCTGGTGCAGCGTCTCCCCTGTTTCACGCAGCTTTGCCAATCGCGTTCCCACAGTGCGGCTTTCCTCTTTAACAGGTGAGCGAAGAGTGACGACAGAAAACAAGACCCTTCTTACCGGATTCTTCTCGTTGATTTTCGCCTTTGTAGGCCACGCGGAGCATCTGCAGCGAACGTCAGCGGAGCCCCTCATTCTTCCTTGCCTGACGACGATGACGATGAAGGGCCCGATGTGTTGCTCGACCGCGCCATTGCTCCTGCTGCTGCAGCCGCCGTCAAGGCAGCCTGCATCTGCGATACGAACGGCTGCATCGTCATCCGCACCGCTTCCTCCACCGCCATAATCGTCAGCCCCGTGCCGTCCGCCGCCGTGCTGTTGCTTGCTTTCTGCAGATGCTGCTGTCGCCGGAAGAGACGCAGCAGCTGACGGTTGTGCTGCGAGAGCTTCACCGCCTCCTCTTCGGCGGCCTCGGCTTTCACCTGTGACCACAGCTCCTCCAGAGCCGCCTTCACGACGCTGCTGTCGTGGCCGTCGCCTGCTCCAGTTCCCCAGGAAGACGGCGCTGCGGAACCGTTGGTGGCGCCATCGTGCAGCGCCGCCTCCATCGCAGCTCGGATGTGCCCTTCGACCTCACCCACTGACTCCCGGACAGCAAAGTTGACCGTGCGGGTCAGCATCTCCTCCAGTTCGAAGGAGGTGACCGGCATTATCGGCAACGACGGCTCCCTGTCAGCACTGCTGCCGCCGTTGCTTTGACGGTTGCGGTGCACCTCGCAGTAGCTGTCGAGCTGGTCGGTAATGTTCTTTTGGATGCCCTGACGGATCTCGAGAGACACCGCCTCCATGGCTTGTGACACCGCCGACTCGATGACTTCAGGAGGTACCGCTGAAGCTGCAGAAGGAGCAGACGGGGCGGATCGCAGATCGTCCTTGAGCGCGTCAAGGGCTTGCTGCAGCTCGACTTGGTGCTGCTGCTGGAGCTCCCGCAGCGCCTGCAGAAGCCGCTCCTCGTCCACGGCGTGTTGGGCGTTCAGCGTCCACGTTTCTTCCTCCTTCGCGCCCTTCGCGGGAGTGGACACCATCTCCGCCGCGGCAGACAGCGCGGAGGCACGCTCGCTTAATTCTCGCAGCTGCGCCAAGACCTGCTCTAACGTTTTCATCATTTCTTCCTGGCCTTCCTGAAGCGCCTCCGTCGCGGAGCTTCCAGCTCTATACGACGACTCTACCTCTGTCACCGTGGGTGGGGTCGTCATCGGCCCTTCTCCCGCTGCGGTGGTTGCCGCATCGGCCCCCTCCGTCGAAGTTGACGACGGCTGCTGCTGCGGCGGCGCTGAGGAGGAAGAGGAGAGAATGCCCTGCGCCGCCGTCCCCAGTCGTTCCTCCAGCACGTCCATAATGGGCTTCAGCTCATCTCGCATGATCGCCTCGAGGGTGTCGGACAGCTTCTCCAACGACCACTGCCCCACCATGCTGGAAAGAGTCTTGACCAGGTGCGCGGTGGCCTGCTCATGACGCACCGACACCTCCTCCACCGCCTCGGTCACCATCGTCTTGATCTCCACCTTTTGTGCTGCGCGGGCAACGGATTCGCTGTCGGCGCTGACAGCGTTGCGCTGCTGTGCGGCGGCGAACTCGGCACGCAGCTGCGCCTCCTTACGCTGCATCAACACCTGCGCTAGCGCGGCGATGCGCAGCGCATCCGAGACGAGTGCGTCGGGGTGCCGCTGACTGACTCCGCCGCCGTGTTCTTTTGCTGCGCCTGCAGCGCCGGTTTTCACGTCACTCGTTGAGGCGGAGCTAGAGGAGGAGGAAAGGCGAGGGGAATGCAGCAGTTCCGGCTGCTCCGTCAGCATGCGGTACACCTCCTCAAACGTGTGCGACAGCTCTGCGCCTTCCGGGGAAACCGGGCCGCGTGCGAGGGCGACGTAGCTCTGTCTTGACACGGCGGATGACACGTCATTGCTCGGTGATGCCGCTTCGATGTGGACGGCGGTGCTTGCCTGGGCAACGCCGTGCTCCAGCACATACCACAGCTGCGTCGGCGACACGTCCTGTGTGGTGAGGACGGAGATGCCGGCGAGCTCCACACCTGCTGGGGTGTTCTTCAGCTGCAGATACTGGTAGTCCAACTCTTGCTGCAACACCGCGGCATCCTGCGGCGACAGGCTCGTGTGAATCAGCATATAGACGTACGGCGTCTCCGCTGTGGCCGCCTCCGCATTCAGCGAAGGTTTGTGTCTGCTTCCACCTTGCCCACGACCAGCACGTGCACCTTTGCTGTCGCTCCGCCGCCGAGAGGAGGAAGAGGACGATCGCGTGCCAGGACGGCTGTGCAGCGCCTCCACCAGCAAGGAGGCGTGGCGCTGCCCGACGAGTCCCGTGATGGCGGCGGGGAGGAGCGATGCTCCGTGCGACAACGCGACGGCGAGCTCGGCGGCGGCTTGGACGGCACCCAGCCAAACAGTTTGCCCGCTGCTCTGCGTGCCGGCACGGTAGACAACTGTGTGCAAGGAGAGCGGTGCATCAGCGCCGGCGCCGCTTTTACGCGAAACGCTCAAAGCTGCGGCGCACATCTTTTCGAAGACGACAGGGCGGATGAGAGGGGCCAAGACGGAGAGGGGGATGGGATGGCCCGGTTGGGAGGCCCACAGTAGCTTCTCGGTGGTGTCGTCGACGGAGAGAAGCCGTGGCGGCAACGCAGGGACAGACGGTCGAGTCGCCTTCGGCGGCGAGGGAGGATGGCGCTGCGTTTGCTTGTGCACCACCCGCGCAACACGGCCTTTGTGAAGGCGATTCTTCTTCAGCTTTCCCGCCGCATGTTGGCGAAGCAACGCGGCCGTGTGCTTCTTCTGCTGGTGCTGCTGCTGACTCTTGCGCGGCTGGGAGTGGGTACGAGACAAGGTAGCGGCTCGCTTACCGCGACCGTCTTTCCCTCTCTCCACTGCTTTTACCGGCGCGGGAGCAGGCGGTTTTGGTGGTGTAGTGGATAGTACTTGTTCTACAGCTGGGGTGTCCTTCGTAGTGGAAGCCGCCTCCGCTGCTTCCTCCGTTTCGTCCGCTTCCTCTGCTGGTGTGCTTTCCTCCGTTGGAGGCACACTCGCTGTCCCCCCGTTCGCCGCCATCGGCTGCGACGACGGCACAGGAGAAGGCGGTGCTGGCAGCTTGGCCAGCGCACGCACCCGTTCTGTCTGCTCCGCGCCTAAGATCAGCACCGTGAGCGGCGGTGTTGTTGCCCGCAGTGGACGTCCCGTGACGGCGCTCTTCGTCGACGCTGGCAGCTGCACCTCCACCGTGGACGGCAGCGGATGCATGCGTAAGGCGTTGCGAATAATAAACTGCTGCACCTCGGCATCCTCCTTCAGCAGGTTTGTTTCCACCAGCACCAGCAGTGGCGTCGTCGATGGCGACGCCGCGTTCGTCGACCCCGCAGTGTCCGTCTCGTCCTTCAGCGCGCGCTGCCGCGTATCCTCGATGACGGCGGCATGAATGCGGTTGACAAGGAGGATGTCCGCGAGAGGATGCGCCATCTCGGCCGCTGCCGACTCCGCCGCACCACTCGCTTTCTTCTTCTTGTGAAGGCCATGCTGTGCGGTGTAGTCAAGTCGGAGCACGCGCGCGATGTCAGGGATGTCCGTGGAGGTCGACGAGGACGACGAGGAGGAGAGGACGTGCTTCAATAGGCTGCAGTCGACGCGTGGGAGCACGACATCTACTAAGCCGCGCGCCTCATTGGAGGCTACAGAAGCTGGGCGGACCGCAGTGGAGGCGGCGCCTTTGCCTGCTTGAGCCGCTGCTGCTGCGGTGCGGCCGGCTTGAAGGAGGGCATCGCTACCTGATTTGCCGACGCGACCGCCGAGACGACGTCCCACGACGCGAAGCATTCGCTGCGGAAATAGAAAGAAGAAAAATAAATGAACACACAGAAAAGTCGCGCGTCAAAAAAATTCGAGTGTGCTCAACGCGATTCTGTCCACTTTGGCTCTCGTTTTGAAAGTTTATCGAGTTCGTTTTCTTCGATTTTTATAGGAGAGGAAGACAGTTGTATGGTTGTATGGTAAGTACAGAATTCTATGAAGCGCTCCTAACTCGTTAACGATAGAAAGAGACAAATAACCCTGGGAACACTCGGCTCGGGTGCCGCAGCAAAGAAAAAAAAAAAGGATAGTATTGTAGCACAGAGGGATTATATATATAAACAGGATTCTTTGTGCCTTCCTGGTCTGAGCAACAGAACTACGATACAGGAAGAAAAGAGATGAAACGAAGAAAACAAAGGGGGACGGCTGCGGTCGGCTGCGAGGCAGTCAAGGCCGGAACAAAAACTTCGACTTCGTTAAAGGCAGAGGATCGCTGTGGTGTGTCGGCGTTGTTTGTGGTGTGCACTATATATATGTGTACCGTGTGTTGAGGCAGATGGATGCCGTGGGCGCACACAGAGGAGAACTAATGGCGGTGTGGCACAGCTCACAGTTCAACTAGCTACTCCGGTGATACACACAGAGAAAGCACTGAGTAACGAGCGTGCGAAGGTAAATGAGAAGACGGAGAGGAAGAGGAGGTGGGAGACGAAGAAAAAAAAAACAGGTTCTTTTTTTCCCTTTTAAAGCAAGGTCATGAAGTGAGGAAAGCTTTTCTCTCCTTCGTCGACCCAGCGCACCACTGCAGCTGCTAAGTGCGTATTTCGGTAGCAGCTCTGCGTGTTGGCGCACCTTTCCCTCTACGCAATCGTCACAGATTCGTCAGGCCAATAGAGACGTCTCGTCGGCAGTGCTGACAGAACGCAGCGCAAGAAACCCCCAAGCACGAGTAGAGCACCACCCGCTCTCTACACGAGTAAACAACATTTGCTGTTGCTGCGGTTGCGAGCACGCGCGTGCAATCACACACACATACACAAAAGAAAAAGAAAAGAAGAAAGTCAGGAAGAATCTACAAATCGTTTTGGCTCTATGCGCAAGAGCGTCAAGAGGCGCCACAACAAACCCCTCAGCGAGAAGAAGGAGAAGGAGTGTAAGACAGCGATACACTGAAAGAGAGAGAGGCTAAAACAAAAAAGAGCCGACGAGACGCACTTTCTATGGTAGTTGTACACAGTAATGTATTCTATTCTATAACAGAAGCGCCGGATAGAAGAGCGGCTAGTTGTCTCAGCTGATCTTACGTTTTTTTCTTCTTGCGACCGGCAGACTTGAGCAGCGACCGAGCGGATGGAACCGCCGATGCACCGCCGCCGCCGCTTCTCCGTGACGTCGCCGCCGATGCCTTTTTGCGTTTCGCAGTCTTCGCACTCTTCTTGTCGTTGTCCTCATACAGCCTGAGAATAAAATCCTCGATGGCAGCGTCCTCGGCCTGCGCCTGCGCTGCGGCAGCTGCAGCGGCCGCGGCGTCATCGTTCTTCCTCGCCGCTTTACTCTTCTGCTTCTCTCCTGACCAACGCCGCGTAGAAATACTCCGTTTTATCCTTCGCGAAGAGTAGCTTCTCGGTTTCTTCGACTCCGAAGTAGCCCCCTTCGTTTCCGGTGCATCCAAGTCGGACGCTGCAGCAAACGTTAAAGCAGAACCGCCGTCGGCCTCGTGCGTCGCCGCGTCGACCACGGAGTGGTCCACCGCACCGTGCACGCTGCCGTGGCCATCCTCCTCGTCGTGGTTCATGTCTTCCGTGCTGTGCGTCTTTGTTGCGTGCGCCGTACTACGCCGTTCTCTGCCTCGTTCGCGGTGCTGCTCACCGTGGTCGTATGGCGTATGCATATGCGCGTAGGCGTTCGGCCTGCCGAAAACGACCGTTTCAAACCCCAGAAGCCCGAGCGACATCGGTGCTGGTGCCGGCTTCGACGGAAGCGATGTAGGAGGTGTGGAGGAGGAGTCGCGTGGACGGGCGCTGGAGGAGCGCGCATTTATGCCGCGACGAACGACAGGCGCGTCTCCATCGTCCTCGTCGCTCTTCGCGGCAGATCGTCCAAAGGCGCTAGCGCTGCCGCCGTAACCGCCGTCGTCGCCACCTCCGTAGTCCGCCAAGCCTTCTTCTTCCATTTCGTAGGAGGGAACAGGGACGCTAAATTTCTTTTTTGCTGACGTGAGGGACGACCTCGACGGCTGGTCGTTCAAGTCCCGGTTAACGCTGCCGCCAGTGCTGTGGGGCGAGCCGTGCGCATCGGCATCAGCAGAGCTGGACGACGCAGGCGCGTCATCTATCATTGACCACAGTCGCTGAAGGGCGTCAGTGGAATCCGGATCCAGTGCTGCATCCGCCGCCTCTTCAGTCTCACGCACATCTGCATCGTTAAGTTCCTCCTCCTCCTCTTCGTGCGTGTCAGAGCTTGTGGCGGTTCTGGCGTCCTGCTGCTTGTGCTTCGGCGCAGCTACTCGAGAACGTTGATCAGGGTTTTCCAGCGGGTTCTCGCCCCCTTTGACGCTCTCCTCCGCGCACAACACACATACAAAGGTGCGGTCCTTCTGCCCGGCCACCAGCGCCTGCTGCTCCACGCTCAGCCCGTGTGGACGACAACGCAGTGCCTCCACAAAGCGCCGCTGCTGCGTCTGTGCAGCCGCCCTCGACAAGCTCGTTCGAAACGCAAATATAAAGGGCACCAGAGCATCGCGAAAGACTATGTTCTCCTTCACGACACACGCTAACTGTGGTGCGTAGGCGTCGCGGTACAGCAGTACGTGTCCGGCCACCGGGTCCGTCTGCGCGAGTGCGGCGTCGATGTCGGCGATGGTGCCGTCGTGCCAGTCCAGTCGGTCGATGACGAGCACGTTTCCCTTCAACGGAAGGTCGCGCAGAGCCCGGTCCGATAAGTACGCCGTGGATGCACCGTTATACAGTCGTGCGGCGACGTGTGGGTAGACAGGCATGGGTGTGGTGGGCTGCGGAGGTGGCGGTGGCAGTGCTGACGGGCTTTCGGGTGGGCTCTCCGTTTTCGCAGGTTCGATGCTGCCCACCGGCGCCGTATCCATCACTTCCGCTGCCGCTTCTACGCTGTTCGCTTCTGCCACCTTATCCACCTCCCCCGCCGCTTCGGTCGAGGGAGTGCAAGAGAGCTCCATTTCCTCCTCCACCTTCAGCGCCTTATGCAGCGCATGATCTTCCGCGGCAGGTGAGGAAGGCTCAGCCACTTCTGCAGCAGCAGGAACGGCGGGCTCCGCCAAAGAAGCTGACGAAGCCTCGCGCGGGGAGCGGGCGACGTTTGGCGTGGTGCCGGTAGCCTCCTCTGCGATCGGTAGGCCGTCGATGTCGAACTCCTCCCACGCCTTCTCCTCTTCCGCGGGCTGCGCAGGAGGCGGGGAGGGAGAAGAGGAAGGAGAAGAGGAAGGAGCTGTGACTTCCGTCTTTGCGGCAGTCGCAGGTGGGGTCTCCGTGTGCTCATCCACCCCCGCGATCGCTTCTACGTCCTCGTCCTCGTCCTCCTCCGCTGCCGCTGTCGCATGACCTTCCTCATGCGCATCCATGATCACATCGTGTGTTCCCCCGCCCTTCAACGTTGTCGACTCGGGGATGTTGTGCCGATAAAGATGGGCAGAAGCCCCTGCGCCGTCATCCACGAAGTGTTCGTCCTCGTACCGAACACGGGCGTCATTGCTGGACCGCAAAGAACTAGAGGAAGATGAAGGCGTTCCTTCTACGGGTACGGAAGCATGAGCAGCCGTGACATCATCAACCTCATCCAACGAGGGGGATTCAATAGCATCCGCGTCTTTTCCGCTTTCATCAACGACTTCGTCCTGGCGCGGCTGCACTTCTGGCACACCGACTTCCATCTCATCTTCGTCTTCCTCGACCTCCTCCTCGACCTCCTCCCACTCCTCCTCGTCTCCGGCTGTGCCGTCGTTGGCTGCTGCATCAACGCCTTCCCCTTCTACATGAACAGCAGCGGAGCTCGCCGCCGCTATTACAGTCCCCTCGCTGTTGAGGCTGCTAGCTGGCGCCGAACTGGTCGTCTTGCCCGTGTTCGGGCTGAGTTGCGCTGCGGCCACCGCACCAGCAGCAGCAGCTTCCGAGGGATTTGCCAAGGAAGGAAGGGGAGGTGGCTGCGTTGCCGCTGTGCTCGACTCACCGTCCTTCTCCTCGGACGCGACGTACTGAGACCAGTGACGCGACTTCGGTCCACTCAGCACGCAGACACGAAACTCGCCAAATTCGCCCAGTGAGGTCAGCTGTTCATCCATCACGTGCTGCCTGTGCGCTGCCTGCTTCGTCGTATCATCGGTCTTCACGAGGAAGATCAGTGGAGGCGTGTAGGCGTCATCGGCGTCCATCTCCACCGCCGCTTTCGTCTTCTCAGCTCGGTGGGCGGCGATAACTTTCGACATGATTCGCCGCGGGTTCGGTTTCTTCGTCTTGTTGTGCTTCTTGCGTACATCGATAACATAGATGTTGGCGGAAGGCGGCAGGGTTGGCTGGTTTGTGATGCGTGCAAGAACTTTGGTGCTGACATCAAAGCGCACACACGGAACTGCCGTGGCGTAGGAGAAGCTGATGGTGCGGCATGGCTGAGTGAGGATGGCAGACGCCGTTGTCATCGCTGTTGTCGTCGTCGTCACCGCAGTGCAGCAACGGCGGAGGAGGGGCACGCGACAGCGCAGGAGCGGCGCGGAGGTGAGGGCGCGTAGCGTCAGACTTCTGGTGCCGTGTGGGGAGTGAAGGAGATTGGCGGTAGAGGGTGCGGCTGACCGCCTCAGCAGCGTCAGCGCACCTTTCCCGCTCGGCTGGATAGGAAAGCGCTTCAGCATGACGGAGGTGTCCTCTTCAAATGAAGCCAATGAAAACAGGCAGATGAAGGCGGAGACGATAGTTATAAAACGATTCTTCTATGAAAGACTTTAAGTATTTTGTAGATCTTCTATTGTGTATGAAGGTGGAGGTTTACTGTAGAATTCTATGAGAAAAAATATGTCAACGTGGGTAGGGGGGCGACTGCGAATGAACTTGTGTGTGCGTGAACCTTTCCTTTATAAATAGTCGTACATAAATTGCTGAGGCTTGCCGGTGGCCACATCAGCAGCGCGGAGTAACTGTGAAGATTCCGAGTGACCGAGAGAAGAAGCAAAGAAAGTTTTCTCTCCTGTGCCTCTTTGCGTGTCGCTTTACCTCTGTCGGATTGCGGAGGCGCAGGAGGTGACGCTTTGACTTCGATTGTAGAGAGATGAAATGAGAGAAAAGAGAATAACGCATGCACGCATCTCGTGTGCGATAGACGCAGAGATAGAGAGAAAGCAAAGCAAAGCAAATTATGCGCTACGTTGCTTCATGCCCAGCTCACCTATTGTGCTCTCCCATCACGTACGCGTATGAGACCATCAGAGCAGCTGACATGTCCTTCCAACCTTCCAGGCGAATTACCCCGGAAGCAACTTACCAATACCAGAAAAAAAAAAGGAGAAGACGGCAGCAGCCGAAGAAGATTTCCATTTAGCATACTAACTCACCTCCTCGGGCGAGTTTTTCCTTTTAATTATTGAACGACGCAGCGTCCGTTGCTCGTCCACTGCGTTGCACGGGCCGCGTGGACCCCGTGAATACATATCCTTCGTGCTTCGATTATCTTCCGTCACGGAATGCAACTCGAGTCGAAGCGAGCTGGCAGAGAGCTTCACTTCGTTAAGTAGAGAAGCCGCATTTATATATATATAAAAGAGACAATCACATAGCACACAACTTCGCCTGCCACACAGCCACACAGCATAAAATTAGATTAAGATTAAAACAAGTCTGTTGACAGGCAACCACGCTTACGAAGGATAAAAAGGAACAACGATGACCGGAAGGAGGAAGCGTCGTGGAAAGGCCATCGAGCAGCAACGCCAACAACAACGCCTGTGACGTACGTTGAATGAAGCTCGTGTTTTGCATGAAAAACGGGAAAGAAAAAAAAACAAGAAAACATTGACGCTTTGTTTTTATGTCTCTCCTTTCCAACTCCTTCAGGCTCAGTATACCTTCCTTCTTAGAGGAAGCTGGCAGCCGGCTTTTCACTTGGCAACAATGACAAGGAGCACTCTTCAAACCCCACAGCGGAAGGGGTGAATAACAGCAAAAAAGAGGAAAGCGTGGCACAACCGATACGAGCACAGCTGACAAACAAGAGGACCAAATATATATGTATTTAAAAGAAGGAATCAGTCGCCTGTCGTGATGATGAGTGTCGCACACACGCACGCAGGTTCACCTGGGGCAGTCACCACCACAACAGGCTGATTTAGCAAAACAGCCAAACAGCACAGATAGATTTCGCCTTTAAGAAGTCAAGGCTTGCAGAGAGTACACGTAGTAATGGTCAAAACAAGAAAAAAATAATATAGGAGAGAAGTCGTCCTTTTAACGCATCAGCTGCGTTTCCGCAATACCGTTGGCCTTAAGCGCACTGTCTCGATGTCTCACGGAGGAGATCTGCGCTCCTTGGTTTCATCTTCTTTTTTTGCCTTTAGCGGTTTCTTCTTGGAAAACAGAGCGTGCTGCTTACACCGGGACGCAGAGGAACTGGATGTTGATCTCCATGTACGAGCACGGGTACGGCACGTCGCACGCCTTCAGCGTGTTCGGGTGAAGGACGCCAATGTGGCCAATGCGCACTTCCTGACCTTGGCGGTGCAACACGATGTCCATCGCGCGACCAGGGAAGAACGCGCCGTCGCTGCCCTTCTCCAGCGTGTAGTAGTCACCCTTGTACTCCGCCGCCACCTCCGACTTGGCCGGCACGCCAAGCTTCGCCAGCGCCAGCTCAGCCAGCCCGTGGATGCTCTCAAACCCGCTGCTGGTGCCGTTGCAGTGGACCGCGGCGAGATGACGCTGATTGCACGCACCGGAGGATAAAAAGTCGGTGCGAACGTCGATGATGGGCGGGAAGTTCTTCGCGTTGTCAAGCAGCACCACATCGGCGCACTCGAAGAAGCGCTGCGGCAGCGGCTTCGACTTGTTCGTCGAGAGCGTCTTCAAGATGCCGGGCAGCAGTGACGGGCGGCACACCTGGAACTCCATCGTCTGCGGGTTCGCGATGTGCGCCGCGACATCGTCGTCGACGCGGCCGAGGTTCTCAAAGGCGTCCGCGCGCGAGCAGAGCGACAGCGTCAGCAGCTCCGTGTACCCCGCACACGCCATCTCCGTCCGCAGCAGCTGCGCCAGTTTGTTCAGCGGCGTCTGCGTGACCAGCCCGTGCGTCGCGCACTCCACATATTTAATGTTGTCGTAGCCGACGGCGATGGCCACGTCCTCCATGACGTCTGCCGGCCCGATGACGTCCGTGCGCATCGGCGGCACCGTAACCGTCACCTCTTCGCCCGTCACGTTCTTGATCCCGTACATCATCCTTTCGAGCAGTTTCGCACACTCCGCGCCGCTCTTCATGTTGATGCCGATGACGGTGTTGAGGCGAGCGACGTTCATCGTCACTTCCTTTGTCTCCATGGTCGGCGTCACGAGTGAGGTGGTGCCATCCGGGGCGGCCTCTTCGTAGTCTACCTGCACCGCTTCCACGGTGAACTCGTCTTTGCAATACGCGGAGAAGGCGCACACCAGCTGATTGACCAGGACCTGGGCCTTGTAGTGATCGGGGGCCGTGCACTCGATGAACACGTTCTTCGTGTCGATCGACATGGCAGAGTAGCGCGAGTTGATCACCGGCGGCAGGGAGAGGACGTGTTCACCGGTGCCGTCGTACACCACCGGGTACGTCGGGAAGGACGAGATGAGAGGCACGTACTTACTGATGTGGCGGTCCTCTGCGTAGTAGTTCGCCAGGCCGTCACCCTGGCAGTCCAGCATCTTCGTCTGCCGCAACGGCACAAACTTGATCGTCTCGCGTGGGCGGCACCCGTAGATAAAGTGCGTCGTGTTCACCTTATCCAAGTCGTGCGTGCCGACCGAGGCGAGCGAGCGGCGCCGCGCTAGCCCCGAGTGCAGCTTCTCCTGGTAGTCAATGAAGCTGTTGTAGCTGCGCTCATTGAATTCGATGTTGCGCAGCACCGCACAAACGACGTAGTCTCGCACGTTCTTGACGCTCTTCTCGACCGTCATTCGGTAGAGGGGGTTGGCGCGGTTCAGCACCTTGTACTTCGGCACCGCCATCGTGCCCATGAAGACCTTCAACGCACACGCCATGCCCTCGGCGGTGAGCAGATCGTAGCGGTTGGCCGCGGTGTCGATCTTGTACAGTTTCTCTTCCGACAGGTGCGCCGGTGCCTCAGCAGCGGCGGCGGCAGCGTTCGCACTCTTGCCTTGCTCGCGCATGTACATCTCCTTCTCGCTGGTGATGTCGTCCAGTTCGAGGCCGAACTCGAAGCAGAGCTCATCGAACTCCTTGTCGGTGTAGGACTTGCCGAGGAGCTGGCAGATGTAGTCCTTCGCAACCGCTAACGTCGGCATGATGACGATGAGAGGCGATAAGGGATGGAGAGAGATGAAAGGGAAGGACACGGCGGACGGAGCGTGAAGTGACGGGAAAGACCAACTGCTAAACGAAGTGACAACAGACAAGGCGGCCCGTGTACAGCAAAGGAAGCGGGGAAAAGAGAGACGATAAAGAGAGGTGTGGAGATGCGGAGAAGGAGAAGCTAAAGCTGAAGAACTTGACGTTTACTGTTTCTCTCGTGTGACGACTCTGCCAAGTGGCGCCCGGTAGCAACTCCCGAGGCCTCATGCAAAAGTGATGGGGCTGTTGTTCAATATATATCCAGAAGTCTGCCAGAGTAGATTTGTTTCCTTTCAAGAGTGCGTTTCTCATTTTCCTTAATTTCTTTGGTTCTCCCAGCCAACTCGTAATGCAGCAAATCAGGCAGTAATAATAATAATAACAGCAATAGAAAAGGAAGCACACGGAAAATAATTGAAAAACGCGGGCGCCACAAGCAGACACGAAATGCAGACCTCAGCAAGTGTCGAGCCAGAGGTGGTGAAAGGCAAAAAAACAAAACAAAAAACATTGCCTGACAAAAAAAAAAGTGGCGTTTCTTCCTCATTTTCCCTTTTTTTAATTAGCACTTGTTAGGAGGATTTAGCAGATAGGTGAAAACAAAACAAAAACAGCCCTTCTTTTTCTTGAACTCCTTGGAAGGCTATTTCTCCTTCTTGCGTGCGAGAAGCTCACGAATGCGGCTTTGCAGCGCTTCGCTGTTGTCCTTGGCAGTGCTATCCCGCTGCTGGTGTGTGTGCTGTTGCTGCTGTTCCCGTGCAGCTGTAGCCACACAGCTGTTTTGGTATTGCCGTACTCGCAGGAGAGGATCGTGCCGCTGCTTCTGCGCCAGGTTCAGCTCCTTACGCAGCTGCGCAGCTTCCGCGCTCGTAACAAACCCCGTCGTGACACCGCTGCTCTTTAATTCGCTGCTGCCTTCCTCACTATCGTCCTCGCGTTGTCGCTTGCGATGCGCGACGCCAGACGACGCTGACTCGTCGGAGGGTTCGGCCTTGACTTCAGTTTTGACCGCATCCAGTGAAGCGTCGGCCGAGGCGGACGACTCGTGTGCGTGACCCTCTTTCTTGAACTTACTGAGAAAGGCGTTACCGAACGCGGCAAACGGACTCGAAGACAACGCAGACGATGACGTGACAGTGCTAGCATATGTTCCTGTCTCGTTTTTTATTTCGTGTTGCCGCTTCGCAGACTCCGCCTCGTATTCGGCCTTGAAGATGTTTTTGGTCTGCCGGAAGCGGGCCAGTTCGCCGCTCAGGGAGTCGGCCGAGTTGGCGAGCGCGAGTTCGTCGTAGCGGCGCTCCTCCTGGTCATGCTGGAGTTCCTTCTGCCGCTCCGCCGCGCGTTGCTTCTTCTCCTCATCGCCCTCCTTCAGCAACTCGACGCGACGAAGGTTGCCATAGGTGAGAGGGTGGAAACTCTTGTTTCGGTTGATGTCCTTGCTGTGGGCGCGGTACATGATGGGCAATCGACCGAGGTGGGTGCTTCTTGCCGACTTGTGTCAATGTGGCGCCTTTTCGTGGATCGGCAACGTCGCCTAAATTGAGAAAAAAAAAGAAGAGAAAGCAAATGTGGTTTATATTTTCGCTTGTGAGAACGGAATTAGAAACAAATCAATGGGACAGGTTTCTTGAACTGGCCGCGTGAAAATGGGGAGGGGGAAGAGCCGAGACGGACGGAGGAGATAGGTTGATTGAGTTAACGTCATTGGTGCAATTCTTTGACAATCACTGTCGTCTGTGTTCTCTGCTATTTGAGCAGCATAGAGAGGCAGAGAGAGAGGGTTGGAGGAGGCGCGGCAATCCGAGGTGTACAATTAACCTGCGGCACTTTACAAAGCCAGGCTGCAGTAATCGTGTACCTTCCGTCCTCAGTCCATGTCCTTTTCCTTTTTATTATCACAATCGAGGTTATTGCGGTGTACATAACGATTAGACCGCACGTTAGTATCTGTGATCCATCGGCCCTGCTGAAAATCGTAAAAGAAGAACAACTAGTTCCTTTTCCCTCCCGAAAAAGAAAGACTCTCAATGCTGTGCCGAGACGTCGAGCGGCTCGTAGGGTCCGGCATCCACGTACGGCACATAATCAGCCGCGTGCTGCGCAGGGTACTCCACGTCCCACAGGGTGAGGCCGTGCACCGGGGCAGCCGGCAGCCGCTCGCGCGCGAACTTCTTCCGCGACACCTCAAACCCGCTCTGCAAGGCATGCTGCAGCTCCTGGTCATCCCACAATCCGTGGCCGCCAGCCTTCAGCACCGCCACCATGTTGCGGATCTGATGCCGCAGAAATGATCGCCCGACGAACCAAATGAGCACCTCGTCCTCCTGCCGCACGACGTCAATTTTGTCGACGGTGCGCACCGTGGGGAGGTTTGTGTGGGCCTTAAAGTACTCGCGCGGCTTCGCTTGGTAGGTCACGACGCGCTGGCCGTACTCGTTGAAGGTCGGCAGCGCTGCTGCCCGCTCGAGCTGCGAGAGGCCGCGGTCGATCGCCACCTTCGGCGCAGCAGGCACCTGGCCGTGCAGGAGGCCATGGCTCAGCAGCGGCTCGTGCTCCGGGCTGTAGGCGGACGATACGACCGGGCCACCGCCGGTGTGCGCGGCCGCTCGTCGCAGCGCGTTCGCCATCTTCGGATCCGCGAAGTATCCGTAGTCGTGTGTGCCTTCCAGCGCTTTCGCCATGCGCTGCATGCGGGCCACATCGAGGTAGCGGTCGACGTGCCACTGCAGCCCCGCATCGAACAAAGGTGGCGCAATTCGGTTCAAGATGCGGTAGCAGTAAACTCGTCGCACCCCGCTGTGCCGAGCGTGAAAGTTCTGGTTCGCGCACGGGTGGCAGCTCAGGAAGGCGAGGGGCTGATGGCGCTGGTGCAGCCACAGCGTTGCCCGCTGCAGAATGGTGCGAGGCTGCAGCTCCACCTCTGAGGCGACGTCCACGTGACACGTCAGCCGACGCACCGACACGCCGGTCTCTGGGATGGCCGCCGCCACGACGGTCACGGAGGCGACATCCAACGCGACAGCTAACGCCTCCTCCAGTACCGTCCGCGCGTAATGGCGCGAGCCGCCCTCTGCGAGGTCGTTGGTGCGGCTGCCCTCCGACTTCATCGGTGGCCGGGTGCGCTGGACAGACTTATACCACCCATCGAAGTCGCTGCCCTGATACTGCACCTCCACGCGGTACCGCGTGAAACCGGGAGGAATAATTTGCTGCCCCGGCACGTAGCGCTCCTTTGCAGGGTCGGGGCACGGCGGATCAGCGGCGGCCGTGGCGATGCCGTCTCCGTGCCGCAGCGCAGGGGATGATGGGTAGTAGAGAAAGTTGTCGTCGAGGAGCTCCTGCTCCAGGACATCGGTGGGGGTGGCGGGGGCGAGGGCAGCGATGGCGCCTTCCGGTGATGTCACACCGTCGCTGTCTTCATCGTAGGCATAGTTTGGGATGTTGCTGCGGACTACAGCGGCCGTCGCCTGTTGTTGCTGCTGCTGTGGCACCACACGACGCACCGAGGAGACGTCCTCCTGATAGTGTTGCGACGGCGCGGCTCGTTGGTGCTGCTCCTGTATCCACTGAACATGCCGTTCGCTCTCCACAAACATGTCCGCCAAGCGCGCAGAGGCGGCACGGCGATGGGCTTCCTCCTGCGCACGCTTTTGGTCCACAACGGAGTGAGCAGAGGTGTCGGGAGGCGGTAGGGCTTCGGTAGAGCCGGTAGCAGCAGTGGTAGTGACGTCTGCGTCACGAGCAAGGTCAAACCGCTTCCAGCCTTTAAAACCCGCCGAGGCAGACGCGCTGGAGGAGCTCGTTGGAGCACCGGGAGTAGCCCAGCTCTCCTCACGCGGTGGGAACGGGCTATTGGGTGCAGACTGGAAGAGCTGACGGCGATGCCCATCTCCCTTGTTACCAGCGCTACCGTCGTTGTTTTTGTCGTTGTTGTTGTTGGAGGAGCTGGTGTGGCGCAGGGCAGCACGCAGCACGCACAGGGACGCACCGCCGTCTGTACCGAACCGTCTACGCAGGAGCATCGCCTGCAGATACGTTTGATTTCGAACAACGGAGAGATGCGCAGTCTATGAAAAGAAGGAGGGGGGGGGGGAGGGGGAAGGAACTATTGCCTTTTCTTCCCTTGTGCAGTTGGAAGCGAAAAGACAAAAGACTAGGTAAAGCGTGATACGCGTGCTGGTACGAAGAAGAGAGGTGGAAAGGGCGAAGACCCCGAAGAGGAAGCACCACCCTAGAAGGAAGAAGAAGGAAGGAAGGAAAGAAGAACAAAAAAAAAAATGAGTAGATTGGGCGGGTCCCCATTCGCAAGACGCCTACCATCTTCACGCTGCGAAAGGAGCGAGAGCAAAAACGCCCCTACCACCTGCACCGTATTCAACTCCGGAGATCCAAAGAAGAAGAAGAAAAAAAGGACGAAAGGATCGCCCTCTTGAACGGCCTCGCTGGTCTCAGTAGAAGTCCAACGCAGACACGGGAAGCGCTAAGAAACCCGCTCCTTCTCTCACCGCAATAACACCAACAAAAAGGCTTGATCACGGGAAGTACCTTTCTGTGCGGCGAGGAATTTGTCGCTCGTGTGCCGTCGTTGCTGCTATTGAGATGGGCGCGTCTAAGACACCATTGCGCCAGAAGTACGCACGCACCCGCACATACACACACAGGAAAGTTTACGGTGAAAGAAAGCACACAGATACGAAGGGGAAAAAAAGAAACGGGCCGAAGTCGGACAGCCAGATACAGCTGGAAATGAAGGTGACTACAATACGGGTCAGCACAACCAACAATCCCCTCTCCTCCTCGTCGATATACTCCAAACAACTTCTGCGTTTTGTAAGAACAAAAAAGCAACTCGACAAATTATAGTGACAGCACAGCTGGTCATTAAGCACCAGTTTGATGGGTCCTCTCCTTTTGCAATAATAATAATAATAATAATAATAATAAACAAGCGGCAGCATTGCTCCCTCGAACAGCACCAATGTCAGCCTAGAAGAAAGAAGAAGACGCCACCAACAACAATATGAGGAAGACAACAACGAATATCCTCACGGCAGTGCGGCACCCAGCCGTTGGTAAACGCTGCTCTGCTAAAAAAAATAATAGAAGGTCATTTCCCGTCAACGAACAGTCCAGGAAGAAGAACGCAAAAAGGGGGATAACAATAACAACGCAGAAAGAAAAGCCCGACAACACTACGACGACGCCGGGGATCCTGTGCCCAGGCGACGGCGATCGTAGCAGAGCAGCACGGCCACCACCGGCTTCGTGTGTCCCACAAACCCAACCGATTGCGGCCGATCCGTCGTCAGCCCGTTCCACATACGCACCGTGTTGTCGCTACTCGCCGTGAAGAGGAAGTTGCTGCAGTCACTAAAGACACCGTCCCAGACCCACCGGTGGTGGCCGGTGAGCGGCTTTAACGCCTTAAACTCTATCAGCGGCTCAACGCTCGTGTCGTCTGCCGCACGTCCTGTCGTGCCGTCGAAGGACTGCCCCAATGAGTTGGCCGAATTCGAGTCCGGCGCGGCCACCTTCACTTTCTTCCCACTCGTGTTGTTTACGGCATCATCGGCGGAGTTGGTTGCCGCAGCTGCGCTCTCCGTGCCGTTGCCCTCTGGCTGCTGCTGCTGGGCCGCCTCAGAGGTCTGCTCGCCTGCCGAGCTCTTTGGCGGTACCTGCGCGGAGGCAGCGAGGGAGGGGTTGGGGGTCTCGTTGCGCACCTTTGCTTCACCTCCCGTCTCACTTGCGTTGGCCTCCGCCCCACCCGCTGCGCCGCTACCGCTGCTGACATGTCGGAGAGTTGACTTGAGAGCACCGGTCCCCGACTCCCCCACCTCCGGTGAGGTCATCTTCGAACCGGCGGCCTTCTCGACCTCGTCGATGGGCGCCAACTGCGAGGTGCTGAGTCGCAGCGCGGCCGGGACGATGAAGCGGCCGACCGAGTAGTCCGCGCTGCACGTCATGAGCAGCTCCGCGTTGGGCGAAATCAACACACGCAGAATGTACTTGTAGTGCGCCTGAATCGTGTCAAAGACTTCCATCTCCAGCTCCTCGGCCAACTTCACTGCGGCAGACTGCTGTACCAGCTGGGCTTGCAACCCCGCGTTTGCGAGGGCCTGCCGCGGCGTGGCTTGGTTGCTGCGGCTGTTCATTGAGTTCTGCTGCTCCAGGTGATCGAGCAGAACCGCACCGATGCTGTTGTGGACCGTGGAGCCGCTGACGCGCGTGGCGTTCATGCTCACCTCGCCGCCGCCGCCGCCCTCCTCGCTGGCACCGGAGTTGCGACGCGCGTTCGCGGACAGCTCATTCGCCACCAGGGCGGAGCGGTAGATGGTCTCGCGTGGGCCGTGGTAGCTGTTGGAGCTGGTCGCACCGTCCGCGTAGGAGCCCACTCTCCCCGTGAGGGGCAGCCGGGACGACATCCCGCCCGACGCGCCGTCCACGAAGGAGTTGCCGGTGCTCTTCTGCGGCGAAAGCTGCGGTGTCCCGCCTGCGCTGATGGACAGCCGCTGCGATTGTTCGCGCGGCGTGAGTTGTCCCGTGCTGTTTACGCCAGTGCCCCCTGCGACGTGCATCGCCGGCACACCATCCACGGCGCTCGACGCTAGTCCGGCCTTGCTGCCGCACACCGACTTGTCCCGTGCGAGACGGATAAAGTGGACCTTGCCGGCGTTTGTAGCGACGGCAGCCCAGCGGGCCATCGGCTCAATCGCGATGCTGCGGATGGCGCTGTAATCGTTTGCGAAGTTGATCTCCTGCAGCGCGTAGCGACCAAAGGCTTTTAATACCTCCTGCTGATCTTTATCAGCCTGCTTTTCCTTTTCGATCGCAGCCAGTTTGACAAGGTCCTTTTCTGCCTCGGCATCCGCGTCTGCTGTCGGAGGAGTGGACTTGCTGTTGCGGTTGTTTTTCATCTCCATCGCGACACTCGCCACAATGGAGGGCAGGTGCCACATGGAGACCTGGCCCATCTGATTCCCCGTCAGTAAGTACTTACGATCCGGCGAGGCGGCGCTGCAGGTGATGGCGGCACCGGTGGCGATGTCCTTCAGGACGCGCAGCGCGTTGGCCGAGTTGGCGTCAAGAAAGCGGATGTGACCATCCTCGCTGGTAGCAATGAGCAGACAGGCGACCTCCTTGAAGCCGTGCCCCAGCAGGCCGCCGAGATCGGAGACGATGGTGGTGCCCAGCATCTGGTCGTTTAACACGGACGACGCAGAGTCCGTGAGCTGGCGCGAGGAGCCGGAAAGGGTGCTGCTCTGATCGTCGTTCAACGTGCGCAACAGTGGCACGGCAGCCAGGCTTGTGAAGTTCATCGAGCTCTGACTCTCAAAGGAGGAGTAGATGGATGGAGCTTGGTTGGCATTGTTGCTGCCTGCCGGTGCGCCGCCGCCGCTCATGTAAGTGGCGAGGTCGTAGAGGCGAACGACGCCAAAACCCGCCACAGCCAGATAGCCGGTATCGGGCAACAGAAATAGACTGTTGATCTGCGACTCCTGAAAAGTGAAGCTTTTCACCGTTCGCCCAGAAGCGGCGTCCCACAAGCGAATCTGCTTGTCGTACGACGCTGACACAACAACCGCGGCCGACATTGCTGTTAACTGTTCGTTTTTCTTTCTTTCTCTGCTGCTGCTGCTGTTGCTTTGGCTTAAAAGCAACAGCAAGAAAAAGCGTTTAATCGAGGAATTCACAGCACGCCTTTCTCTTTATATTCTAACGACAGAACTCCTCTCCTTCTTTCCGTATATACATGTGTGTGTGTACGAAGACTTCTCCTGCTATTGTAGATCACAATTGAAAGCCAGTGGAATGAACATACACGACAAATATATATATATATATATATATATACACTTTCAAAGCGGGACGCGAATTACGTTGAGATGAATAGTGGAGTTAAGAGTGAGTCACTCGACACACAACAGGGACGCTGCACGTGAAGGGTGACTGCCTTTTCTCACAAGAGAATAGGAAGAAGCACGTTGCATTGCTGATATCTTTTCTTCTTCACACGAACATCATATTGGTTTTCACTTGACCGCCTCAGTTATTGTCTTGAGGACGATGCCTGTCGCTTTTTTCGAACAAGCATGCGGGCTCTCAATGCCTGTGTGGGAGAGCCAATTACTAATAGGCTTTCCTTCATGAAGAAAGCTCTCGACGAGTTGGTCTCCTGTCAACCTTCACATAATAAGAACAAAGAACGCACACGACAGTTCGGTTACCTCTCGTCGATTGTGCGCTTTCTCGCTGTCATATAACTAATTGCTTCTCGTCGCTAGCAGAAAAGGAAAACACGACCACGATGCGTATCACTGCTTTCACGCTCGCACAAAAAGTGTATGATGAGGTCCTTTTTCCTTTATTATTATTATTCCTCTTCTATTCGCTGGTCGTGTAGAGAGAGAAAAAAGGCGGAAGTAGGGATACTATATTAAAAGAACAAACGTGTATCTTCGTTTCCTCGACTACGTTGCACTACCCCTTAACATCACGAGGAATGAAACCTGTGCAGAGTCTGCTCAATGCCAAAAGAACGTTGTACTCCCCCCTTTTTCCCCTCCAAAAGAAAAAAAAAGAATTGAGGTGTAGTGTTCCCTCATGTATTCTGCACTAGCGTGCTCAGCAGAACAAACAAACAAGAAGAAGAGGAAGAAGAAAAACAAAATGTCGCCGCGTATTTGCGACGATGTCGCGTTCGTACTGCGGCTCCGCTGACAAGCAATGCGAAGCAAACAAACGATAAAATAACGAATAGAGAGGTCATTTGCCCTCCTTTCTTCCGCGTTCAGAGAAGGAGGGAGGAGGAAAAGGACAGATAAGGCGTATATAAAAAAACTCGAAAGAGACCCAACAGGGAGCCATGTGCGTGTTCGAGGCCAAAAGTTCCGCCTTAACGGCGATGAAAGTGTTCCCCGCAGAAAAGAAAAAAATGAAAAGGCGAGAGAGAGACAAAAAGGGAAAAACTTAGGCGAATGTATAGGAACACGCGATATATATAGTAACACTACAGCAGCTTATTATTTCTAGTGAGGCGCTAAAAGCTAATGTCAACATTCTCATTTGGCCTCTTCACTTTTGCTAAAGCCGAAGTGACGCATCTCAGGGCGTCCGCCGCATACCCGGGAAAAAAAATGTTGAACCTAAAAAAAAGAAAGAGGGAGATATATCGTCAGATGTAAACGATTCTAGCACTGAAAACACAGAGATCAACATCGCGAGAAGTTCTCAAAAGGGGTAAAAAAAAAATGAAGGCGCTTTCAGTAGCATCTATACAGCCCAGGGAGAGAGAGAGAGAGCGAAGAGGAGAGCCGTACAGTGAAGACAAAACTGTGTCACCGGCATCGTTGCGCTCACACCGCGCCGGCTCTACCCTTCGCGTTCATTGCCTACTCTCCTGCGGCTAGACAGACACAATATATAAGTGTTCTTGATTTCGTTGACAGTACACGCATGAATGCCAGCAAAAAGAATCCGCAACACAGTCAAGAGTCCTTGTAGTTAGTGAAAACAGCAAAAAAAAAACCACGGCGAGTTGGAAAAGAATGCCAATTATAAATAAAACGCTTGCAAGAGGGTGAGAAAAAGTGCAAAGCAGAAAACAAACACACAGACAAAAAAAAGGGAGAGGAGTATGCTCAAGTGACAAGAGGAAGCCTTTTTATGTCATACCTCAAGCAACCTCGTTCTCCGAGCATCGTGTCATTTTTCGTGTGACGATACGTAACAGCAACAATAATAATAATAGAAAAAGAAGGAAGGAGTCCACCCCATTGCGGCACAGCGAGAGTCTAACGAAAGGGGGGGGGGGGTTGGTGAGGTTACACTTCGATGAAGACGTACCTCCTCAGACTCAAATTAGCCTCTACCCGCCAAGAAAAAGACAACACAAACAAGGTAAGACAACAAAGAGAGAGAGAGTTGAAGTAGAGATTATACCCTTCGTGCCGCGGGAGTTTCTTGGCTACGTAGCGGCGGAGTCGGCGCCATGAACCTGTTCCATGCTTGCCTTCATCATGGCCAGCTCCTCCTGGCGCATCTGCCGACGCATCAGCTTACCGGCGGCATTGCGCGAGATCTCGTCCACAATGCGCACACCACCGTGCAGGCGCTTGTGGGGCGGCATGCGCGACATCACAAAGCGGTACAGCTCGTCCGAGGCACGCACGGCGTCTTTGGTGGGCACGTCCGGCTGCAGCACCACCAACGCACGCGGGTTCTCAAAGCTCACATCGCGAGGATCAGGCACGCCAAACACGATGCAGTCCTTCACCCACGGATGGCTCAGCAGCAGCGCCTCCAGCCCAGCAGGCGACACCTGGAAGCCCTTGTACTTGATCAGCTCCTTCAGCCGGTCCGTAATCATCAGTTCCTCGGTGTTGAGCAGGATGTTGCCGATGTCGCCGGTGCGGAACCATCCATCCTGCATGCACATCGCGGTGTCCTCGTCCCTCAGGTAGCCCTTCATCAACTGCGGGCCGCGCACCCAAATCTCGCCCTCCTCGCCAGCCTGCACGTCAATGCCGGCAGACTTGTCAGCACCACTCTGCTGGCTGTCATCGACCTTGACAACGCGAATTTCAGTGTCCGCCATAATAAATCCGCAGCTGCCCAAGGTGGAGCGCTGGCCCTTAACGGGCCCGGTTACGCAGGGCGACATCTCCGTCATGCCGTAGCCTTGCGCGACAGTCGTCCCCGGCAGCATCGCCTCCACCATCTGAATCACCTCCGGGCCGAGCGGGGCCGCACCAGAAAACAAACACGTCAGCGAAGACAAATCGTGCTGCTGGACGAGCTCCTTATTCTTCATCAGCGAGATGAGAATTGGCGGGGCCACCATGTTCACCGTGGCGCGGTACTTCGCCGCCGCCTTCACGTACTCGTCGATCGCGAATTTGCTCATCACCACCAGCATACCGCCATAGGCGAGGATGCTGTTCAAGCACACGGTGAAGCCCAAGATGTGGAACATCGGCAAGATGGCGAGGCTGACCGTCTGAGAATTTAGCTGTTGGGCCTGTGCGGTCTGCTCCACGTTCGCGATGAGGGCGCGGTTCGTCAGCTGCACACCTTTCGGCAGACCCATCGTACCGCTGGAAAAGGGGATGAGAGCGGTGTCGTCAAGGGTTGCGCCCTTCAAGCCGTCGTAGTCCTTCGGGATCGGTGGGATGTCCGTCGTCTTGAGAAACTCCTCTGGGTACATGATCTTGATCACGCGACCCGTTTCACGCTGCACCAGATCCACGGCTTCGTCCAACTGCTTCTGGAAGAAACGCATGCCGAACACGATCTTGCACTGATTCGTCTTGAAGTGGTAGGCAAGGGTGGAGGCAGCGGCGACCGCGTTGACGGGGGATACGATGGCACCTAACCGCAACGCGCCGTATACCAGCGGGCCGTAGACGGCGGTGTTCAGCAGGCACAGGCACACAACATCCCCTTTGCGCACACCCTGCTGGTACAATGCCATCGCCGTGTACTCAGTCGCCTGCATGAGCTGCAGGTAGCTGTAGGTTTTTCCGGTCTCCACCTGCACTGCAGCGATCTTCTTTGGGTCCATCGCCGCCATTCGCTTCATCAGGTAGCCGTACAACGTCGTTTCCTTGTTCACCACCGCCATCACAGAGGGCAGCTTAGACTTGTAAATGAGGTGGCTCTGCGAGCCCGACGTCCAGCGAAACTGCTGGTGCAGCGGAGCGCTGAAAAAGGACGGCGCGGAGGAATTGACGGACAGGATGGAGGATGAGCCCAGCAGGCCCGCTGCGCGCAGCATGGCACGACTGCGACCAGTCGCGCTCAGTGCGACCCAGCTGCTGCGAAACATCAGTGCGGGGACGGCGTGGTATGGAGGGGGTGGGGAGCAACAACAAAGGGAAAATTCGAGAAAAGGTGAAAGTGCCTGTGACAAAGGAAGAAACAAGAAAACAGCAACAAGAAAAGAAAAGAAATAAAGGGTGTACACTGAGTGATACAACGAGAACGAAGAGCACCAAATGTCGATGGACGGAGAGAGAGAGAAAAAATGAAGATAAAAAAGATGAAATAAAAGTAAATATTCGAAACGACCGGTGGGAGGGTATAATTGAGTTTGACGGGTATGCGAGATCGCCTTCGGCTCGTGTGAAGTCTGCGGCCGAGCGCACGTCAGAAACGTAATCATCGTTGTTGAGGTGTAAAAGAAAAGCCACAGAGGTAAAGAGAGGGGAAAGAAGTGATGTCACAACAGGTGAGCGATCAAAAGAAGAAAAGTACACTTTGCATGAGGAACAGAGGTGCCATTTGTTGCAAAGGTAGTAGTACCGACAAACGCCCATTTCATCGAAAAAAGAGGCAGCAATATTCTGTGGTGGTGAACACTACCGATTTGAGGGAGATACGGCGGCGGTGGTGCAAGTGTTTTCGCTTTTTCGTCATCGGCACAAGGTGGATGACGTGTTGTTGTAAGCGCTTTTTATTGCTTTGTCTTGACAGCACCGCTAGTCAGAAATATGAAAACAGAACTCACAAGGGGCAATGAAATGAAACGTCTCAGGCGACCGAAAAAAAAGGCTTTTGAAATCTTATCGGGAAAACAGGAAGAAATGAAGTGGTTCACATCCGCGCCATCCTTTTCTCTTTTGATCGCTATAAGATTTACCCGTGATCGGGCGTCGCGTGAAGCACTTTCTCATTAATTATCCGCTGCTTTGTTTTGTTTTGTATGAAATAGGGAGTGTTGGTTGTGTTTTGTTTTGTGGCTACGCTTCTTCTATAACCGACTGATCGCGCAGCAGCGGTTTCGGGGTTTTTTTTTCGCAGCGGGGGAAAAGAAGAATGCCGCTCTTCAACCAATCAGCGAAATCGCTCAAAGCTTCTACTTGGGGATGAGTAAGAAGAAAAGAATAGAAGAATCGAGAGGTGCAAAGAGTCCGAGAGAGATGCATTAGCTGAGACCTGATTCCACCCTCCAAACTCGCGATGGACCTCCAACATCTTATCTATTCACCCCGCGCAGCGTCTCGCTGCCAAACTTACTCCCTACAACGTCAGGGGACGATGGTGCACTGGACTTGGCGATTTCCTCTTTTTCCATTTTTTCTAATAGGTAGCACTACTAACGAAGTGGCAAACAAGGGTAGTTGAATTGGTTAAACCCAAGGATCCCTGTCGTGGTGGGCAACCACGGGGGTGGGTGGGTGGAAAGAAAAAACTCAAAAGTTGTGTGAGAACTTTGATTCTGCAAGTCCCAAAGATAAGGCGAAGGAGACGAGCGAGGGAGAGTAGTAGAGGTAGAAATCATGTTATCAGCAAACGTCGGAGCCATTGTTCCTCATCCTCCTCGTATCATTCTTCCTCTTTTCATCATTCCATTCTTTTCGTAAACGATCAAAAAAAAGGCAGATGACGGGAGAAACTATATCAGACAAGACACACCTTCGTAGATACACCATCTCGCATTTCTACAAGCCTGCCGGAACGCAACGTCGGGAGCGCTTTCACAGCCGTGATACGACGAGCAAACAAGCAGTAAAAGAGAACAAACACACGAATTATATATGAACAGGAGAAAATAAATGCGAAGGCGCGTTTCTCGTTCGACTCGTAGGAATAATAATAATAATAATAGCAGCAGCATTAGTAGGAGAAGTGAACAAAAAATAAAAAGAGAAAATCTATTTTCACACACCCATACATATATGTTGGATTATTATTATGATAAACGTTCGCATCTCGCACAGCACACTTACATCCACACAAACGCGCGCGTTACACAAAACAAAAACGTTCGGCAAGTTTTCCGAACGCTTAACTGTTTGAAACTACACAGGACAGAGTGCAATGTGTGGATGAGTGCAGGGAGTAAAAACAAAGAAAACTTGATATTTGAAGCAAATGCGCCGTGAGACATGCCAAGCAATAAAACCAGTGATGTTCTCTTCTTCTTTTGAAGAACGATTACAGCATAGCAAAACAAGAATCGGAAGAAAGCAGCCGTTCCTGCAGCGAATTGGGAAGTGGAACGAACAAATCGATAGTGGAAACATTGTAGCAAATATGAAACGAAGCCTGTTGACCTTCCATTAACAAAGGGAAAAAACAAAAGAGAAACAGGATTCGTTCTGCGATACATCAGAGAAAGCTGCAATTTAGAGAAGAAACAGTTTGGCGTGCTATGCTGTGCGTGTCTCCTGCCTTTTCTTTTCACCTGCCAATACCCGTGTCAAAATAAATAAAGAAGGAAACTAATTAAAAGAAAGAGGTCATCGCCGAGAGAAAAATGTGAATGTCACCCTCATATGTCTCTTTTCGATTTGTTACATGTTTGAAAGAGATGGAGAGAGAGAGTGCGATGGAAGGAGGAGAATCATTACAACAGCAGGAGAGAAGAAGAAATACCGCTCGCTTCCCGACAAATAGAGATGGGGAAAAAAAGCTAGTTTGGAGAGACAAAAAAACCGTGGTGAGTAGTAAATGCATTATATATTTTGTGTCACCGTCGATGCGAGGTGTAAATCGTCCGGAAACGTCACCAGAGAAGAAGACTGAATATGCCCGCAGCTCTAATGTCGAGCTTGGCTACTCTTAAAGCTAAGAGAGAGAGAGAAAGAACAGCACGTGTCCCCAAAGAGAACAAAGCAGAAAAAAGCTGTGTTGTTCAACGATGGTTTTGGCAAGATGATACACCGCGTCGGTCCTTCGCTATTCTGGCTTCGTCTCGGCTGCACTCGCCTTCATCATGGCCAGCTCCTCCTGGCGCATCTGCCGACGCATCAGCTTACCGGCGGCATTGCGCGAGATCTCGTCCACAATGCGCACACCACCGTGCAGGCGCTTGTGGGGCGGCATGCGCGACATCACAAAGCGGTACAGCTCGTCCGAGGCACGCACGGCGTCTTTGGTGGGCACGTCCGGCTGCAGCACCACCAACGCACGCGGGTTCTCAAAGCTCACATCGCGAGGATCAGGCACGCCAAACACGATGCAGTCCTTCACCCACGGATGGCTCAGCAGCAGCGCCTCCAGCCCAGCAGGCGACACCTGGAAGCCCTTGTACTTGATCAGCTCCTTCAGCCGGTCCGTAATCATCAGTTCCTCGGTGTTGAGCAGGATCTTGCCGATGTCGCCGGTGCGGAACCATCCATCCTGCATGCACATCGCGGTGTCCTCGTCCCTCAGGTAGCCCTTCATCAACTGCGGGCCGCGCACCCAAATCTCGCCCTCCTCGCCAGCCTGCACGTCAACGCCGGCAGACTTGTCAGCACCACTCTGCTGGCTGTCATCGACCTTGACAATGCGAATTTCAGTGTCCCCGATGATGCGGCCGCAGCTGCCCGGAGTAGAACTTTTGCCTTTAACAGGCGCCGTGACAGTGGGCGACATCTCCGTCAAGCCGTAGCCTTGCGCGACAGTCGTCCCCGGCAGCATCGCCTCCACCATCCGAACCACTTCTGTGCCCAGCGGCGCAGAAGCGGACACAAAGCTCTTCAGGGAAGTCAAGTCCCGCTGCTGGACGAGCTCCTTGTTCTTCATCAGCGAGATGAGAATTGGCGGGGCCACCATGTTCACCGTGGCGCGATGCTTCTCTATCATCTTGGCGTACTCGTCCACTGAGTACATACTCATCACCACCTGTGTCGCACCAACAGCCGAGATACAGTTTAGGCAAGTTGTGAAGCCGAAGATGTGGAACAACGGCAAGACAGTAATTGTGACGGCGTCGGGTCCGATACCGAAAGCGGCGCAGGTCTGCTCTGTGCACGCGATGAGGGAGCGGTTCGTCAGCTGCACACCTTTCGGCAGACCCATCGTACCGCTGGAAAATGGGAGAGCCACCGTGTCATCGAAGGTGGCGCCCTTCAAGCCGTCGTAGTCGCTGGGGATTCGCGGAATGTTGGTCTTTCGAAAAAAGCTTTCGGGGAACAGAATCGTCACTTGTTGCCCCGTTTCGCGCAACACCAGATCCACTGCTTCCTCCAGTTGACGCTGAAAAAAATGCATGCCGAGAACCACCTTCGCGTTGTTCGCTTTGAAGTGGTAGGCAAGGGTGGAGGCAGCGGCGACCGCGTTGACCATCGATACCACCGCACCTAACCGCAACGCGCCGTATACCAGAGGTCCGTAGAAGGTTGTATTCAACGCGCAGATGCACACCACATCACCGCGGCGTACACCCGCCTCGTAAAGGGCCTGCGCGGCGTGCTCAGATGCCTCGATGATTTGTGGGTAGGTCATAACTTTCCCATTGTCAGCCTGGATAACAGCTGGTTTATTTGGGTCGGCGTCTGCCATTCGCTTCATCAAGTAATCGTACAATGTGGTTTCCTTGTTAACGCTGTCCAATACGGAGGGGAGTTTCGATTTATAGATTTTCAGCTTGCCATCTTTTGCTGGCGGCGCAGTCGAGGTGGTAGTGGACGCTGCTTCAGAGAACGCTGACGACGATGCGCAGCGAATCGACTGTGTCAGAGTACCACATTTAGTAGTGCAAAGAGGCAACCAGGAACATGCCGCTGAAAACGTTCGTGGAAGAATTGCGCTGTAAAGAACTGCGGCGTGCGGGTTGCTGAGAACGGCATCTCGACGGAGCGCCGTCGTATGAAAGATGTTTCGGCGGAACATCACAGTTTTCAGTCGAGAGATTTTTGTCTTTGTCCCTTTCTCGTTTACGTTTTGCTCAATGAAGGGTTTCGATGTGTTGACCAGTTCTTGTGTTTCTCCGTTGTTTCTCCGTTGCCTCTCAAGTGTTCACTTACAAGAAAAGAACAAAGCTAGAAATATGCACACAAACACACGCGCACAGAGAAAAAAAAAACAGATGAAACCGCCGCGTCGATGAGGACAATGATGTCCAGTGCTATAGCAAGGAAGAGCTTAAAGGTGAGCTATGAACTTGTAGAGAAGCAGAAAAAAAAGTTTGAGGAAGCGGAGTTCCAGAAATCCGTTGGAAGACAAAAATTCAGGAGGCAGTTGCAAAGTAACAGCAACGAAACACGACTGATTGCCGTAAGATTACTATCGCGCAGGAATAAACTCGCGTTTTATTCAAGTGCAAGTCCTTCTCAAACACAAAAGGTGACATTATAGGAAAAAAGAAAGAAGAGTGGAAAGGAGAGAGTTTAAAAAATGCAGAAAATAATTTCAAACATTTAAACAACGGCGCGTTCAGCTGTGCGTTTCTGCTTTTTTCTTTTAGCGAAGGAATCCTAAACTGCACTTAAGCAGTCAAAGTACCAGGCTACCAGAATCTGCAAGGGCTTTCTTTCAGCATTAAGCTTGCACTAAATGGACATGAAACAAGAAACGCATTCGGACAGCTTCACCCTTCAAAGGAAAAACACCGTGCCGAGAATCAACAGCATTGAGTTTAATTTTTTTCTTTCAACGATCACTCGAAAAATTCAACTTCGAGAATAGTATTTTTGAACAGTTTCTAGAGTGCAAAGGAACACCTCAGTGGGGCAGTAAAAGGCGACGAGAGGCTCGAACGTATCAAAAATTTTTGTTTTCAAAACAGTAGATCCGCCCTCAAAAAAAAAAAAACAATGACTACATTAACGTCCTCGGCACCGAAAAAAAGAAAAGAAGAACATGTTTATCCAGAAGGGCACAGCTACACACATCACAACCCCGAGGAAAAGCAGAAAAACTCCTCGTTAGGAGTTGCGCGAGTCAGCACGGTTACCTTCAATTCGTTTTCTGAAGTAAGAGGAGAAGAAAGTCTTGTTTTGACAGGTTCCGATTAGATCAGAACACAGATAAAAAAAAAGTTATTGTACTTGGCTTGGAAACATCTATCACTCGACGGCGTTAATATCAACAAAGGAAGGAAAAACCACAACAATGAGCAAAGGATGTGTACGTCAAAGAAGTAGTTGATACCGTTGCATCGGAACCCGCAGTTGCAGATCACTTAGATGAACGCGACACCAAGCAAAGCAAGTCGCCTGAAATTTTGGTACAGTAGCTGATCAGTTCCTTCTCTGTAAATACTGAACGCCGCAAATAGTATATAAAGTCTTCAAGAGTGGTTTGCTGTGTCGATTACAGGCAGAACGGCAGACGCACCGGCGCACGGTCACCTTTCGGACGGTCAGAGTCCTGCTTGGGCTTCGTCGTCTCCGTCACGCTCTTGCTGCTGTTGTAGCGCACGCTCGCTGCGCACACGGCGACGGCGGCGGCCTGGCACTTCGGGGCAACAAAGCGGAACATCTTCAGAGAGAAAGAGGGAAAGCGAAAAGGCGTAAGAGAGCGAGAGGGTGTGGGCTTGGGTTAGTAGCGGAGTGGAAGTATGACAGCAAAGGATAGCGTTAACCTGCGCGCCGTGCGGTTGCGTGTGAAGTTACGTGTACGAGCCCCGTGCAGTGCCGGTGCCCCATGAAAAGCAGAAAACAAGGGCAGAGAGAGGGAGGAGGCGAATGAGGATTACAAATAGAAGAAGGAAATAGAGCAAGAACCTACAATGAACCTGCGTGAAACGTGAGTCGTGCTTATGAAAAAGTGTGTTTGTGGGAACGCGCACACATGCATTGCTGCGGCATTGCGTCGCACACAGTTCGCTGCTCTTTCTTTCGATTATTACTGTTTGCTTTGAAGTGTTGTCTGTTCGTTGTGCTAAACTGATCAAGAAAAATAACATAAAACAAAAGAGAGATAATAGAAGAGTTTTCGTTTCAAAAGATATGTCAATTTGTGTGTTGCTTTGGCGCTTCAGACGGATGCAACTTCTGCACATTGATAATCCATAGGATGTGTCACGTTGCTGCTGGCATCGTCATTGCACTTCCCGTGCACACCCCTTTCTTCATTTACCCCTGCACGCTTGTATCGGCAACGGAGAACGATGGGTGGCAGCCTGAACGACGGGCTATCTTCTCCTCGACAACTCAATTTGTTTTGTCGCGGGTGAAAACGCACCGGACAGGTACTTTTCCGCTTCATCGTCAGTAGAGAGGGGTTCGCACAGCGGAAAACGCTCGCGAGCGGAGGGGAATTGAAGCAGCGACACGAAATAGACTATATGAAAGTAAGAAGACACTGTTTTGCGAGAGAAAACAAGCGAGTGAGAGGCTAAGCGCACATTTCTGGGAAGGAAGTAAATATCATATATATATATATTTAGCTGCTCACGCGGACGTGCAAATCCATGGCGTCCGCCTCGCAAACGCTTCTCTTCGCTTGCATTTTGAGGAGGGCGGCACGCGCTGCCACTCAAGGCAGTCGTGTTTCAGGGGATTAAACTGAGAAAGGCTTCGCCATTCCTAGGCTGTGGTAGGCTTGAAAAAAAAAAAGGCAGATCACAGTTCTTTGTTTTGGGGCGTAGAAGGGAAAAAAGAGAGATATCTTAGAGTGACAGTTTGCACAAGCGAAAAAAAAAATGAACGGCGTAACAGACAAAAATTCATTTTCACCAAGGTAGGATCGAGAGTTAGAGAGCCTATCAACGGAAGAAAATAAGGGCGAAGCACTTGTTAGAGCACTATCTTTTCACTTTTTAAACCAAGACGCGAGCGGTGCATGCACAGCACGGCCTCGGCGTCGTTTGCAGCGAGGTGCTCTGGAGTTCATTGTGTCGATTACAGGCAGAACGGCAGACGCACCGGCGCACGGTCACCTTTCGGACGGTCAGAGTCCTGCTTGGGCTTCGTCGTCTCCGTCACGCTCTTGCCGCTGTTGTAGCGCACGCTCGCTGCGCACACGGCGACGGCGGCGGCCTGGCACTTCGGGGCAACAAAGCGGAACATCTTCAGAGAGAAAGAGGGAAAGCGAAAAGGCGTAAGAGAGCGAGAGGGTGTGGGCTTGGGTTAGTAGCGGAGTGGAAGTATGACAGCAAAGGATAGCGTTAACCTGCGCGCCGTGCGGTTGCGTGTGAAGTTACGTGTACGAGCCCCGTGCAGTGCCGGTGCCCCATGAAAAGCAGAAAACAAGGGCAGAGAGAGGGAGGAGGCGAATGAGGATTACAAATAGAAGAAGGAAATAGAGCAAGAACCTACAATGAACCTGCGTGAAACGTGAGTCGTGCTTATGAAAAAGTGTGTTTGTGGGAACGCGCACACATGCATTGCTGCGGCATTGCGTCGCACACAGTTCGCTGCTCTTTCTTTCGATTATTACTGTTTGCCTTGACTTTGTGTGCGTATGCGCACTCATTTCTTTCATTACTTTCTTTTTTGGATAGAGTGGATGGGCAGTTCAAAAAAGGAATTCGGATACACTGAGAGAAAGGGAAGAAGAAAACAGTAAGAGTCCTGTAGATTTTCGTGGTTGAGGTGAGTTTGTTCCCATGGAGAGTTGTGCTCTCGCTTGAACTCTAAGTCCGCGTCTCAGCCGAGAGTTTTTTGATAAAAAAAAGCTGGCAGTAAAAACAATCTGTTTGAAAGAAAGACAAATGCGATGAAGAAGACCCGATAGCAGATAATGGCTACGATGCAGAACATACAATTCAATGCAAACAATCTGGTGTGTGGCTTTTTAATAATGTTGAAACTAATAAGTTGGGCGCATCATCTTTTTTCTCGTGTTTGTGCCTCTTTCGGACAAACGAAGAGGAGGCGAAGCCGAAAAGAAAAGACAGTCAGTAAATGATTTCGGCGTGATAACGGCGACAGCAGGAAAACACTGGTTTACATAAATCATTATTACAGAATGCATTCCATTGTGGAATAGGAGTGTGATATTGCAACCGGCGTGCACAACTAGGTGAAAAAAAGAGGGAATGAAAATAACGAAGCTCAAGGGGTGGAAAAGAGGCTGTGTCTTTTGGCGGTTTGCAACGGTTGGCGCCCCTCAAGAGGGGGAGTTGTGACCGCGCGCGTGGCTCTTGGAGTGGCGGCGGGGATGTCAAGCAAGCACCCAATGGTGCATATCAGGAGGGGTGGTGGCCGGGGGGGGGGGGGGGTCGGGTGGAA